TTTTTACAACAAATAAAACAATCCTGGGGCTTCATATGATCTTTAAAAGTAACAAATTTTTGCACCTGCCCAGCATGCTCTTGTAAAATAATAAGCATAATGCTTGCTTTTCTCATCTAGCAGATTGAATGCTGGACATTCAATTGCTGATACTTTAGCTTCTAAAGATATTATTGGTGCTTTTTATTAATCCATAATTATTTTTAATATTATTTATTTAAAAATATTCCAACCTTAATGCCAATTTTTTTCTACAAACTCTGTCTCAATTCACTTTAATTAATCTTGAAGGTATTTTTAATCTTAGTATCTTTTACTTTTTTCTCTTCTGCTATGGTGATCACTATTTTTATATATTAAGTAGTTAAAAATAAAAATTTATCAACTAAATAATTAAAACTTATAATAAATGGATACCTGAATTTAATTAAGCGTGAAATCATTGAAACTACTCTTATTTTTTAGAAAAACCATTTTATATATTTATTTATTTAATTATAGATTAATATCTTACAATTAAATAAAAAATAAATTTTTCATGAAAAAAATTTCTTAAATTTATTCCATAACTTAAACCGTTTGAATTAGGAAATTTTTTCACTATTAAACTATTTTTTTTTAATCATTTGTAAATAAATGATTTAAGAAATTTAAGAAGAAAGAATAAGAACAATCGGTTATTTTTATAAATAATTATTTAATTAAATTGTCTATTATTTCTTAAGTTTAACAATATTGTGAAGACCTTGTGAATATAGATTTAAAAGATCCTAAAGCTAAGGAATTTATGATGGAGAGAATAAAAAACATGATAAAGTGAATTATAAAAAAATTTAATATAGTTTTGCTCAAACAAATTTTTATCCAACTCCTTCATAATTATCATAAAATTACAAGAGAAACACTTCTAAAATCTAACTTCCATAAAATGGATCAGAAATGGAAAAATAATTGAAATTTATTGCAGATGGATCAGTTTTTGGGGAAATCTAATCAATTTTACGATAGGCAAGAGCACCTGCTTATGTTATACCTCCTCCTCCTCCAAAACAAGAAGAATAAGCTGGCTGCTTAGATCTTTTTACGATTACCATATAATTATCTAGATTAAAATGTTAATACAAAAAATGAATTTAACTTTATTTAAAAAACTTAAAATTAATAGCAAAGCTAAATTTCAAATTTTTTATCTCCTATTCAAAACTAAAATTAACTCTAATAAAATTAACAATAATATGATCAAATATAAAATCCATTAGCAATATAAGCAAATCTTTTGAATAATCAACAATAGATGGACTTATAAATGCAAATTAATCAAACAACTAATTGTTTAGATAGTGATTTTATTAAAAATATAAAAAAAACTGTAAATGTATTATGAGAGATTGAGGATACAGTTGAAAGTATTTATATAACAAGATTATTAAAGCAATGAAACAATCTTTATAAGATTATGAATTACATCACCAAGATATAGAAAAAGATTGAAAAGTAACCTATCTTCGTAAACTCGATTTTGATGAATCCATATTAGACTAACTTATAATACATTAATGAATAATAGTTTCATCCTTTTGGAAGATATATGGCTACAGAGCCTTTAACGGTTGTTCAATAATCACAAAAATTAAGGCAATAAAAGTTATAGTAGAGTATCGATTAATGATATATAAATGATGATATTTATTTTTATCTAATCCTTTGATATTTCATATTTTTATCATAAATTTTGATAATCCTTTTATTTCTATTCTCAAATGTATAGTGTTAACATATATAGTTTTATACGTCGTGAACAAAATTTTTTGCATGATTTTTAACATTTCACACTGATTCCAAAAAAATAAACTTTCAACTAAAATTTTTAATCTATTTAGATTAAATTGCTTAAATACACAGAATCAATTTTTATCTGTTCTTTCATCATTATTAATTTTTCTGATTTTTACTCAATATAAAATTTTCAAAATCCAAATTATTTTTCTTTTCTAGATTATATGTACGATTTAAATAAAATTATAATAGTATTTTTAATACATTTGATTGAATAATCGCTTTAAGAATTAAACCCATTTATCTTTATAGATAATTTAGATATCTGAATTAATTCACCGTACTTTATTATTCTTTCTATAAATATTTCTAATTAAATATTTTAAAATATCACAAAAATAAATCAAAATATAAAACTATAGACTCCCATAAATTCTCTAAATGGCTTAAGCAACATACTATATTCTTAATTTTTCTCTATCATTTCAGTAATTTAATAAAAATGATCAAAATCAACACAATAAATCCTTCTATTTTGCATGGTTTTTAAAATAAATTTAAAAATGAAATGTTTTAAATCTTCAGAAGATCCTTAATGGTTTTTCATTAATTATCTTAATTTAAATAAGTAATGTAAATCATTAATTTTTAAGTAATCAACTTAAGGATCAAATTTAGATAGATCAGTTCCTTCATCATTTAATTTTTAAAGCAAAGAGAATTAAAATTTATTTGATAATGTATTGTTAGGGTTAAAAAGTTCTTATAATTTAGATAGGATATCATTTAATTCTATCTAATTATAAGATGGATTATTCAATAGAGTGTTTTGAACAATAGTTAAAATATATTTCATTTATAATGATGTTAATTAATAGGTTTATGATTTTAAGCCTTCTTTAATAGTTGATAAATCCTCTAAGGGGTAAATAAGAAAAAAATTAGTGTTTTCAATTATTTTGGCTTAGGTATAGGTTTCTTTAATTTTAGTAGAAAAATTGTTTTGAATATCTAAAAATAAAGGATCATTTTTGAGATTGCTTTATTATTTTGAAATGATTTGAAGACAATGATATAAAATATGAAAATCTTTATAATTTTTTTATTATTTGTGGAGCATTTTGAGCATCTAATATAAAGTTCTTTCTGAAATGAATAAATTGAATTTTTAATAAAATGTTAGAACAGCATAAATTTATTTGACGTTTAGATACAAAACATTTTTATACCAAACAGATTCTAAATTTCTTAATGGTGTCATATAATCTTTTTCTTCCATTATGATATATGATAACCAAATCATATGACTATTGATTAAGTTTTCACTAAATTGATTGGCAATAACATTATCATATGATTATCTATCAAGATATTGATTGATATGAGATCTCTACACATATTTAATAAGATTTCTGTAATCTGAGATCATTTCATATTTACAAAATTTGAGTCGATCTCTAAGACTGTTAAATAATTCAAGTGAATTTTATCTTAATCCCATTTTAATTAAAGTTGCTGGATCTACACTAGCAAAATCTTAGATCTGAGAGGTATTTTGAATAGCAGAGGAAAATAATACTTTTCTTAAATGTTTTGTATTTTAGAACATATTAAAATCTTTAATTTTCATTTTTCAAATTATGGCTGAATAAACCTAAGACAAACAATTCAAAGGAGTTAAAAAGTTTACTTATAGAGGTCTTTAACTTGAAGAGCTTGTTAAACTTCCAATGGATAAATTGGTTGAATAATTCAGAGCCAGATAAAGAAGAAGAATTTCAAATCAAGGAGAAAAGGTGCATGCATTTTAAAACTTAATGAAAAAAGTAATAAGAATATTAAAGTATTTAGATTAGAAAGTCTAAGAAAGAAACTTTACCAGGAGAGAAGCCTAAGCCTGTAAAGACTCATTAAAGAAATACTATTGTTGTACCTGAAATGGTTGGTTCAATTGTTGGAGTCTATAATGGTAGATAATTTAGTAATGTTGAAATCAAGTTTGATATGATTGGCAGGTATTGAATTACAATAGCATATTAGATATTTGGGTGAATTCTCATTAACATATAAGCCAACCAGACATGGAAAGCCAGGAGTTGGTGCAACTAAAGGATCACAACACACAGATTGATGTTATGGATTTAAAAGTACATTAAGTTAATTCTTAAAATTTTATTATTATGCTTGCAATTAATAGTATTATATAAACTAATAGTCTATTATATTACTATATATAAAATTGCTATTTATTCTTTCTAAAGTTAGATGTTATGAATATTATGCTCTTTGATTATATATTCTTCTTTAATAAATTTGTTTTATTGACAATAATAAATATTGAAAGATAATCAACAATTTTATTTATAATCAATTATGGATTTCGAAGGGTTGAAAATTTCTTATTGATTCAAATTAAGAGAAGGATTGATTAAAATTACCTTTATTTACTAAAGGTTCATTCTTCATTATAACTTCATCCATACGAAAACTCCATTAAAGCTTTTCTAACTATCTTTAACTTTTACATTACATTCTTATTGATTCAAGATTGAATGGACTTTTACAATCAGGACAATACTTTAATTAACTATAAATAATTACTTTATGATAGTTCAACCATTTATCTATACATGAAGTATGATAAATATGTTCACAAAATATTAATCTAATTTAAACTGCATCATTAAATTGATCTAAACAAATAGAGCATTTATCAAAAGATAAGTATTTATTTTATCTTATAATTAAAGCTCCATATTCTTGAGATGGACAGATTATATTAAATATTGGAAAAATGCTTAACATTTCTTCCTATCTTACAGATTTTAAATTTGTTTTTTTTTTAATTCTTGATCTCTTGAATTTCTGTCTCATAATACAAACAATAATTAAAAGTAGAATTATGGCTATTATTGAAGTTAAAATTATAATTAATAAATATGCATCATTAGAATCATTATTTTGATCTAGATAAGTGATTTACAAATTATCAAAATAAATTAAATAATAGAAATTAACTGTTTAATTAAATTAATTTTGGAATTTTTCAATTTTACTTTTGCAGGATATAATATCCCTATTTGAAATATTTAAAATATTATTTTCATTTATCTTTACCTAATTTGGATTCATATTATCAATGATGCAGTAAGTTAAATATTTTGTTTTATTTTAGAATCTTAATATGTAATCTACAGAATTAAAATATTTAATGTCTAAATAGTACATTTTATTTCCCAAATACGTATTGTGGGTCTCAATATTATCTAATAATAAATGGCAATCATTTCCCATTTGTTATTCTCTACAAATACAAAATGAATTTCTACATTCAGAATCATTTTTACAATCGCTAATTTATTTATTTTATTGTTATACTATAAGCATTCCTCACTTGTTTAGTATGAAAATTATATTGTTAAATCAGTTTCAAAAAGCGATTAAATACCAATAAAACTTGAGATATTGTGTTCATAAAAATTCAAGTAGGATGAAATTACATTCTTTTATTTTACTTAGCCAAATATTAATTATTAAGAATTCATCATCTAGTATGAGTACCAATCTACAAAGCAACTTTATTATCATTAATTCTTAACCTTTAATTTGATAACAATTGCTAAAAGTTATATTCAGTTGGATATTTGTAACAGATAAAAAGGAAAGGCTGGTCCTCCTTTTTTTCTTTCCTTATAAATTCTAAACTCAATTTAACTTAGGATTTCATTTCTAAAGGAATAATTTTTATTCCTTTTAATTAACTATATTGTTAGATTTGGCATGCACATATTCCAAAAATAATAATCATTAAATATTATTTCATTTTTTTATTTAAATATCTGTGTAGCTTAGCTAATCAAATCTCTTTTTAATAAAAATTAATAATATTAAAAATTATTGTTTTTATCATGATGCCATATTAGAAGATTGAGAACAGTACTTTTAATAAAATATGATAAACTTTCTCATAAATGTATTAGCATATATGAGGTTAAATAATATTGAAATCTTGACTTGTTAATATTTAAAAAATGCTTGATTAAAAATGATAAGTATTTTAAACATCAATGTTTATAAGAATGGGAATTCTAAATTCATTACTGTAATCTACTGCAGATAATTTATTTAATTTTATATATATATTTTTAAATTATATGGGTATATGTAGTCATTTTACTTATTCTTTGGGAATATCTTTGGTAAAATTTCAAATCATCTTGGCCACTTTGATTTAATTATAAAATATTAATTTATAAATTAACCTCTGTTTTTGAATATAATTATACCAGACTTATATTCATATAAAATGTGATATTATACTACTAAATAAATTGATTAATTCTCCTTTATACTTTAAAAAGCGGATATTTTTCTACCTACTTTAAAATATATATCTTACTTTATATTAAATTCTGATTGCATTATATTAAGAAAAAATGAATCTATTTTGATTCTTCTTTCAAGAATGCAAAGAAACAAATATATTTTTCTAATTTTCCAAGACTTAAAAACTAAAATGCCTTGTTATTAAGTTCTCATATTGGATGTAAAAGATTATCTATTTATCATTTTGGAATACCTAATACTATTCACAAAAAGAAATTAAAAATATTGATAATTTAGTAAAGTTTAGTTAATATAAATTAAAGAAAAGAGAGAAGCTGAATAAAGAGCAGAATAGAATATACATAGAAATAATTATTGAATGTAAGTAAGATACAAAAAAACAAAGTAAAAAAAAATATTAAAATTGAATAGCACTGATCCACATTTTGCTTAAGGATACATTCAAATTTTAGTAGTATTAGTTCTAAATAAATCAATATATAAAATTAAAAACAAAATCTTGGATGTGTTGTTTTGTTTGATTATTTATTCAGTTTCTTGTTTAAGGGTTGTATTAAAATATTATTTTATATCTTCTTTTATTTATAATCATAGAATTCTTAATAAATCTAAATTGTTTTATAAATATTTGTTATATAAAAAATAAAAGATTATTACAATATTTTAAACATGACAAAGTTAAAAATTGCTAATTGAAATCTTATTATGTTATAAATATATAAAATAATATTATTATGTTGCTTTTCCTGAACATCAAAAAAAATTTAATAAATACTTTTTTCATTAATGAAAAATTAGGATGAGAAAAGGATTGGCACTGCTAGTACGATGGCCTAAACTGGAGCCCAATCTCAATTTTAATAATAATCCTAATATGAATTCCCGTTACCAATATATTGTAAAATAAAAAAGGAGCAAAACTAGAAGTTCAATAATAGGTATTAAAAATAAAATGTTGATGATAATCCTGTTGATGAAGAATAGTAAAAAGATAATGATCAGAACTAATAATAATTTTAATAATTATAATAAAAAGAAGGTTAGACAAAGCAAAAAAAAACATTAGATAATGAATACTAGCAATTAATTAAATATAATGAAGATTATTATAATGAAGGAAATCAATATTCTGAACCTGATTAAAACTAGGATTCTCCTGTTATTAAACAAAAAAAAATTAGAGGTGACCATCTTTATATCACTTGGTATGATATATTTAAATTTTAGTTAGATAAAGCCTTTTGGGGAATTTTTATAAAAATATCAGCTTCAAGATATAGCTCAACCTTATATTAAAAAGAGAACAACAACAAAATGCTGTTTTTTTGCTGTCAATACTAAATAATCTCTTTATTAGACATAAAAATAAAATATTATTAAGGTTGGACAAATTTTATATGATGATGCAAATGAAGATCATTGTAATTTACTATACTCAATATTCTATTTAATATTTCAATTAGAAAAATTATCAAAAAGAAAATCTTAAGAGATCTCAAATAATAAAATAAACTTATTCTAATTATTATATACTTTATCTTGTGTTACCTCTTTTAAAGATGATTTATTTTAAATAGGAAAATTTGACAAAGAAAAGATAATCTCAATTATGTTTTTCTGTTCTAAATTCATATTTTAAGTTTTACAGTATGGAACTTTGGATCCTATTTTTAAAAATAATGAAAGTCATGGAGAAACTTTCCATAATTTAATGACAAATATTCATATGGGAGTATTTCGATATATTTCTAATTCTAATTATACTTAGGAATAAGAAATCTTTTAAAATTTAGAAAACAAAAGTGTAAAACAACTTTTAGATATTTGGAAGGAAAATAAATTTAAAAATAATTGAAAACATTTGATTAAATCAATTTTGATTTTTATAAATTAATTAAAAGGTTGTTTCAATACCTAAAATATATTTTGTAAAAAAACAAATTCTCTTATAAAGTATATAAAATAACTGAATATATTTAAGAATAATTAATATAAAATTTTTCTATAATATAAAAAGATTATATTATAATAAAAAGGTTTATATCCAATTTTTATTTCTTTTTAAAGATACGTTCATTATTAAAATTAATTCATGGATAATTTAAAGAAGGCCTAGAAACTCATGTAAGTATAGCAAATATGATTAGAAAATTCGGACAAATAACAAAAGAAGACATTGTGATTGGTAAAGATGAGGTTGATAGAAAATTTTTGACTCCATGTGGTCCTGTATATACAGAATATCACGATTGCTTAAAATTGAATTATGGAGACGTTCTTATCTGTATAACAGCATTTAATTATTTTAGGTGATAAATTTAGAGAGAAAATGATTGAATGCGAAGTGAGCTAAGGATATTTCAAATATGATGTATCTGAAATTAGAAGAAGAAGACAAAAACTCCATGGTAGTGAGGCTTGATTTATTAATTATTATAGAAGCATAATAGCTCATCATTATTATTATTTATATATATAATTTTTTCACTGTTTCTATTTTTCATAATTAAATTTAATGTCGATTTAACCTAATAAAATGTATACATAATTAATTAGATAGTTTGAGAATATAAAAAAAATTACCACATCATCATATAAATAAGAGTGATTATTAAAAATGAACGATTCTAAAAATAAACATAATAAATTATATATTATTCTTAATCATATATATAAATTAATATTTATTATCAATCAAATAGAAACGAATTGTTGATCAATAATATATATATAAAAATAATTTAATTTTCTTTAAATATTTATCAAATTGACAATGTGAAAATCTTAAAAAAATTTATAAGATTATTTTAAATTAAAGATTGAGAAGTTTTCTTATTTGAATTTTATAAAGACAATCAATTTTGCAATTTTTAGTTTTATTTCAATCAAAACAATATATTAGAAGAATATTTTGAACCTTAGTTTTTATACATTAATAAAAATTTATATTTCTTATTTATATTGATTAACTAAAAGAACAAGAATCATTAGTAAATAATTTTTCAAATGATGAAGATAATAGCAAATATAAATATCAGAATTTTCATAAAAGAAATTAATCAAGAAATCGAAGTAGAGAGATTGAAATAAAGGGTTCTTTTATATATGAAAGATAAAAGGATGGCAAAAAAAGGAAATGGATTAAAGAAGAAAATGATTTTGTTGGAAGATTATTATAAACAATGTAATGGATATAGGGATAAAATTTCCGAACAGATGAAAGGAAGAACCTTAGCATAATGTAAATAATATTGGCTTAGAAAAAAAAAGTGTATGATTAAAAAAAATATGGTCTTTCTAAAAGGATTAAATTATTAAAGATAATATTAATTAAAATGAAAATAATTGGGCTGCAATTGAAATTAATAATTATATATATTTAAAATTATTAGTTTTATAAAGTAAAACAGGAAAATAAATAAGGGAGCGATATATTAATAAATTAGAAGCAAAAAAATTACTTATATTCTTAAAAATTAAAAGTCATAATTTGATTAAGAATTTAAAATATAGGCTTAAATAGAAAATACTTCTATGATAATAAAATCTAATTTTGACTCGTTCAATTCTTCAACATTCTCATTCACCGAAACTAAATAAGTTTGATTTTCATTAATTATGAAGTTTCTATATTTGTATTAATTAAATAAATTATTTCTAATTAAAAATTAATGTCTAAATAAGGAATCCGAACTCAATAAAATAGCTAAGATAATAATTAGATAGAATAGGATTTGTAAATGATTTTAAATGAAAAAGAAAGATTGATAAAATATTTAGAAAAATAATAAGAGATATTAAAACATAAACTAATGTTTTACTAATTTGAATATTAGTAGGCTGTATTAGAACATCATTCAAAGCAGATGAAATAATTTGATATATAAAATAAAAAATAACCTTCAATTATGTTAGTCTAAAAGTCGATAGATGAAGATTATTGATTTATTTTTTTTTTCTCTTTAAATTATTTTAGATTTTTAAAATATTCTAATATTCAAGAATGATTCTAATCAAAATATAAATATAGAGAATTAGAACAATTAGTTTAAATTCTTTCAATAATTTTGGATAATAAATGTTATATATTTAAGAGAAGATAATTTAAATTATAATATTGATAATCAAATATTAATTCAAACATATGAATGATACCTTTGATACACATCTCTTTTAATTTATTACAATATTTATTATTCTTAAGGTTATACATTGAAGGAAAATCTCCAACAATATTAATAAATTGCATCAAAGTTTTCTACGATTGACCAGGCAAATTTGAGATGTAATAAAAGTATGCTTTTGTTGAAAAATATGCAATATAAAATTGGATAAATATAATAGGAGCATCTATAAGAATAAACAAAAACTGCATTCATTAATAGTGAATATAATTACTGGATTGAGAAAATGCTAAGACCCTTAATGATTGATTGAATCCTAAAAATGGCATAGTTGCTAATATTAATATGATTTCTATGAGAATGGTCAATATCAATAAATTGATGACTAAATATCCATAGTAAATTAGAAGGATTCCTAACTTAGTATCTAAAATTAAGTGAGGGTTGTAATAAAAGGTCAGCGTAGTAAGTGTAATTGATGTAAACATCTCAATCAGAGCTGAGATTGTCATACATTTTGTACAGGAATCATCCATTGAATTAATACAAAATAATTTTATATATGTAAAGAAAAAATATTACTTTATAATTAAATCCAAATGAAGTTTATTAATTACCCTTAAGATAATTATCTTTATTAGAACTACTTTAGAATAAATTGATAAAGAATAAATAACACAGATGTATATAATAAGATCACTCAGAAACAATTATAAAAAAATAATAATTAAAAGCTCCATTAAGAAACAAAAGTTGTGAGTGTTCATGTTGTGGATAATGGTAAATAAAATTAATAGATAAAGAATAAATTATTCAAATAAATCAGTAAGTAGATATCTAGAGGAAAAAAAGATTAAGAAAAATATTTGTAAATAGTGTTAGAATGATTGTCTAAGTTAATCGGTTTTCTTAATGTGGTTTAGAATACTTTGTCAATCGTTTAAAAAGGAAAATGTAAAGAATAAAATCATTACATATAATAGAGAATAAGTAAATTTAATTCATAAAATGTAATTCATATTCTATTTTAGCTCATTATCATATTGATTTAGGTAGTGTTATAAATGATTAAACTCCTTAAGATAATAATAATGAAACTTAGAAAACGAAATAAAAGTAAAAGAAAATTCATTTAAGATTACACAAAAGAATAGATAATAAATTATAGAATACTAGATAGAATGATCATTTTGATTTATCGAAATATACTGTAAGAAGTAGATCAAATAATACAATAAATTAATATATCTAATAAAAATTAGTCCATGTAAATTAATTACCTCCAATATCTTTACCATAGACAGCTAGATCAAATATGAGTGAGAATAAATAATTAGGTCAATTATCACCATATAATAGATTTTCTCAACCTATTAGATTAATAACAAGATCAGTTTCAACAAATAAAAGAAGATAATGAATATTATCAGCTATTAGAACAATTTTTATTATTTATCAATTTATGTTATTTATTTTGATAAAGTTAAGATGAATTTCACTTTTAAGTAGTAAGTTTTTAATATATAAAAGATTAAGAGCTTCTCACTACTATTTTATTTATAATATTTATAAGTTATATAAATAAAATTATTAAATGAAGTTTCAGAAATTGGAAGACGATTAAACATTAAAAGACCAATAGAATCTCAAATAAAAAAAAGAATTATTAAAATAAGAATTTGAACATTTAGAAGAAATAAAGAAATATGACAATTTATCAATTGTTTCAAGCAATGATTTTAAGTTTAAAGCTGAATTAGATAAACTGTTAGAAATGAATAGAAGTAAGAATAAAGAATTAAGTTTATTATTAAAACCATAAACATTTCAACCATCTAAATCATAAATGACAAGTTCTTAATTATAAACAATATCTGGAACTTATGGTTAAATTAGATCTATTAATAATCATCATTCTGATCCATTATTTGCTACATTTACTTAAAGTATTTATACAAAAGATACAGACAGCAATGAATAATATATAGAGTAATTAAAAGTTTAGGAAGAAAGATATAATGATTTAATTTTAGAAGAATCAGAAAAAAGAGATTCACTTGAATAATAATTAATCTAAATAGAGAAATCTAAATTAATTTTATAATAAAAAGTAGAATAATATTAAATGTTAACAAGAATGTCAAATAAGAGATTCGCTAATACTTAATCTTTATAATTTTTAGCTGAATAAAAAAAAGAAACTAGTAAAGTTAATTTAAGATCAATAAAAGAAGAATTTGAATCAATGAAAAAAATGTAAGACACATATAAAAAATAACAAGAAGAAAAATAATCAAATTTATAAAAAGTAATTTATGTAGGAGAAGAAAATATTGGACATAATGCTATTAAAATAGAACATGCTTTATAAATGAATTCTGAATGTGTTAGATAAATTGAAAAATTAGAAATTGAAAAATAAAAAAAAATAGAAAAAAAATTAGAAAGTCGTTATATATTGACTTATATTGAATGTTTTGAAAATTTTGAAAGAATTTTTATGTAACCAACAGGAGCGTAAAATGCATATAGAATAGTTGATGAATTTTAAGTAAATGAAGAATAATTACGTAAATATTCTTAATAATAAATTTAATTTGAGTAATCAGCAAATATATAGATGAGTGAAGAAGATTTTGATCGTAATGAATTATTATCATAAATAACTAAATTTTATGAATAAGGAGAAAATAGAACTAAATATATTTTGAATTTTATGTTAGAATAATATTGGCATTTATAATCAACACTAAATAAAAGTAGTTTAGAATATGAAAATTTATTAAAATAAAAAAAAGTATTATTGGATGCAATTGAAAATTTAGAATGGGAAATAAATGAACTTAAATAGAAAAATCCAAATTTAGAAGTTCATGAATATTCTTCTGTAGCAGAGGATGCTGGATTATTAGAAGTGAAACAATAAATGACAACACTAAACATTAAAAAGATGGAAATGGAAGATCATTCAGATAATGTTTTATATTAAAAAGCTTCAAGGGCTTAAGGTTTATTAATGAAATTTTAATTGGGATTAGCAGAATTTATGCATAGAGTATTTTAAATAATTTCTCTTATTGATAATAAAAATAAAGAAATAAAAAAGTTTAAATATACGGGTTTGTCAAATGAAATTTTGAATTATGAAAAATATTTAGCAAAAGTTTATCATTCAAATGAAAAGAAATTTTAGATAACAAATAATTCAGAATAAATGGATATTCAACCATTACATTTAAATTTGTTTTAAATTTCTAATATAATTTCATAAGTATTAAATATCAATTAAAATATTGTTGAAGAAATAAGTTCCTATTTCTTTATATAATGTAAAACAGATTAAATTTTATGGTTTCATCTAACTTAAGACAATTTCACTTCATTTATAAGTCAATTTAAGTTTTTAGATGTTATATTAATTTAAAAGGAACTTCAATCACCAAAAGTAATTAATTAATTTAGAGAGTAATTAGTTGATATTTTTACTAATAATTTTAAAGAATTATTTACATTTTTTACTAATATGTATAGTAAGGTTAAAGACATAGCTGAAGATTTATTAATTCATTTGAAAGAAAATAATCCAAAATTTGATTTTAATAAATTAAATCGAAACCTTACTAAAGAAGGTTAAGATATAAAATAAGCAAAAGAATTAATAATAAAAAGAATGATTGAATATAAAACTGGAGATAATTTTGCATTAAGAAAAGAGAATTCTATTCAAGCTCTTAAAAATGCAAAAACAAAAATAGAAGATGATTAAGTTATAGAATAGGTTTAAATTAAACTATAACAAGATTATTAAAATTCTAAAGATTTGTTTCCATTAAAAGAGGAATTCGATGAATCTTAATTAACTTAAATTAAAAGTTTCTTTCGATAAAAAATTAAGGAAAAGAATGAAGAAAAGAAAGAATGTAAAACAGATTAAAATTCAACAAAGGATTAAATTACAATAATAAAGGATTAGTAAGATTTTTAATAGAAAAAAAAAGTATAAGAAAAAAATGAAAATAAATATGAAAAAGCAAGAAATAAAAAGAATTAAGAAGTTAAACCACAAAAATAAGTAATAAAAGATGAATTAGAATAAGAAAGAGAATTATTAAAATAATAGATTGCCTCAAATGTTTAAAAAATGTAGGAGGAAAAAGAAAGAAAAGAGAAACCTGAACTTAAGGAATAATAAAATGAAAGAAAAACATAAATAAAAGAATCAACTGAAAGACTTTATGGAGAAAGAGGATATACAGTATAATTGGTTAGAAATATGGCTTTGACATCAAATATCTTAAGTGATATTGATTAATTAGAACATTTTTAGACCAAAATTGAATAACCATAATTAGTAAGTACTTTTGTTATGTAAAGAAAAAATCTTCATAAGAATTTAACAAAAGATTTAACATTACCATAACTTTCATATTTAAAACCAACAAGTGCATATATTGCAAGAAGAAATTAATCTTCTGAATAAATTAAAGCTATGGATTATAAAAGATATTATGAAATAGAAAATGGAGTAAGCATAAGACCATAAACATAATAATTAGCAAGAAAATCTATTTCTAAATAAAAAAATAATACTTTTAATACTGAAGAATATAAGAAAAAATACTCTGTTAAGAATTTAAAAAATTATAATAGTGACATAAAAACTAATTAAATACCTTAACCTATAGCAGAATTTCCTACAAATAATGGTCCTTAATCATGTTTAATCCCTTAAATGAATTGATTCATAATAATTTACGCATATATTATAAATAATTTATCAGTTTAAATTTCATTTGTTTTTGAAAAATACAAGTAATTAAGAGATTTTTCAATTAGATTCTATGTTTGATAAACTTAATGGACTTATACAAAATTAGGGATTATAAATAGAAAGAATATAGATTATAAATTAAGATATATCATACAATCTATTTATTCATAAAAATAATTCTAATTTACGTCTAAACCTCTTGAAATTATAACTATGTATGAAAAATTGAATACTTTGTTCTTGAAAAAGAAATTTCACATTTTATTTAATTTTTTATTAATCAAAAAAAATTAAACAACTTAAAAAATAAGATGTAATACTCAATAATGAGTTTATCTAAAGTGTTTTATACTTTTCTTATTTCATTATAAAAATTTCTTACTTTACTATTGATAAAAATACATCTGAAGAATATGATTTACCAAATTGATTAACACAAACTTAATAATTATAAAGAGAAAATATGAAAATGAATTTTTCTTTAGATTGTAATGGGATTATTGAAACTGCAAAATTTATACATATTCATAAGATTATAATATAAATTTTAATTGAAATCAAAGAATTTCAAATTAAGCTCTGCAAATCATAAAATCAATAATATTAATCTATGGCTATTCAATAATAGACTTTCCTGAAAAAGTCTTTTAATTAATAAAATAAGGAATAAATAAAGTTTTTGTAAATATTATAACTTATATAAACAAAACCTTTTGGAAGAATATGTAATAACATAAAAAAGGAATACTTTTTTTAGAATAAAAAGAGAGGTTATTTTAGAAATAAAGAATTATTATAAACTTAAATATATTAGATATAACATACTCCTTCATTTATAAAAATTAAGTATATATCTAAATAATATATTTATGGGATTAAAATGTGTTAATAGAAATTTTGAAGCTCTCAATAATTTAAAAAAACATCCATTATTCAGATAAAATAAAATAACATGTTTTTAAAGATTAAAAAATATTTAAGAATAATTTTTAAATAATAGAAATAAAAAAATGTTTTAGAGAGTTTAATTACTAAGTTATTAATTAAAGTATAAACGAAAAAATAATAAAAACAAATATAAAATATCATAGACAATTATCATTTTTATGGATATTAAGTTTAGATGTTTAGAATAGTTTGGAATTAATCGAGAAGTTTAGTTTATGTAAATGTTCTTGATCAACAAAATTATTATCATGTTCATAGTTGTTTAATTCATATTCATCTTCAAAATCATATTGTTAATTTTTTTATTAGGGTAGAGTTTTAGATGGAAGACGAATACCATATTTATCAAACTAATTTTATTCTTTTTCATTTGATGCTCTTGAAAAAGAACTAATTTCTTATTATTTTAAATATTCTTAACTTTTTCGACTGATAGGAACACTTAAAATAGAAATGGTTCTAACTTTGTTACCTAAATTTTAAGGAGTAGTTTATGTATTAGCTTAACTAACATAATTAATTCCTTAATCCATTTCCATACTTGCATGCATATGAATATGAGTTTCACCTTTTGCATTTATATCATGATATTGTTTTGATACAATTTATTTGGGTAATGAAATTTAACAAAAAAAGGGCGTTTAAAAAAATTAATGATTTAAAGCTTCACTTATTGTAATTCTATCTTTTGGATATTTTTTAGTCATTTAACAAATCAAATTCTCTACTAAATTCATAATTTCAATATATACTTACAGGTTTTAGGGTATTTTGATGCAGGTATTTCAAAATATGCTTCAGTATTTTTCTTGATCGTTTATTTTAAATCATTTTATTTAAATGGATTATATCCATATAATACAACAAATAATGTAATTCCAATACTAAAAATATCACATTATTAATTATAAGTTTTCTTAGATTCTTCATATTTCAATACTTCAGGTGCAGAATATCTATTTTATATCTTAAAATAATACCCTGGACTTCCACATTAAGGAAATGGAATTGATTTTTACCAAGTAAATGCTGCTAATCCAAAATCAATTATAACAGGTCTTTATATATCATTTCCATTTAATAATATATTCTATGGTTTTATATCTCTATGCATCACTTTTTATTAATGAATTTACTCTATTGCACTTAAAATATTAAAAATCATTATTCTTAAATCTTCTTATTAATATATTTTTTTTGAGGATTATTATGATACTAATTCAGGACCATCTATATGTTCAGTTAGCAAATAAATATTTGATTAATTTTCATATACTCTATATAATTTTAAGATATTTGGATGATTAAACATACGTAAAGCTTAGATTTCATTTAGTAATTATTCTTCATAATACTTATTTTTGTTAATTTATTTAATGGTTTGTTTTTTTATGATTTTTACAGCAAAAATCTCACCTTCTTTATTTTAGCATTAATGAACCTAAAATTATTTATATAGATTTACTGTTGAGAAGCTTCCCTATCCTATTTAGGCTCCTAATTTATATGTTTTATCAAAATCACTAAGGATACAACAATTAGATAATGCTTCCACCCATATATTGAATTACTTTTTATCTTCTGTATATAAGTGTATTTAATAACCATTATTTATCAATGATATTTGTAATCCTTATTCAAACTCATTAAATTAACAATACACTGTATCTAATTGCACAAATCCTTTTATACGATTCCCTTTTCCTACATCTGAATATAATAAAAATTGTTTGACCAAAAAGTAAGTTCTTACACATCTTTATTTAAAAGTCTTTCCAACTTTTGTAAAGTTTCCCATTAACACTTAAAAATTTTAAAAATCCTCTTAATCAAATGTTGGAATATCAGTTTTGTTCCAAAATTCTTAATTTTCCACTTGACCTTTACTAAATATCATATTTATTATTAAAAATTAACAAATTGAATAAAATTGCTTCAATTCATTTTCTAATGTTGATCTTTTTAATCATTTCTTTATTTAATCTTTCTTAATATCTCTAACAACATAATACTTGTAGAGACTATAAGCAAATAATAATTAATTTTCTAAATAATCATAAATCTAAAATTGTCAAAATAATTATATCTTTTTATCTTAGTTATAATATATATCTATTTATAAATATATATTTTACAAAAAGAATCTTAATTTATACTTAACTATTCTTAGAATATTTCAAAAATATCAAAAACCTTAATTTTCTATGAATTTGAAACAAACTTAAATTAATAAAAAATTGTTTTTAAATTGTAATACAACTTCTAATTTTTATTTATATTTAAATCTAATTTTGGCATTCAATTTATGCTAATATTTTGCTTCTATAGTTTAAATAATAAAAAATTTATATCTCTTATCTTTTTTTATCCAATTAATTATTTATTCATAAAAAATAAGAATTTAGTTCATGAAAATTCTATCTTGAAAATTCTTAAAATATTTTACTACCAGATTATTGTAGAATAGATAAAGTAATTAAAAAATTATTTAATTATAATTCAATTTATTAATTGGAATGATTTTTTTAAACCAGAAAGGTAAAAATCTTGCAAAAATTAACTTTTCTATAATTGTAAATAAGAGCGAATAAATATTGAGAAATGTGATGTTTAAGAATAGCAAATGTTATTAAATTTATATTGATGATGATAAGTTTAGATTAATAGTATATATAATTATTATTTAGAATAATATTATGATTATTTTAAAATTATCGATAAAATGATAAATAATAATAATGAAACAATATTTTATGAAATAGGGAAATAAATAAATTATTTTTATAAAACATTTATGATTTATATATTTTTAATAAAGAATTGAGCTGATAAATATAATAATAATAATAATATTAAATTTTAATGAATATGCTATAATATAAAGATAATTAGAAAAATCAGAACAGATAGTAAGATTTTTTATCTAAATCTGGAAGTTTGGGTAATTTTCGTAATCTATTACCATATTCTCTTTATTTTTCATATTGTAAATCAAGACTCTTTTTGGAAATATTAGGTTTGAGTGTTTGTAATTTTTTGATTAAATTCATATTTTCTAAGGAACTATTAAAAGTATTATTAGGACTCTTAAGATCAATTTAAGAGATGCCTCTTAATCTATTGATATTGACATATGGATTTTCTCTTTCTTTGATTCTTTCTATTTTATCATCTAATAACTTATAAAATTGAGAATAGAAATACTTTTTGTAATTTATCTTATGCATTTTATTATTGTTATTTATTAAATTTGGATGTATGTTGAAGCATTAAAAATCTAGAATTAGTAGCACTTTTATTTGATTCAATATTTTTATAGATATTGAATTTATCTTTATCAATTTCTTCCATTCTTTTGAAATGATTATAATACTCTTCTAATTGATATGATTCAATAGTTGGATTATGAATAATAAAGCGATTAGCTTTCATAAATAAGAGTTTCTTAATTAATTAAGTTTATTGATAAAATAAATGTACTTATTGTAATATTTTTATATGTATATTTTTACTCATACGAGTTTGATATCCTCAATATGGACTGGAGTCATTGGAAGATATTTATATGATGGATCAGCATATTTAGTTTTTTTAACATGTTCAGATTATGTTGATCTTTCTTTAATAATTTTTGCATGTTATTTATGATACTAATTATTTGAATAAAATAATGATATTTACTCTTTTCATCATTTCAGCTGTATAAATAGAGCTTATTTCTGTATAATGTGCTGATAATCTTTGATTTAATGTATTCAATGGAAAATGTAAAGAATTGGTTGCCTTTTTCATGACATAATCTAAATTATCAGGACTAAGAATATAACATTAAAATAACTTACTAGTATGATCTATTTTCAGAAGAATAATATACTAATCTGAATAGACCAGCTAATACAGCAATAGGACCTAAGAATACTGCTGCTCTCATTGGTCTTAACATATGATATCCTTAATGAGTTAATCCTCTATATTATATATTCATATTTCTACTTTAATACTGAGTATTTATGTCCCATAAAGGCTGTAGCAAATAATACTCTTCTATTAAAGTAAACAAACATTTAATTTGTTGGATGAAAACCAAATTCTCTTGGTCCAATCAAGAAAAATCTACCAATCTTTCCCAAAAGACCTTCATATTTACTTTATTACACTACCTGATCTTTTAGCTAATTTCTCATTTACAACCACTGCAACTGGTTATAAAATCTTTAACCATGCCTATTGAATAGGATTCATCTTAATTAAATAAATGTTATAAGAAACTTTTAATAAAAATTACTAATTACGCATTCGCAAATCCTTACCCAAATAACTGCCTAAACCATCTTTTGTTCCTATTATTGAAAGAAATTATCAACTCTCTAAGATAAATCAAAATTACTAATTTCCTAGAAATGATACTTCCTTAGATTCTTGTGATGAAATGGAAATTTATGGTGTTTATGATCTAAATTAGTAAAACAACAAGAAAATTAAATTTAATAAACATCTTAGTGTTTTAGATGTTTAAATTCCTATCTAAAAAAGAAGACTTAAAACATTACATGAAGATAACCCAAAATAAATCAATTTATCTCTAAATATACAAAGAATCAAAACAGAGGTGTCTTAAGATAATATCTCTATTAAATTGCCATCTCTTAAATTTAGATCTAAAAAGAATGTGTTATAACTCAGATCAATTTCAAATACAATTTGCCATCAGTGAATATTATGACAATTTAAATTATCAACTTTTATCATCTCTAATTATTATTCTTTCTTAACATTGTTATACATTTTTATTTTACCAAAACATAATAAAATTTTCTGAATACCTTTATCTATAAATTAAAATCTTAATTTAAAATAATCTTAATTTACATATCTTCTTTTTTTCTATACTAAAGCTCTTGGTTGTTGCTGATAAATTTTTTGGAAAATATTATAATTTTTAATATAATCCACTATTTGATATAACTTTATAAAGAATAAAGTTGGAATCTTAAGATTATATGTATTAATGATTTAGCTAATAGTTAAATTTTATTATGATTTTTTGAGTTAACAGTATATATAAATTTGGAATTATAAAAATATGAATAGCAGGATATCAAATTTTGATAAATAAGGTATTTTGAATAATTTTAATAATAATGTCTGAATATCATGATGAATTTTAAGAAGATCAATAAAAATTGAATGCATTAAACCTGTCTTGGACATTAGGGTTTAATTACAAAATGGTAAATGGTGTTCACAACCTGACAAATGATTCTCGTAAGGTATGATAAATTTGAATGTTAGGAAATATTTTATGCAACAGCACATACAGGAGTGATATTTGATTATGGAAACAATTAATAAAGATTATTACAAGGACATGTATATAATTGTATGATTTTAGTGTAATAAAATATCATGCACAGCATATTGTAAGGAATTGGACATAATTGTAACTGCTGATGCAGGGCCTGATAGTATGTTAGTAATATGGGATGCAAAGACAGGAGTACCAAGAAGGACAATATTTGAACCACATACAAATGGTGTATAAGCAGTGGATATTAGTGAAAATGGATAATATTTAGTAACATTATCAAAAGAAGAACCTGATAAAATATAATCTATATCATTTTGGGATTGGTAATCTTAAGATCCTCGTCTAAGAACAACAGTCTTAGATGATAAATTAAAAGATTATTAATACTATGTGACTATTAATAATAATGCCGAATAAAAATAGAATTAGCAATAAATATTTGAATTTGCTACTACAGGTAAGAAGAGAGTAGTATTTTGGAGTTGGGAATATGGAGCAGCAGGATTTGAATATTACAGTCCTGAAGTTTAAAAGAATAAAGTATTGACTTAAACAGTATTTATTCCAAAAAATAAAAATGTTGTCACAGGAACATTAGATGGATATATAATAGTTTGGGATGTATCTCTAATTATTGAGGAATATGGATAACCAGATGAGAGAAGAGTGATTAAAATAGTAAATCTGATGAATGTGGCTAATAAATCTGAAACTTAATAGAAGAAAGGAAATGCTTAGATATTACTATTAAGAGTTTAAGGAAGATATTTGGTAGTAGGAGCGTCAAATGGATCTATAAGATTTTATGATTTTAAATTTAGAATTCGAGCTTGGTTTGAAGATGTTGTGATTGGATAAAATGGATTAAATATTTAATGTATTAGTTCAATAANTATATAAATTTGGAATTATAAAAATATGAATAGCAGGATATCAAATTTTGATAAATAAGGTATTTTGAATAATTTTAATAATAATGTCTGAATATCATGATGAATTTTAAGAAGATCAATAAAAATTGAATGCATTAAACCTGTCTTGGACATTAGGGTTTAATTACAAAATGGTAAATGGTGTTCACAACCTGACAAATGATTCTCGTAAGGTATGATAAATTTGAATGTTAGGAAATATTTTATGCAACAGCACATACAGGAGTGATATTTGATTATGGAAACAATTAATAAAGATTATTACAAGGACATGTATATAATTGTATGATTTTAGTGTAATAAAATATCATGCACAGCATATTGTAAGGAATTGGACATAATTGTAACTGCTGATGCAGGGCCTGATAGTATGTTAGTAATATGGGATGCAAAGACAGGAGTACCAAGAAGGACAATATTTGAACCACATACAAATGGTGTATAAGCAGTGGATATTAGTGAAAATGGATAATATTTAGTAACATTATCAAAAGAAGAACCTGATAAAATATAATCTATATCATTTTGGGATTGGTAATCTTAAGATCCTCGTCTAAGAACAACAGTCTTAGATGATAAATTAAAAGATTATTAATACTATGTGACTATTAATAATAATGCCGAATAAAAATAGAATTAGCAATAAATATTTGAATTTGCTACTACAGGTAAGAAGAGAGTAGTATTTTGGAGTTGGGAATATGGAGCAGCAGGATTTGAATATTACAGTCCTGAAGTTTAAAAGAATAAAGTATTGACTTAAACAGTATTTATTCCAAAAAATAAAAATGTTGTCACAGGAACATTAGATGGATATATAATAGTTTGGGATGTATCTCTAATTATTGAGGAATATGGATAACCAGATGAGAGAAGAGTGATTAAAATAGTAAATCTGATGAATGTGGCTAATAAATCTGAAACTTAATAGAAGAAAGGAAATGCTTAGATATTACTATTAAGAGTTTAAGGAAGATATTTGGTAGTAGGAGCGTCAAATGGATCTATAAGATTTTATGATTTTAAATTTAGAATTCGAGCTTGGTTTGAAGATGTTGTGATTGGATAAAATGGATTAAATATTTAATGTATTAGTTCAATAACTAATTTGTCATTTGCCAATGAGAATATGTTTTAAGAAGATTTAGAAACAGAATCTGATGAAGAGAAAGATAAGGATGAATAATCTTAAAAAAAATCAAAACCATTTGTATGTTAAGATTTCATTGTAGTTGATGATAAAGCAAATGTTATTTTGTTAAAGTCTTAACAATTCTAAGAAATTGAAAAAGAAAAGAAAAAAGGAACAGTTATTATGTCATCAATAGTGTCCCCTATAATATCTATTTCTGTTAGACCAAATGTTACTGTTGTAGCATTTAGTTGTGAAGATAATAAAATTTATGAATGGAATTTTTATGAGAAACATAATAAATTAAAAGAGATAAAAGAGAAAGGAAGTGAATTATAAATTTAAAGTACTTTTATAGAATATAGTCCTGATGGTAATTATTTAGCTGTTTGTTCCAAAAACGGAATTGTTCATATGTATGATTGTAGAGAAGAAAAATGGCTTAAGAATCTATTAGTTTCTGAAACTGATAAAACTAAACCCAAAATTACTTATTTAACTTTTAGTATTGATTCAAAATATTTTGCTACTATTGATGAATCATATGCAGTGAGTGTATTCAATTTCGATTTTGATCCTAATAGTTAATTAAAATAATAAAAAGAATGGATATTTGCAGGTAAGTATAGAGTTCATCATGGACCAATAAAATCTGTTGCTTTTGGTGAAACACTTGATGAAAAAAATTAAGTGTAATTAAAAGTATTTACAATTGGTGAAGATATGAAATTAGCAGTTTATGATGTTTTAGATCCTACATAAGATCCATATAATAGAGTAAAATTAAGAAGTGTAGTATCTATTGAATAAGAATGTTTACCATCAGCTTGTATTTGGTATCCAATCAATTTATAAAGAGAAGATGTTTTATTAACAACTAATAGTGAATTCAAATTAAAATTATGGACTGTTTTAAAAGATCTTCGTATCATTTGTAAAAAGACATGTTTAGGTCCTACTTTTGGTGGACATATCAAACGATTATTATTATTAAATCCAAGTGATATGAAAAATGAATATTAAGATAAATATTTAGCATATTCTACAGGAGAGAAAGTTGTTGGGATTATTAAATTACCTTTAGATGGTAATCCTAATAAAACAATGGGTTTAATTGCACATCCTGAAAAGATTGTTGATTTATCATCTACTTAAGATGGTAAATTATTTTTTACTTCAGGTGGAGATGATTTTGCAATAAATATTTGGAGTGTTGATTTTGCTGCTTTAGAAGATAATTTTTAAACTTAAGAAACAGAATATGAAATATTTTCAAATTTACTTGATGGAGGTCCTGAAGGATAAACTTTAAGAGATTTGAAAGATTTTTTTTATTATAGTCAAATTAGATCAAAAGATGAACATACAACAAAGGCTAGAAAATTAGATGGTTTAGTTCCATTAACTGCTATTGCAGATATGATGAGATCAATGGGATATTTTCCTACAAATTAAGAAATTGAAAATATGATAAATGAGATAAAATTTTCAAAATATCTTGAAACAGGGGAATAAATATCAGAATTAGAAATAAATACATTTCTTAAATTGTATGTAAATCATAAACCAGTAAATGGAGTTACTAAAGGATAAATATATGATGCATTAAAGACTCTTTCAAGTGATACTGGAGTTATGCCTTGGGATTAATTTATCGAAGTATTAAAATCAAAAGGTGAAAAATTAGATGAATAAGAAATAGAATGTAATATTGAATATATAAAATAGATTATTTGGAATCATTGATGCCAAACAAAAATTATCCATAACAATTACATTTAAATAATTTATGTGATGATTTATTAGGTTTTGAAGATATGGATGGAACTTAGGAGTAATAAGAACAATAAGAAGAGGTTTAAGATGTTGGATCTGAAGATGAATAGTAATGAATTATATTTATTTTTATTATAATATTAAAATTAAATGATTATGGTAGTAGTTAATATAGAGGAAGGTATTTAAATGTATAAATATATAAAAAAAAATAAAAATAAAAAAGTATTTTGAGTATGATGAAAATGAGTAAATGAGGATTATGTAGATGATTATATAGCAGTATAATATTTAAATAATAAAAAAGTTTGGCAAATCCAAGTAATTAATTAGAAATAATGATTGTTAATAATTATATTTTTCAAATTCAAATTTTTCAATGTATAAAGAAGAGGCAATTCCATTAATCACATATGATGCTTAAAATAGAAGTATATAAATGATCAATAGATAGGTTATAATTTGGGAGAAGAGGCGGCAAAAATGATTAGATCTATAAATACTCCCATAGCAATAATATCAGTAGCAGGTTTGTATAGAACAGGGAAATCTTATTTGTTGAATAGAATAGTACTTAATCGTAGTAATGGTTTTGGAGTAGGACCAACAGTAAATCCATGTACAAAAGGTATGTGGGTTTGGGGGACACCAATAACAGTAGGGAAGACTACAATTTTGATAGTAGATTCAGAAGGAACAGGTGCATTAAATGATTCAGATGTTAATCATGACACAAGAATATTTGCTCTTGCTGTTTTATTAGCTTCATCATTTGTTTATAATTCAGTTGGAGCTATTGATGAAGGAGCATTAGAATCATTAAGTTTTGTTGTTAATTTAACTAAATTTATATAATTAAGATCTAATGAAGAACCAGATTCTGAAGAGTATGGAGAATTTATGCCATAGTTCTTTTGGGTTTTGAGAGATTTCTCATTATAATTATTAGATAATAATGGAGATACATTAACAAGTCATTAATATTTAGAGAGATCCTTATAAGAATAACCAGGATTTTGTGATAGAGTTGAAGAGAAAAATAGAATTAGAAGATTATTAAGAACATTCTTTCCAGAAAGAGAATGTTTTACTTTAGTTAGACCAGTTAACAATGAGAGTTAATTATAATCATTACAATATTTGGATCTTAAATAATTAAGACCTGAATTTTATGAATAAGCAATATCATTGAGAAAAATGTTATTCTCTAAAGTTAAACCTAAATAATTTAGAGGTAAAACACTTACTGGTGGAATGTATATTAATTTAATTAAGTATATTATATTATTTTATTATTTAGTTCTTATTTATAAGCTATGAATAATGGATGTGTTGCAACTATTGAAAGTTCATGGACTTATGTATTTAGAGAGGAGTGTAGAAAGTTATAAACTGAAGCCTTTGATATTTATGAAAAATAAATAAAAGAAAATTTATTATCTAAATTACCAACTACTCTTGAAGATATCAAAGCACTTAATAAGATATGTAAGACTAAGGCTATTGCACATATGGGTACTAATATTGAAATTACTCCATATCTTAATGAATTAAAACATAAAATCAAGGCTAAATTTGAAAATCTTTAGGCTTTTAATGAAACTGAATCTGTAGCTTTATGTAAATAATATTTAGTATCTCAATTTGCTCCTATTGATTAAAAATTAAAAATGTCAGAATATAAATCTTATGCTGAATTTGAAAAAGATTTAAAACTATTTAATATCTTTTTAGAAGAACATGGACCTAAAGTTGTTAAAAGAAAATAAATGTTTGTAGAATTTATATAAAAAATGACTAGTGAAGGAGCTACATTTTTTGTTTAAAATATTCATTAAGATTTTGAAGGTTATAAGAAGTTTTCGGAAGAATCAATAAATAAATTATAAAATGGATTTAATACATTAAAATTAGATTCATAAAAATAAGTAGATTAATAAAATTAATAAATTAAATAATTGAATTAATAGAATAATGATTTAAATTAAAAATATAAAACATAATGTGATGAATTTGAGTAATTAAAGTAAAGAAATGCTCAAACTATTTAATAGATGAAAACATAATTTGAGAATGATTATAATAAATTATAGATTAATTTTGAAGAATTGAAATAGAAATGTTAAGTAGCAGAAGAAGCATTGAAAAATTCAGAGAGAGAATAATTCATTTTGTAAAGTGAATCTAAAAAGAAGGAAGCTTTATTCGAATAAAAAATATAACATTTATAAAAGTTGAATGATGAATTTAATAAAAAAGAGAAACAATACGATTCAAGTTTGATGACCTCTAAAAGTGAATTTTCAGTTAAATTGAGAGAATTGACAACATCATATGAATAAACTTTAAGTGAAGTAAGAAATTAGAATTTATAATTAAATGAAAAATTGTAAGAGACTTCAGATTAATTAATGTAATTAGAGATTAAATATGAAAATTACTATTAAGTTTAAACTCATAAAGAGGAGAGTTAAAGTAATGCAATAAAGAAATTGATGTTATCTTAATAAACATTACAAGAATAAATAAATATTGAAATTTAGAAGAATAAATAACTTTAAGATGAATTGTTATAGACTTAGATGTAAGTAGAATCAAATGAAGTAGGTGAATAATATAAATAATAAGTAAAGTAATTGGAAATTAGATTATAAGAATAGAAATAAATATAATTGAAAAGTGATGCAGTTTTGAATCAATAAATTTAATTTTTATAGATGGAATTGGAAGAGAAGAAAAATACTATAAATGATGTAAAAAAATCTCATGAATCAGCAATGTTAGCTTTAGAACAATCATAAAATACTTAAAATCAATAATAGTTAAATAAATCGATAATAGATTTGAAAGAATAACATATGATAGAAGTAAGATAAATGGAATAGAATTCATAATAGTTGAGAAAGCAATTATAATAATAATTAGATTAATTGTAGGGTGAATTGTAGGAAGCAGAGTTAAGAGGAGATGTATTTTTATAGGAGAAAAATAAATTATAGGAAGAATTAAGCGAATCATATTAAGTTTAAGATGAATTAAAATAGAAGATATAATAATAGATGAAAGAGATGGAATCAAATAAGTATACATAATTTAGAGAGAAGGAATTGAGAATGAATTAAAGGATTAAACAATTAGAGGAAGAATTAAGTTAATGCAAATTATAATTATAGAATATGGGTAATTTGGATAAGAATAGTATTGAATAATAAGTGAATGAGTTAAGAAATTATTATGAAATGGAAAAGGATGTTTTGGAAAGAAGAATTCATGAAGAAAGATAGAAGGCTGATTAGAAATATTAAATATTATTTGAAGAATAAGAATAAAAAATGAGAGATGAATAATAATAGTATGAAGAAGAAATAGAGACATTGAAAGATGAATTGAGAGAATTAGAAATCAATTTAACAACATAATAATAATAATATGATAATGAAATAGAATTAAAAAATAAGTAACTTAATTCTATGGAAAATATATTGAATGAGACAAAAGAATAATTGTTATAATTATAAAATAGTTTTTAAACTTAAGTTGAATAAAGAATTAATAATTTAAATGTAACAATTTAATCATTAGAAAGTTAATTAACTACATAATAATAGAATAATTAATAATTAGTAAAGGAAAACTAATTAATAACTTAGAAGATGGAAAATTTGGATGTGAAACTTTAATAGAAATTAAGCGAATTTAAATAATTGAAAGATGATTAAGAAAAAGAGAAGAATTAATTATAAGAATAATTGTAAGATTTAAGAAGAAAATACACAGTAACTTGTGATGAATATTTGGAAAAGAAAATAAATTATGAGAAAGCAATAGCATTGAGTGCTTAATAGAATGAATTTTTTGCTAAAAAAGTTGAAGAACTTGAAAGATAATTAGAGAGTTGTAATTTGAAATATGAAGAGAGAATAAAGATTTAGAAATAAGAATGGACTCAAGAATTATCAGATAGATTATAAAAATTAAATGAAGATAAGTAGATGATAGAATCAAAGAGTACTTAACTTAAAAAATAATTGAGAGAAAAAGAAACTTGGTTATTGAAAGCTTAATAAGATTTAGAGAAAGAAACAGCATTATCAACAGAAAAGATTGCATATTTAGAATAGAAATTAAGAGAACATGAATAGTAAACATCTTCAGAAAATACAAATGCTGCTATGTAATTAAAATAATTAAGAGAATAATTTAATTAATTAAAATAAAGATCATAAAATGAGATTGAATAACTTAAATCATAATTGACTAATCTAGAATTTGAGAAATAAGAAATATAAGCTAATTATGAAAAAGATAAAATTTTATGGGTAATTATTAAAATTTATATTTTTAGTAAGGAAAAACATAGTTTTTAGAATCTTAAAGAGAATCATTAAAATAAGAGTTAGCTGATGCAATGAGAAAGTTTGAAACAACTATTTAAACATTATAAAGATAGAGAAGTTTAGAGAGAAATGATCATAATTAAGATATTACAGAGATGTTAAGTTAAATAGAGAGAAAGTATTAAGATTAAGTTAAAGATATTTAATAATAAAATTAAAAGAAATGTGATGATTATTAAGAAAGAATTGAAAGATTAGAAAAAGAACTTAAATAATCTTAAAATAAAGAATTACTTGATTAATAATCAAAGATTGGATAATAATTTGAAAGAAAGACTGCTGAATTATTAGAGAATGAAAAGAGATTATTAAATACTATTGAAGAATTAAAATAAGAAAGAGATTAACGCATACTTGAACATCATGAAGAAGTAGAATAAGAAAAAGAATATTGGAGAAATAAAATTAATGAATTAGAAGAAAGATAACGAGAATCAGATAAAAAATAATCTTAATTAATCTTTTATCATGAAAAAGAAAGAGCTAAATGGAGTTAAGAAAAAGATTATATCATGTAATAAAAGATGGAATTGTAAGATTAATTATCCAGATTAGAAAAGAAAAAAGAATTATTGCTTAAAGAAAATGAGAAAATGAAGAATTCTTCAAAAAGTCTCAGAAAATACAATCCTAATCAAACTCTTAATAATAGTTATTTAAATAAATAAGCTAGTGATAAAAAGATACCTTCATAAGTAAATATATGTTTTATTCATTCTCTTAGGAAGTAGTTAATATGAGTTATGATGTTACCAAATCATTAGAGGATAAAGATTAAAGTACTAAGGAAAATTTATCTACTTCTACAACATTTGGTAGTTTCAAAAAGTATTATTAAATGATGAACTCAAAATAAGTCAGTCCTAGTAAAATTAAAGAAATTTCAGATATATGATAAATTAATATATATATAACACAAGAAACTCAAATTTATGCAGACCATTCTTATCTTAGTGAATTTTCATAAAGGGATCTTTCTAATATATTATTAGCAAATGTTAAATCAACACAATATTGATTTTATCTATCAATAATGCATTAACCTAATGCTGCATCATATAATGAAATAATAAATTTATCAATTTATCTAGGAGAGAAATGTTCCATTTATTTAGCCAATGATTAAATTTCATCATCTGATAAATTGAAATTGACTTTAAATCTCTTTGAAAAAGCTTTAGCAGGATTTAAAATTAAAGAAATAAAAGAACTTTTTTAAAAGGTATCCTCAAATCCTTTTTTTAATAATTTAACTCTTTATTCTTCATTCAAATAATCAAATTTAACTATTTAATCAATTCTATCTAAAATAGCTTCATCTAATTTATATGGTAAATTTGTAGCCAATATCAATGAATATTTTTTTGATGCTGCTGAGGTCTATGCTAAAAATGTTGATAAAGCAGCAGAAGTTTATTTTGAAGTACTTCTTTTATAAAATATTGCTTCAGCTTCATCTATAAATATAAGTGTTCCTTTAGGTGTAGATTAACACCAAGAGAATAATTTATCAATTTCTGGAACTGCCTATTCTCCTAATTTTTCAATATCTCCACCAGATATTACAGCAAAATGTAAACCTGAATTATAAGCAAGTAATTTTGCAAATAAAGTTTTACCTGTTCCTGGTTAACCATGAAATAATAAATTTCTTAAAGGAGCTGATTAACTTTATTTAGCAATAAATCCAGAAGTTATTAATTTCAATGTTGTTTCTAATCCAGGATTTAAAATTATTTTATCAAATATACGTTTAGAACTAGGCATCATCCATTTTAATGAACGACGAGATGTTTCTCTAACTAAACTAGGTTTAGTTAATAATGCTTCTAAACGTTTAAATCCAAGTCCTAAACTGTACTTACTAAAGAAAAAGGCACCACTCAAAAATAACATTACTTTTGCTATTGTTAATAAACCTTAAGGATTTTATTACAAATATTGAAATCCCTATTAAAATTTAGCAAAATAAAGATTATGCAATTCAATTTTAGCTTATTTTTCTATTTAAGCTTTTTTCTCTTATTCTTAAATAATTAAATCAAAATTCTTTCTATAATTTTCAGCATTTAATTTAGCCTACAAAGTGATTTTCTTTTCCTCTAATTCAAATTATTTTTTCATTTGCATAGTTAAAGTTTCTCTTCTCATATTTTCTTATCTTTTAATAGATTCTTCTGTTTCTTCTCTCATTCTTTATGCAGTTAATTCTTTATCTTTCAATTTGTCTTTGATTCTATCTCTTTCTAATTTATCATTATAATCTGCTATCTATTAATTCACTTATTTTTAATGATCCATATTTCTTCTTCTTTCATCTCCTTCTACTTTCACTTTTTAAATTTCATTTTATTTTTGCTATGCTTATTTTTCTGCTCTTTTAGCTTCTTCAGTCTTAATCATTGCTTCAAGAGCTTTTGCAGCATGAGGTGACTTATTCAATTCACGTAAGGCCTTAATTCATAGTTTTATATAATATACTTAAGCTGCTCTTTCTAATGCTGTTGGATCAAAGACTCCTTAATTCTTCATAATTAAATTTAATTATTTATGAATTGTGTAAATTGCAATGCAAAAATTCAAAACCCCGATCCAATTACTTAATGTCCTCATTGTAATCATCCATATTAAGATTGGTATTTCAGTTGTGAAAATAGCATACTCTTAGTTGATATGATTCTTTGTAAAGTAAGTGCTTATAGACATTTACTAATTAATAGTTAAGTAATCATTTTTTTATTTAACTTAAGTTTGCTCTAATTCCAACCTCCATTATTTTATTCATCACTTATATACTTTTAGAACTTTTCTACAAATATTAATCTAATATATTACATAAATAAGAATAAAATTTTGAAGATGTTTAAAAATAAACTATTTATATCACATTAGCCCTCTTATAATAAATTTTTACAATATACATCATCTCATTAATTATATTCAGAAAACTTTAACATTAATAACTCATTACTGGTTTGATTATATCCTAATTTGGCAGATTAGCTATTATTATGTTTGTTATTTGGGGTCATTAGCCATTCTACAAATAGATGGCTTCTCTTTCAATCGTATTGAGTGAATGGACTACTATAAGATCTTTGTGTGAATAAAAGAATGAGTGGTTAAAAAGTGGCATAGTCATCATTTTGACTGTACTTTTAAGATATTTTGTGAACAATAGTATCACAATATTATGATCATTTCAATAAAATGAATTGATAAAATCGTATTTAATAAATATTTTTTCATACTAATTATTTAACCATATAAACTCCTTCAGTATGATATCCTAATTTTCGATAATAATGTCTAGTTCCAATTCCTGCAATAACTGCCATTTTAGTACTTCCATGTTCTTCTCTAGCAATTTTTTCAGCTTCTTCCATAAGGAGTGTTCCATATCCTTAATGTTAAAATTTAGAAGGGTCTCTAGAATGAATAGGTACAACAGAACCATAAACATGTAATTCCCTAACCATAGAAGTAGGTTCTTGAGTTAATTCTTTTCTGAATGTATGTTTATCTAATTTCCTTAGTCTCAATAATCCTATTAAAATATCTTAGGAGGGATCTTCATAAGATAAGAATGTTTCCCATCCATCATTTGCTGTATAATCTCTTCTAATTAATTCAACTTATTCTGGTTTAATTTTATGATGCACTTCTTTGATTCCAACTTCTCTAGTTCTAACATCTCGACAGGCAACATTTAAATCTTTCATTCTTTATAATGATAATTCTCTTAAATTTCCATTATCCACTCCTGAAGTAACTAAAGGCATAGGAATATCTCTTTAAATTCTATATACTCTTGTCCATGGTGGAACTAATGCAAGTATTTTAGCAACAACATCAACTAAGAAATCAGGTGGATAATTTCTATATTATCCATTTTTCCATAATTCATATAGTCCAGTTCCTCTAATAACTAAAGTAGGGTAAATCTAATTGTTTATATATTAAAATACTTTTAATCCATCTGGTCTGAAATCTGGATTTTCAAAAAACTCTTTAAAACTTTCTAAATCTCTTTCTACTCCCATATTTGGTAAATCAGGCATCATATGAGTTACAACTTTATATCCACTATCTTTACTCATAGCAAAACATTTTTTAACAGATTCAACTGTATGCCCTCTATTAGTATCTCTTGCAACTAATATAATATAATTGTAATATCTACTATCTTCATAAATTGATTAAACACCAACTTCAATTCTTGTACATCCATACAATAACATATCACTTAAATGACTTTTCTAACAAAAATCAGGTCTAGTTTCTATTGTGATACCAATACATTTCGATCTACTCTCTTCTGAAAATTACACTGATTCTTTAACAGTTTATGAACGATGACCACTTAAAGCATCATGTAAATTTCTAATAAAATAATCTCTATATTCTTAATCTAAAGACATAAATGTTCCACCCATAATAATATATTCAACTTTATCGCAATCATGACCTAATTATTTTAATTATGCTATTCTATCTCTTGCCTATATATATGGATTATATCTTGCTCTAATTGCTCTCATACTTGTAGGTTCATAACCTGTATAACTTTAAGTTGAATATTCAAAATCACTATCTGGTCCCTTTCATATATTCATAAATTTTTTACTCCTGGACAATAAATACAAATATTTCCTGTTACTGCTATATGTGGACATCTATGAGGTTTTGCCATCACTGCTACCACTGCTATACCTGATGCTGTTCTTACTGGTTTTGCTTTCAATATTGGTATCAATTTGTCTTTATATTCATCAGGAATTGCTGATAAAATCTCTACTATCTTTGGTGCTCCAGATATCTTATTCTTTTTAGAAAATTCTGCTTTTATTTATGCTAAATTAATCTTCTAATTCCCATCATATTATTTTATCAATTCTGCAACTATCTCAGAAATGCATTTCAATTTATCCACTGTAGAATCTTACTATTTTTTACCCTTCTTCTCTTTTTACTCCATTAATTTATATTAAAAAAGAATTATATTTATATTTATTATAGAAATTATTTAATTAATAATGATAATAATTTATATTGGTATCTTTAAATATTTTCTTATTCATCTTTTCTCTTCCTAATGCTTCTTATCCTTATCTAACCAATATCACATTCTATATTAACATCACTCATTAATTTTATCATCTCTTTTCATATCTACCTTAAATTTTACAAACCAATTTCAAATCTCCCAGATCTCTCTCTTTATATAAACCAATATACTAATCTACTAAATATAATCAGCTATATTCATTATAATTCTGACAATAGCTTTTATTAAAATATAAAATCTCTTTCATCTAGATCGAAATTTCATATTTTTGTATGAACATTCAATTTATCATATTATACATTAGATTTCAATCTTTTTATCCTTCCCTATTCATTCATAAATCTTTAATTTTACTTATCTCTAATGTACAAAAAGTTGAGCCAACATATCATTTTTTTTACAAATGACATCATTTTTTTCTAGTCTCTCGCAATGGTCAAATCCTAAAAAATATTATAAAAACAAGACTGGCGATTTTCACTTTACATTTCAAATTTAGAAATACAAACAACTATACAAATAAGCTAAAATGTGATATATAATTATAAATTTAGTAAAGTACAAACACTAAAAGAAATTCATTCAAAATTTTGTTGGACTTCAGCAAACTTTTTCGTTAGATAAGAATTCCAAGAATAAAGCTTCTCAGTTAATTCTAAAACTTAAGATGTTTTTCTTGTTCTTTATGTAAATTAAAATGAGTATGCTCTCTTTGAATTTTTAGTTGTTAATGGAGATGTTAATATAGTCTTAAGCTCAGTATCATCTTCTTCAGGCACTGGTGATATATCTCCAAAGCTTTGCAAGCTTGACAAAGGGGACTTCTCTTATTTCTACATATCAATCTGAAAATAATTAAAAAAATATTAAAATATTATAGATATCCTAAATCTTGCATATATTAATACTCCCAATTGCCGACCAAATTATTTTCAATTATAATCTGTCCAATAATGGTCAATTCTAAAAAGTTCAGTTTTTATTATTTATTTTCTCTCCTCTTCAGAGGATCTATTTGTACTACAAATTCTATTAATAATATGTTGAAAATAGAATATGCGTAAATTAATTTACAAAAACATTTACATACAGTTTATTAAATAAATCAAAATTTATTTAATAAAAATAATTTATTATTCTCCTTAATACCTGAAAGAATAATATCTAAAATTTCTCTTATATGAATAAAAATAATATAAAATTCATATTAAACATAATTAAAATTATTATCTTATTCATTTAAAACCTAATATTTTGTAAATTTTATTTATAAAAAATTAGATTTTCTTTTAATTAGGTTGAAAAAATGTTTAAATTTAATATTTTCGATGTGATGAATATTTAATATATAAATAAAGAATATAATTTGAATTAAAAATCGTTAACTCTAAAACTATTGATAGAAGAATGAATATATTATTGAGAATATAAATCATAGATTAATTGATATTTTGTCAAAATATTGAATATCTTAGATAGATTAATTTTATCATAATTTATATCGATAATAATGAATTTTTGATTAAAATAAATATATTCATAAATAAAAAAATGTTTTCTGTCATAGTAACAATTTTCCATCTTTTGACAGCATTAATTTCAATCTTGTGTGTAAATAAGGGATTAAAGAAATTTAATTCTCCTTTATACAAGAATTTGAATATTCCAGAGAAATATAAAGCATTTAGAAGGACAGATATAAATAATTGGAATAGATGGGAAATGTATATTTGTAGCTTAATTTTATTTCCTTTGAGACTAATTTTAAATTTAGCAGTAGTGATATTTTTTATAATAACAATGTGGGTAGCAACGCTAGGTTAAAACTATTTATTTTAACATTTAGGTTTTAAGCTAAAGAATCCTTGGCCTGAATCTAGATTGAAAGCATTTAAGCCATTATTATAAAGTTTGGCAAAATTGTATCTTTATTCGAATGGATTTATATTCATAAAGGAGAAAACATTGAGGTAAATAAAAGTAATATTTTATAAAAAGATTTGAAGATTTTATTCCTGGTTATTAGAAGACAGATTTAAGTAAAGGATAACCTTCAATAATAATTTCAAATCATTCTAGTTGGTATGACACAATAACTTATGTATATAAATATTTACCTTCATTTATGTCAAAAGTTTCAGTGAGTAAATATCCATTTTTTGGATGGATAACAACATCATTAAAATCAATATATGTTGATAGAGAAAATGAAGAGAGTAGACATAAATGTGTAGCAGATTTAGCTGAAAGAGTGAAATAAATAAATTAAGGGTAATTGTATCCTCCTGTGATTATATTTCCAGAAGGTACAACAACAAATGGGGAATGTTTAATACCTTTTAAAAGAGGAGCTTTTGATCCATTATTGCCAGTTAAAATTTGTTGTTTGAAATATTCAAAAAGAAGATTTCATCCAGTTATGGATGTTATTGGTATTGGATATATGACATTATTTGCATTAAATTAATTTGTGAATGAAGTAGAAATAATAGAATTTGAAGATCTCTTTGATCCAACTTACCTTAATTTACAAAATTATCCATAAGAAAAAAGAGTATTATAAATGATATATAATTTAGTGGGAAATATATGCAGAAGCATGTAGAACAGTAATGGCTAAAGCTCTTGGAATTAAGTTAATTGATGCTACTTTTAGAGATGGTGCTGAATATTAAAAAAAATATGTTACAGGATAATTAAAATTAGAGTGATAAATTAATTATTAAATATATGAGTAATTTTAAAAGAAATGATAATTCTAAAAAAGAAGATCCATATAAAGCTTATTTTGGCCATCCTGAATTAGATGCACTTTTAGGTAATACTCTTTTGAAAGGTTAAATCATTTTTATTGAATAAGATGCACCAACAACTATTTATAAATAATTCTTAAGATATTGTATTGGCAATTCTTATCATAAAAATCATATATCAATTATCTTTGATCAATTTTCTGAATAATGGTCTAAAATAATCCCTAAAAAGTAGGTTGAAAATTCTTAAAATTAAGATGAAAAAGAATTATAACACAAAATTGCTTGGAGATATAATCAAATGTAATAGTAATTTGCCATTAAAAATATTGATTCATCTATATTTTATTTAGATTTATCAAAATCAGAAACAGAATAGGCTGTTGAAAATCATTTAAAACTAAATAATTATGAAGAAATAAACAACTTATAATAATTCTTATAAAATATTACTAAATAATATGAAAAATCATTAAAAACAAGTACAGATTCAAATCTTAAAAAATTAATTATTCATGATTTTTGGGATAAAATACCTTATAATCAATAAGATCTGAATTAATTTTTATATTCTTTGAAAGTTTTAGTTCGTTCCTCATTTATGTTGTGTATAATTACTCTTCCAGAAAGAAGAATGGATTTGATGTAATTTTGTGATTTTTATATTACAATTACTTAACTTTTTGGAAATAAAGAATTTTCAGATTTCTAAGGAATGATTAAATTTGATAAAATTGGATGGGGTGGTTCACTTAAATAAGTATAATTAGATAATGATAAATGGGGAATAAAATTGACATAAAAATAATTAAAAATAGAATAATTATATGAAACTGCTATAGAAGATGATTCAGAAGAAGAAATAAAAAATAAAAATAAAATTGAACAATTTTGATGTTTAAATAAATTTTTAGGATAGATAGTATACTTTTAATTGTGTAGTAATTTTATAAATAAATATTATTTGTCAAGTAAATTTTACAGACTTTGATCTCAAATGCTTACAAAAGGGTCTCTATATTAGCTCCAAATTACTTATAGACATTTCTAAATTTGTATGCTTAATTGACATTGATTTTCGTTCTATTTTTTATTTTATTACTTTCTATTTAGGCATATTTCTATATAAATAATCAGAGTCACTGTCATATGATTTTTGGTCATTGACATCAAAGTTAAGAAATAAATATTTGAGATTTTTTCTTGGATTTGTAAATTTTATTGGATTGTTAGGGTTTCTCTTTTTTTCTGAACCAAATTTTTTCAAGAAACAAGCATTTCTAGTCTAATATTGGCCAGAGATAGTTATTTGTGGAATATTAAAATCAAAAAGAATTGCTCCTAGTACTGGTGTTTAAGATCTTAATTGCTATTTCATTTATCAAACAGTATATTATTAAAATTATTTATACTTCATTTCTAATAAATAAATTAATGTAATCAGATATATTATAATTGAGAAATGAATAATAATAGAATTAAGGATGAAGAAGTCATTAAGTTAACTAATAAATTTTATAGAAAGAAAATAACAAAAATATTTTGTTTATTATGAAAAACTTCTGCTAAGTATTTATTTTTGACAAAATTAGAGATAATTATGAATTTGGTAAATATGTTAATAGAAAATAAATTAAATATAAATCTTATGGAAGTTTAAGAACTAGAGAATCTATTTTCTCTATTTGAACATAAATCACTTTACATTGAAAATTTTTCGGCTCAAATTTATAAGGAGGGATTGTTAGAAGTTATTTCAAGTTATTAATTTTATTCATTGACAATTTACCTTAAAGGGAAATTTAATTTAAAACAAAAAAATTTTAGGATGTAATTTTAATTAAGTTTGTTGGATTTTATAGATATAGATCTTATTTAATAAGTAGTTTTTTAATATTAAATCCATGTGTTATTAGAGTATAAGATATTTTAATATAATTATTGATAGTTGTTAATAATAAGGTGTAGTTCTTTAAATAATGAAAAGATATAAATTGAATGATATTGAATCTTTATACAATAAATACTTAAAAGCAGTATTGAGATGTATATGATTCTTAAATAAGAAATAATAATAATATTGGTTTAAATACTTAATTTTATGAGTAGTTATAGAGTTAATAACGTATAGAAATAATTTAGATTTTATATAAATAATTAAATAACATATATGGATAAATCAGTTAAGATAAACGAAAAGGGAAGTGGAATAACAGATTAAATATAAAATGAAATAGTCACAATTGTGAAAAATGCAATATAAGTTCATAAGCAATTTTTAGGTGAGGTTTGCAATTAAATTGCAAATGTATTATGTTAAAAATATGGAGGATGGTGGTGTTGTTTTGTAACAGATAAAGATGCAAATTATGGATCTAGATTATTCAATTTTGATCATATGTTTTTAGATGCAACAATAGAGTAAAAACGATTTACTATATTCAAATCAGCAAAATGATTATGTCAATTAAAATGCAAATCAATTAATTTATTAATATTATAAGTTGACGTGGCCGAGTGGTCTAAGGCGCTGGATTAAGGCTCCAGTCCGAAAGGGCGCGAGTTCGAACCTCGCCGTCAACATTTATTTTTATAGTTTTTATTTTTATAAAATATACTTATTTAATCATTTTTTAGCACTTATTGGTCTTTTTGAAGGATTACTTTATTTATTTACTACTGCAGATTATGGTCTTTATACATACTGTTATTAATTAAATTGTTAAGATTCATCTTATTGTAGATCATAAAACTATTATTGATCTACAGTTTATCTTTTCATATCAGCTTAATAGTATTTACCATCAGTTCCTTTTACCTAATATGGTTTAATAATCTTACTCTTTATTAATTAGTAGTGCTGCAACTTAAACAATTAATCGGATAAAGCTTTTTTGTATTGATTCCAATTATTTAATCAGTTGGAGGTGATGCAGATTACTAAAAATTCATTGGAGATTTCTTCAATTACACTAATATATATTAATATATATAAAGATACCTTATAAGGCTTCTATTTCTCTTCTTAAATAATTAATTGTCTCCATCGCTTATCCTAATCTAGTCTCTAAATTATATAATTCTCTTTTCATATCATCTTCATTAGCCTTTACTTTAACTTATTTTATCAATCCATTTATATCTAGATCTCTAAATATTCTAGTTACTCTTCTCTCTATTTCATTTGCACTCTCTACTTTATGACTTATATCTTATAGATCTTTTTAAATTTTTCTTATTTTATCATCTTCAAGATTGCCTTACTATTAAAACTGTTCAAACATTCTATTTATTTCATCTTTTGTAACATATTTTGATTCTTCTGGACTTTATTATTATTATTGTTATTATTATTATTAATATAATTATGAAAAGAATTGAAAACTATCATATCTAGATTTAAATTCTGCATCTAATGTTTCCCAATGTACATTATTTCTAATTGACATTTCTTCTAATTTTTTAATATCTCCTTCTAAAGTACAAATTTTATGAGGATCAATTTTAGATAATAGATATGCTACATTTTCAGCATTTAAATTCATATCTTTTAAAGCCTCTACTCTTTCTTTTGCTTCATCATTTAATCTTTAAATTCCATCTTCTAATTATTTTATTTTTTATCTATGTTAATCTAATTAATTAGAAACATCCAATTTATTTATAGCAGTTGCTAATCTACTATTTAAATCAATTATTTTATCACCTTATTATTTATTTTATTCTACTAATTTATCAATCAAATTAATTTTAGATTTCAATCTAACACTTAATTAATATATATTACAAATCATTCATTTCATTTAATTGTAATTTTAATTTAGCTTATTTTTCTCCAACTGTATCATCAATTCCCTTAATTTAACTTCTAATATAAGCTATATCTTATTAAAATTTAATTAACTAATCATTATTTTACATTTGTTAAATCTAATATATAAATATTATATTATATACTTCTTTTAATAATTTATCTTCACTAGTTCTAATAGCTTCATTAACAAATTCTTCATTAGTTCTCTTTGATAAAAGGTCTTAACAATCATGTATTTTCCATAATGTTTTTCTTAAATTTAAACTTATTATGCCTACCTTTCAACATCTCTAACTGCTTCTTCAAATTTCTATATATCTGTCGATAATTTCTTTTCAACTGTATCTAGTTCATGTCGACCATTCTTTTATAAATCTTCAATCTACTATTCTAATTAGTTTTTTTATTTTCTCATCTTCTCTTTACATTCTTTTGTATCAAACTTTGTTAACATATCGTTTTCCAATTTTGTTAATCTTTAATCTTATCTCTATTATTATAATCAATATCTACTTTCTTCTCTCGATAAAGATGTTAAATGATTTAAATAACTGAAAATAACTTTCCTCTTAATTCAGTTATAATTTTCTCCAAAGCTCCTTTTCCAAACTTTTGTTTCCCCTAAATTTATGTTATATATGTGCTCAATTAAGTTGATAATTCTTTCTCTATATCCTTGTCTGAAAATAACAAAGAATCACTTAATAATTGAAACTATTCTTAAACCTAAATTAAATCTAAATTCTAACTAATAAAATTATTTCGCTAGGTCCAAGTAATTTCTTTATTCCTTCAATCTCTACTGTATGATTATCAAGATCTGCTTATACTCCTTCTAAAAATTGTTTCAAATGATCATAATTAACATCCAGTTTAAATAATGATACTCCCTTCAAACTTAACTCATCTATTATTATTTATTCAAAATACCTCCTAATTCTTTTCTACTTTTTGAACTTCCTTTGCTTTTAATATCCATTTTATTAAATAATATATAAAAATTTATAAATGACTTTATCTAATATAACTATAAACTGTTTAAAACATAAGTAATCAACTCTATTCATCTTTAAAAGTTCTTATCTTATACATGTTTAAATTATTTCAATTATATTTTATCTTCTTTTATTAAATATATATAATTTAAAGGTTTTAAAGATTTCCTATTAACTCAAAAAAATATAATTCCTAAAAATAGTTTTAACTAGTACTTTATCGTGATTTCATAATTCGTTTTTACTGGGAAGTTTAAGATTTGTAAAACAACTCAACTTAATTCAAATTATTTTTCTTAATTTAATATTTCAGTATTTAAATTATTTAATTATTTTACAATATCTCATTTATCTTAAATACTTATGAGTTTAATTTTCCTTCAAAATTCCAATTAATAATGAGTTTTTGATTACTAGATATTTGCTAAAATAATCTTAGAACTCTTTGAATGTTATTTTTGTATTTTACTATTCATTAATACGTATATAATAACTTAATCATTAATGGATAGAAACTATCTATTTCATGAAATTAATTTAATTTTCATTATTATTTATTTTTAATACTTCACTAATACAATTAAAACATTTTTAAATATCATTACTGAAATATTAGATTCGAAATTATTTTCTAATTCTCTCATGACTAGGCCTGTTATTTGTGAAATAGATAAATAATTTTCATAGGAACTCTACTTAAGTAGATTATTTGAAATGTTCAGCAAAACTTGGAAGAAGTAAACTTTTTGTTTACTTAATCAATCATTCAGACATTAGATATAAAATTATCAAGCATTTAGTAATTAAATCCTGCACATTATCAAAGATAGTTCAACATATATAATTTTCAAAATCAGTGTATTATTTATCAATATCTATAGAGTCACATATTGCATATTAAGAATGATTTTCAAAAATATTAAATCTAAACAATATATTAGGATTAAAATTATCTACAAATTTAACATTACCAAAAGTCTATTATTTTTTGTTAATATTCAGGCCAGCAACTATATAAATATTGTTATATATTGACAAGTTTTAATTCTTCATAAATTAGTAACTGATAAAAGGATCAATCTATCTTCCTTTTTATAAGAACCTAAGTTTAAGGATGAATGATGATTTTTAAAGTCATTTAAATGGATGATTTAAATAGGTATTATTAGAATTTATAATTATTTATAAATAATTTGTTTCTTTTAATAGAATATATATGTATATAATAATATAATAATTATGTTGAAACATACTATTTTAGAATGTTTAGGACAGAATACATAGAAAATATGAAAGTATTAAAAGTTGTATAAGAATTTTAAATGAATATAAATCTATGATAGTTATTTAAAAAAAATGAATAAAAGAACTAAATATACAAATAATATTGTTGAAAATGTAACAATAGTTTTTAAGTTATTGATGTAATTTAGTAAATAAGATATTGGAAGTTAATTAAAATTAATCATGAAAGGTAGAGGATTAGATTAGAGTGAATAATTTTGAATTTAAAGAGTTGAATTAGGTTTTTGGTTAGATTTTAAGTAATTTAGATAGAAAAGTAAAATATGAGATTATAATAATAGATATTCTGGAGAACTGACTTTAATTGCAGTGATTTGTAAAATATTGAATATAAAAAGTGAATGTATTTATATATATCTTATTAAATATTCTGTTCAAATAATTATATTAAATGGCATCGCTAAATAAATTAAGTAGCAATGATATTGGTAATGTTGATAGATAGATTGCAAAATTAAAGCTAGGATAAATATTGACAGAATAGGAAGTGAAGAGTTTATGCGTGAAAGTTTTAATAATTAGCAATAAGTTAGGCAAAAGAGATTTTGTCAGATGAACCAAATATAATTTAAGTTAGAGCACCTCTTACAATTTGTGGAGATATCCATGGTCAATTCCATGATTTAATAGAGCTGTTTCAAATAGGAGGAAACTTGCCAGTATTTAGATTTAGCAAATCTGTTTTTAGGATACAAATTACTTATTTTTAGGAGATTATGTAGATAGAGGTTCTTAATCTGTAGAAACATTTTCATTAATGTTATCTTTGAAAGTGAGATATAAAGATCGCATAGTATTATTAAGAGGTATATAATGATAATATTGTTATATAGGTAATCATGAGAATCGTGAAATAAATAAAATATATGGATTTTATGATGAATGTTTTCGTAAATATGGAAATGAAATAGTATGGAAATAATTTACAGAAGTATTTGGATATTTGCCACTTTCAGCAATTGTAGAATAACAAGTAACATAAATTCTAATTTGAAATAAGATATTTTGTGCACATGGAGGTTTATCACCTGCAATGGAATCAGTGGATTAAATTAAATAATTGAATAGAGTATAAGATATTCCACATGAAGGTTTAATGTGTGATCTATTGTGGAGTGATCCTGAAGAAACTAAGAATGGTATTATCATTTATAAATATATTTATTAAGGTTGGGGAATATCACCAAGAGGGGCAGGTTGGACATGGGGTTGTGATATTACAGATAAATTCTTACATTCCAATAAACTTAAATAAATTGCTAGAGCACATTAACTTGTTATGGAAGGAATCTAAAAAATACATAATTCTAAAACTATTACTATCTTTTCTGCTCCAAATTACTGTTATCGTTGTGGAAATTAAGCATGTATCCTAGAAGTTGATGAATAACTTAGAATGAATCAGTATATCAATTCCTACATTCTAGAACATAATTTGAACCTGCCCCTAGAGAAAATGAACCACATACAACCAGAAGAGTACCTGATTATTTTCTTTGAAATATATAAATATGTTGTCTAATATCAATTAATATCTATCGCAAAACATTTATTACAATCAATATTACTACTATATATTAATCAACTATTATTATTCATATATCTCAACTTATTATCAACTTTTGGAATTCAAATATTCCAACTATCAATCATTCATTCTCTCTTTCTTAAATCAATTTTATTTATCTAACTACTAAATATATTTCAAACTTCACATACTCTATCATCAACAAGAACAATTACTGTCTCTTTTTTTTACTTTCTTATTCTTTATTATATATACCCTATTATTTTTCATTTCCTAAAGTAGATTTAATTATTAGAATATCAGAAATTCCTTGTTCTTATTTAAAATATTCAAATAAATAAATTAATTTCATATATCTTATATACTTATTCTAATAATCCTTAAATTTTAAAACAAAAGATATAAAGAATTAGAATTTTCAAATCAGAAGCTATAACTGTCTTGTCATTTTCAAAAATTAATCAGTAAATATTATCTATCAAATTTATGTTTACTAAAATATAGTTACTAGATTTTTAAATTATGAAAATTTCTCTTATTGATATGAATATATACAATAAAAAAGTATTAAAATATCATATTTAAAGTTAAATTTCATTTTCGATTCAATTTATAAACTTAAATTCTCCTAATTTCTTTAAATTTGGACTACCTTACATAAATGATGACTATATATATTAAAGCGTATCTTAAATTCATTTTTATCCATACTTTAAAAAAAAATACTATAATTAACTCTAAACTTTATAGAATGATTAGATTTTTCTTATAAATTATTGAGAATTTAATTGATGATTATTATACATTTTGAAAAGTTAATTAGAACATAAATTAACATCTAAATCATTTATCATATTTATATATATTGTTTAATTAAGATAATTTATTAAATCATAATAATTTATCATTCTAAGCCTAAAATCCAATTAAGTGTATTTAACATTTATTTACACAGATGTTCATTATTTCCAATTATTTGTATTGTACATTACATGTTTGGCAAAACTATAAATTTTATCATATAATTTTAATTCACATTAGTCAATTCAAAAATTCCACCTAATTTAATTTCTATAATTACAAAGTTTGTAAGAAATATATTTTAATTATCGATCACTAAAATAATCCAATTATTGATCTTAAAATTATTCATAAGAGTTAAATTCACATAATTTTGGAAAGATCCTAAATTTTATTAAATTAACTACTTTTTTAAATAGTGCCCTGTTTTCACTATTTTAGGATTTAATAAAAATGTCTCTCCTCTTAAAATTTATTATTTCTTTTATCTCCATTAAGTTCTAAATACTTATAAACTGATATCTTTGAAAAACATAAATGAGACTAAAGTTGTAGTTAAAAAGAATTAAGATGATATTTATTTGTTAGCCCATTCAGCTATTAATTTTTCAATATTAATTAATTACCTGAAAAAACAGCATTTATTAATCTATAATTCTGGTACTATTTAAAAATTCCAATTACTTCCTATTATATTTATTATCCAGATTCAATTCTATCTTAAATTTTATCTGGTTTTAGCCACATTGAAAATTCTAAAAATATATGTAATGTTATTATTTACATTTGTTATCGCCATCAAATAGAATTTTACAGTTATCAAAGTTTGATTGAGTTTTATTACCAATATATAGTGTTAACTTTAAATAGTTTTTTTCTTTTAATGGTACATATTGTAAAGCTTGTTTAATTCCTACTTAAAGTTATGGGGAATTGAATAAAGCAGCCTTACCACAAATAGTAGCTTTTTTAAAACGTTTCTTTTGTGATTCTGATAAACCATATGAATCTAATAATACAAATTAAGTATTATCATATTTAACAATTCTACCAGTATGTTATTTGAGAGGTATTTATTGATCCATTTTTAAAGGGAAAAATTATTGAGTTTAAGTAGATTAACTTAATCCATCAAAATTTTCATCAAAATATTACTTTTAGTTGTGTACATAATTAGGGTTTATATGATTCATAGAGGATTATTCTCTTGTATTTCCTCCATATTAATTGTTTTGATGAGGAATTTAAGAACTATTTTAATTTTATTCAAACTAATTTGATTATTTAACGGGTTATTTTTAATGTTTCTTTTAATCTACAGTAGAATAAATATATTCATTAGTCAAATTTTCAATTTTTTATTATTAATTTTAATGTTATTATTAAAAAGTTGATGACTTGTAAGATTAAACTTCATTTTGTTGTTAATGTTATTAAAATTATTAAGAATTAAGATTAGATCCTAATTTAGTGGGTGTTATATATTAATTATCTGGATTAGGAGTTTAAAATTAATTATTCCAATAATCTTAAGTTTCTTTTTATCTTTACTATTATTCATATTATTATTATGCTTATAATCTCATTTTTTCTTATTATTTAAATTAATCTAATTTTAATTATTCTTTTTTTTGATTTTCTCTTTATTACTCTTCTGCTATTTATTTTTCTAAGGCTGCTTATTCTTCTCTAAGTTTAGCTTGTCGTTTTTCTTCTTCTTACTATCTTTTAATTTCATCTTGTTATCTTTTAATTTCATCTTATTATCTATTAATTTCTTCTTATTATCTTTTAAATTCTTCTTATTTTTATTATTCTTCTATTTGTTTGGATACTAAATATGAATTATTTTATTATATTTTGGATTCTTCAATAGCTCTTTTTAACATTTCATCTTCATTTGCAAATTAAGATTATTAATTTTATTATACTTTAGATTATTTTTTTTCTGATTTTAATGGAAGAGGATCATAATCTTTATTTAATATTTTTTAAATATGTGCTAATGTTTTTTTTTTTAAAGAATTATAAGCTTCAGGAGTACATTAATTTTCAATATAAGTAAAATAGTATTTTTAGAATTTTTAAACAAAATCTTTAAGAGTTAATAATTCAGCTAATTCATCTTGATTTAAAAGTCCATCATATTGTTAGACTTTATTAATGAGATTGATAAATGATTTTTCAATGATACTCAGGGATTCACAACATGTTGCTAAGACTTCATTAATATATACCATATCAGAATCATTAACAAGAGTTTCATTAATCATTTCAATATCTTGATTAATAGTTTATTTGTTTTGATCTGATATAATAATAGATAGTTACTAAGTTAAAGCATGGTTTAATCTTTTTCTTTTTAATTGCTAAATTATTTTTGAATAGGTTCTTGAGAAGCTTTGTTTGGATCAAAAGGTAAAATGAGACTTGATTAAGGGGGGAATTTAACCTAAATCTTTGTATGATAAATGTACTCCCATTTACAGTAATTCATCATATTGAATTTTGAATTTAGTAGGTGCTCCTTTTGAATCTTTTGGAAATGTAGTAGCAAGATATTCAACTAATTCTAATGCTAAGTTTAAGAATTCAATGTTTGATTATGGATCTAAATTGATATTGTATAAAACCTTATCCTTAAAATAGATCTGCACCTCTATTAGGATTAGAATCACCTAATTTATGAGTGCATATATTTCCTATAAATGTTAATAATGGTCTAGTTTATATAAATTTGTTAATAAATTTAGCAGATTTAATAACAATTGCATCTTTAATAAGCTAAAGATAAGATAGTTAATACTCTTAAGAGTAATAATTTTCTTAATGATGGTTCATCTGAATTAAAAACTTAAAGAGCTTATTCTAATGTTGCATCAATGAATTCAACATCATTAGCTTTAAGTTTTTCAATGATTTTTTATGCATTTTTATTATAAGCAGATTTGTCTTGAGTGGCAGTTTGTATTTATATTTGTAACATTAAATAATTATGAATTAAATTTTGTAAATACCTCCAAAGTATTATGCGAATTTTAATAAGAATTAACCAAAGGAATATTGGGATTATGATAATTTTGAGAATGAATGGGGAGTATTTATAAAATAATTAATATTTTCTAGGATAGTGATTAATATGAAGTGATAAAGAAAATAGGAAGAGGCAAATATTCAGATGTATATGAAGGAATCAAATTTCCTTAAGGGACAAGAGTTGTCATTAAAGTATTAAAACCAGTCAAGAAATAAAAAATAAAAAGAGAAACTAAAATATTACTCACTATTAGAGGACATCCAAATGTCATTGAATTATCAGATATTGTTAGAGATCCATCATCTAAAACTCCATGCTTGATTTTTGATTACATAGATCATGTTGACTTTAGAAGTTTGTTTCCTAAATTAACTGATATTGAAATTAGATTCTATCTTTTCGAATTAATCAAAGCTTTAGATTATTGTCATTCAAAAGGCATTATGCATAGAGATGTTAAACCATAAAATATAATTGTGGATCCTAAAAAAAAGTTATTGAAATTATTGGATTTTGGTTTAGCTGAATATTATCATCCAGGATAAGATTATAATGTTAGAGTTGCATCACGTTATTTCAAAGGACCAGAATTATTAGTTGATAATGTCTATTATGATTATTCTCTAGATATTTGGAGTACTGGAGCAATGATGGCATCTATGGTATCTAATTGTCATAAAAATAGATTTTTAAAAAAGAACCTTTTTTTTAAGGATAGGACAATTATGACTAGTTAGTTGTGATTTCTAAAGTTTTAGGAACTGAAGAATTATAAGCTTATATAAAGAAATATAGAATCAGATTGGATCCTGTTTTAGAATCTAAATTAGGAAAGTAATTATATCTTATATAAAATTTATTAGTTATCCTAAAAAAGAATGGGTTAAATTCATAAATGCTGAAAATAAACATTTGTGTAGTGATGAGGCTATCGATATTCTCTCAAGAATGCTCATTTATGATCATGTATAATACTTTCTTATTTATATTATAGGCTTTAAGAATTACACCAAAAGATGCAATGGATCATCCATATTTCCTACCTGTAAAAGGTAAATGATTATCATTGTTATTAAATTTATCATAAATAAATAATTATTGATATCATTCTGATAGTTTTTTATTATTTCCTCTTAGTAGTTTTCTAATGAATGGTAGAGGTACTCCAACATTTTATTGTAAATTATCTAAAATAGGAAAATTATATATTGTTTTCTTTGGTATTATTTATGTTATATTGATTTATTAAATTGTTTAATTAAATGAAGATCCATCTTAATTTGAACTAGTTCTCTTTTTAGTTTCAAATCTAAATGATTATAATAATCTGCTATTGCCTTTTCCTCTTTTCTAAATCAGATTCTTACTTTCTGTACTATTTCCATTTTTTGATCTAAATTCCCAATTTAATATACTTAGATCAGGATACAATGATGGACGAGGCTAATCTCTAATTAATAATATTAACTACTTTTTTAATAATAACTATAACGGTGTTGCTTTTATTTTTCTTGAAACACTTTAAACTTTCATATGTTTTAACATTTTATCATCTTATTCAAATAAATTTTAATTGCTCAATTCTTTTTTCATTTAATATTAAAGTTCATCTAATTTACCTTTATCATAATCTTCGAATATTTCTGCATCTGATTAACTATTAATTTCATCATCAGAATCATGTTTTACTTCTGTTTATTCTACTTTAAGTGACATTTCATTTATTGTTTTTAACAATTAATTTTATTCTATGTTTCATATCCAATGTTTTACTTAGTTATTTTTAATGTTATTGCTTCATATTCAAATACAGATACAATGTTTCACCTATACAGAATCCACTTTCAATCCAATCATTACTTATGAATCTAATATTCTTTCCTTTTTAATAACCACAAAAAGATGCCTCTATTGTATAACATATTGATTCTATAAATTAATTTGCAAAAGCTCTTGCTGTTCCCATCTTAAATTTTGGTATCCCAAATTCACATGATTTATATCTAAATGAATCCAATCTTTATTATAAAATTAATGGAATTATCTTTGTTTCATTATTTATGGCTGGACCATATAAAAAAATATTCTATCTTAATTAATGACCATGAAAATCAAAATAACCAATCAATTTTTATTTATTATCATCTATTAAACATTTTAAAGCTTTAACTTCTGGTAATAATGTTAAATCTATCTCTTAAAATTATCTATTTAAATCTACTCCACTTAAACCATTTCTATAATTTCCTACTATAACTCCATCTGGATTCAACATTGGAATTATCTTAAATATTATACTATTAATTTTTAATTAATGAAATACTTTTTTCTAAGATATTATGCCATAAAAGATTCTCCTAATAAAAATTAAATGAAACCTTAAATCATAAAAGAACTGCAAGTTTCAGATGGATGAACTCTTGCAGTTAAAATTATAATCTTCTTATTTTTATCTATAGTTTTATCTGTTATTATTATCAATGGTAACACAAATCCAGATAAAGTATTAGCTATTTTTAATTTTGAGAAATGTTATTTTGATTATTTACTCCATTTTTTAATCTTGTTCATTAATTATGTGTAAGTATAAGGTGGCAAGGTTGCAAAAGAGACTTCATCATTTTCATATTCGAATATATATGTAAATGAAAGAATAAAGTATTATCCTTATTATTAATATTTTATATTATCACCTTACTAACTAAAATATTTGCTTTTACTCTTTTTTGATAAAACATATGGTTTCATACCTTTTGTATATAAACTTTATGGTTTAGTGAAATTACAGATATTAAATTTAATTTTTGTTTATTCATTTTAAGTTATTTTGAAATAAAACCAATTGCTATGACCTAAAGAATTAGTGTCTATTCTCATATATAAATTATATTCACAGTTTGAAATCTAAACAAATAAATGAATAAATTACATAATCTACTCGATCTAGATTACCAGATTCAAAATTAGAATCGAATTTTAAACCTGATTTTATCATACCTACAAAAGGTCTGCATTTCAAAGGAGTTAAAGTTTGTGAATCCTATAATAATTCATGATTATTTTGAATTAACATATGAATTTATTTAGTGTTTTATAAGGGTTAACTCAAATAAATAGTTTTATTATTAACAAAGGCTTTTGGAACATCTAAGTTTAAAATTTGACATTTTTTAATGGATTTAGAAATTGTGAGTTTTTTTTCAAAAGCTTGATTGTATTCTTCATTATTTTAGGAAGTTTTAGATTTTTATTAATAGTTTTCTAAATGATATTGATCAATATCATTAGAGGAATCAAATCCTTCTCTTGAACTACATTGTTAAAGAATCATTTATATAAAATTATCATATAAGTAGTATTTTATAATTGAATAAATATAAAGAGAATAAGGAATTAGAAGAAGAGGAAATAAATGAATATGGTTTAGTAGGTAAAAAGAGGTTTCAAAGTGAATTGTTAATTATTAATCAAAAATAACACGTAGCTTTTAATTAATTGAATTAATGTTTATAGTTCTCTTATTTTCAACTATTTAAGCTTTATCAACAGGATTAGATGGAGGTAAGGAATTGTGTTTAGGAGTATAAGGAAAGAGAACTGCATTATTTTAAATCTCTTTTGTAGTATCTGGGTTTTAAGAGGATAATATTGAGATGAAAGTAATATTGATTAAATAAGATATTTAGTTTTATTCTCCAAGAAAAACATTGTTGAAATCTAGTTTAAAATAGAAAGAAGGGAATTATAAAGAAATAATGACAGATGATGGATAATATGAAGTGTGTTTTAAATCATTAGATAAATATTATAAATTAATTAGTTTTAATTTTGATTTTATAGAAGAAAATGATTTAGCTTTGGCAGGTAATATTATTTATTATTGTTAATTAGAAACAATGGATTAAATGGCTGAGGAGATGAAATAAGCATATAGAAGTTTAAAAACAATATAAAACAATTAACATTATTAAAATGATAGAGAGAATGAACATTAGAGAATGTTAGAATCAACAGAAAAAAAACTCTGGTGGTGTTCAGCAGGTAAAATGGGAGCTCTAATTATTATATGCATTTCTCAAATATATATGTTAACAGGATACTTTAAAGGTAAATCATTTGGTCCAAATGTTTGAGATTTTTATATAAATTAATATATTTATGGATTAAAAGCAAGATCATACAAATTAGATTCTAGCTTAATTAGAAACAACAGAATCATTAAGCTCTTTGGATGTAGCTAAATCTTTGGCTATAAATCATTAAGAATTAGTGGGATATTTGTTACAATTGGAATCTGCTAATTATATTAAGACAGAAGTATAAATCATAATTATTATTCATAGGGTTTAAAATAGGATTACTTGTAATTAACAGAAGAAGGAAATACAATATTAAATTCTTAATCTGGAGAATATGAAATATATTAGAAGGTACCTAATGAAGGAATTTCGATGGCAGAATTATAGAAATTATTTGGAATAGAATAGATTGTGAAAGTAAAATAAGAATAAGGAGATAAAAAAGAGAAATAAGTAGAAGATCCAAAAAAGAAATAATTTGATTTAGGATTTGGTAATGCAAAGAAAATGGGTTATATAAAAATGGATAAAGGAATAATAAGTAAGGTTGGAAATGATTTACCTGATAAAATAAAATAAGAATTATAATAATTTAATAATATTAAATTAGGTTCAGCATAAGCAAAATTATTAATTGATAGAAAATTAGCAATGATTTCAACTATAAAATATTTTGATATTAAAAAAGGTAATAAATATGCACCGAAATTCAGAGAATAATTAGCATCATTAACAACAGAATAATTATTAAATGGAGATTGGAAGAATTGTGATTATAAAAGTATAAATTTAAAAGCTGAAGGAGAAAAAAGTAATTATTAATATTATAAATATAAGTATCAATGGGTAATTTACATCCTTTATTGAAAGTAAGGAAATAGTTTTCATAAATACTAATAGGATTAGGATTTGAAGAGATGCCAACAAATTAATTTGTAGAATCATCTTTTTGGAATTTCGATGCTCTTTTTTAACCTTAAAAACATCCAGCAAGAGATGCACATGATACTTTCTTTTGTAGTGATCCAGAATATAGTGAAGAAGTAGATACATAATTAAGAGATAAAGTTAAAATTATGCATTAAACAGGAGGTGTAGGTAGTATTGGATATTAATATGAATGGTCTCATGAAGAAGCTAGAAAAAATATATTAAGAACTCATACAACTGCTGTCTCTTCTAAAATGTTATATAGAATAGCATAATAATATAAAGAAAAAGGTTATTTTCCTAAGAAATATTTCAGTATTGATAAAGTGTTTAGAAATGAGACTTTAGATGCAACACATTTAGCTGAGTTTCATTAAATTGAAGGAGTTGTTGTTGATAAGAATGCATCATTAGGTTAATTGATGGGAATCATTAGAGAATTCTTTAGATAAATTGGAATTAATAAATTGTGGTTTAAACCTACATATAATCCATATACTGAACCTAGTATGGAGATATATGGTAATATATATTATTATTTTAGGATATCATCCTGTACTTAAAAAGAAAGTTGAAATTGGTAATTCTGGTGTTTTTAGACCTGAAATGTTGGCTCCTCTTGGTCTTCCAGAAGATGTTAATGTTATTGCTTGGGGATTGGGATTAGAGAGACCTACCATGATTTATTATGATATTAGAGATATAAGAACTATGGTAGGACCAGAAGTCAAAGTTGAGACTGTTAGATCTAATCCATTCTGTGTTTTTGAAAGTAAATGATATATTTTAATATAAATATATACAAATGCATTGTCATTCTTTTATTATTTTACCTCTTTTCATTAATAATTTATTCTTTTTCTACATCAACTTTGTTTTCATCTTTCTTTATCTCTTTTCTTAAAACTTCTAAGGATCCTTTATTGCTAACATTTTATTCTATATCTTTTTCTCCACTTTTACCTTATTCAACTCTTACTATATTGAAGAATATTTCGATATAAATTCTTGAGCCCCTACTTACTTCTCTATTAATTTTAAAATCTATTTAATATTTATTTTTATTTACCTAATCAATAATTGGCATCTCCTACTAAAGTGATTAGATTCTCAATATACTTTCGATTATCATTTTATTACTCATAAATCCATTACTAATTATATATTGATAAAATTCCATTAAATTTTCTATTCCTTTGTTTAATTACAATTATTTTGCCATCAAATTAGTAGTTACTTTTAATAAACATTCAAACACTAAATTAATAATTTATTCTTATTCTTATTCCTATAATAAATTTAAATAATCTAATATAAATTTGAATGTTAATTCTTAATTTATTATTATTTAATTTCTAGCAAATTTTATTAAAAACAAATATTTTGTTATCTTTTACATATTTTTGACAATATGATCTTGTTATATCTAAATTTAAGTATGAATAATATTTAAATGTTTAGATCTTATTAACAATTAAATTGCTTAATTAGCTGTTTCTTAATGAGGATATTAAACACATTTAAATAATTTACAAATTGTATTTTATTCATAAATTAATATTAATTAGTTCTCATCTATAACATTTAATAGTTTTAATAAAGAATGAAGAGATTGTTATAATTCTGGATATTCTGAAACTGATATTGCTTCTAATTCATTTGCCCATTAACTATTTTTTAGATTTTTATTTTAAATATTTTTAGCTTAGATTGTATTTTTCCATTCATTCCAATTAGTAATACATTTATCAATTAATTCATTTGATGATAAAATAAATTTGGATTAATAATATTTTAAATGATCTTTTAAAATAAATAAACTTTCTAGACCTGATAATTGTACTTTTAGTTTATCATTAGTCATCCAAATTAATGAATTTTATGTAAATTTCATGATTTTATCTTATGTTGTTTTAGAAATTAATGTATTTAAAACATTAATAAGTTATTCTTTAAGAGTATCAACATCTTCTTTAACTAAGGCTACAATTAAAGAGAAATATGAAATTTCAGATAATTTGTTAACAGTATCTAAAGGAAAGTATAAAAATATTTATTATAAACATTAAAGGATTATCATTCTACCACCAAAATACTTATATTAAAGATTTGCAATAATAAAGTCATAATGTTATTACAAGACTTAACTTGATAATGGATATTTGATAAGAAAATTAATATATATTTATTAACATAGATTTTGTGTTTTCTTAGTTGTTTATAACATAGATTCTCTAACTTTAAGAATAATATCATAAATTTATGGTAATGGCCAAATAGCATGAATTATAAGTTTTAAACATTCTAATGATTCATTTGATTCTAAATATAGATCTATAAAATGAACTAATGTTTTTTATTATTATAAAGTGAATTCATTTAATTTACTATCAAGAATAGCTTTTAATAAAAGAAATGAATCTCTAATAAATTATTCATCTGTTGATGTAATAGTAGATAAACATTACATAGCATTTTAAATAATTTATTTTTTAAATTATAAAACCCAATCAAATCTTTTAATCATTGCAGATATAACTGATACACATTCAGTAATCATGTCTTTATGATTTAAACATTCTAAAATGATAGAAAACATTTTTTATAAAAGTGGAGAATCTTCGATATTGTGAATGTTGTGATGTAATAGTTTTATGCTTATAAAATTTACAAGACCATAAATAATAGTACTTGATGTTTTTAATTTATTTTATTTTATATAAGTAGAGATTGATTATGATCCATAAGAAGGTAATTATATTGACATAATATCTTCCTTAGTAATCTTTTTATAGGTACCTTAACCATAAGTAAAATCTAGATTATGTGTTTATTTTAAAGAATCTGCTAATTTATAGCTAGTTTCACAAATCATCAAATATATGACTTAAACAATATTCTAAACTGATTAATTATTTATCAATCCTAAATATAAATGTTCAAAAATTAATTTTAATTTACTATGTAAATTATGAGATATCTAATATTAAGTAATATAATAATCTATAGTTCCAATTAATTTAGGTAGAGAATTAACAAAATTAATTAATGAACCAACTATTTTAAAATTTTACATTCCTTTTTTACTCTTAATTTCTTTAGTCTTTTTAGGTAAAGTTTCAGTATCTTTTTCAGTGCATAATCTTCCAAATACTTCATCTAATAATATTTCCATAATTTCTTCTAAACAATTATCAATTTGACCAATTTCAGTTATTTATTCTAATAATAATCCTAAAGTATAAGATAAAACATGATTTTCAAATCCTTATATAAGTATAGATTTCATTTGTATAATAATAAACTTTAAAAATATAGGTCCTATTTTACGACTTAAATCTAATAAACATTTTCTAGTTTCATCTCTTACATCATTATCTTTACTCTTTAATAATCTACATAATTTGCCAACTAGTTTATTTAATTCAATCATAAAATTTTCAGGTGGTAATTAAATAATTAATTCAGTTAATGATATAGACAGCTAAACTCTATGTTTTTCATCTAATAAAAATAAATTTTTTAATGGTAAATATATTTATTTTAATAAAATATTAGATCTATCCTACCATTCTTATATTTCATCTACTGTAATATCAATAATTTGATTCCAAAATTAATTTGAAACATCTTTAATTTCTCTAACTTTTGCTAATTCTTTTTCTTATTAAATAAGACTTCTATAACTAAATTCAAAATCAATAATTTAAGTATTTTATTACTCTTCTTCAATGCTTATATATTATTATAAATAATCTTATAATTTAGATTCTGAATTCATTTATAATCTTTCTTTGATTAATTTTATTACATTGAAATTATCATCTTTATTAGAAGCAATTATTGATATAGTTTTAATCAAAGCATTAGATAATTATTATTTATTACTTATCATACTTTTTTCTAATTTTTTAGTTAATTATTACATTAAACTAATTCTTCTTTCAAAATCAAAATGGCTACAAATATACCCATACATTTAAATAGAAACATCTTATAATGTTAAATAGTGTGATTTATTTGCATCTGTTAATTTATGTTTATGATTATTCAATTCACCTCCAGCATAAAATATATAAAAGTCTAATAAAGGTAACATTATTTTTGAAACTGATTCAATTAATAAAACAGGTATTTACATTAGTCTCTTTTAAATTAATTAAGCTCCTTTTATTCTTTTAATTAATTAAATATCAAAAATTAAATTGAAGACATTTTAATCTGGATTCTCATTTTCAAATAATACTTTAAATTCACAATAGCCACTATCGTATTATTCTTCAATCATATTTAATGGTTAATTATTTAAAATTTATTAAGTGTATTCATCAATTTATATGCATAATAAATAATGTTCAAATAATTACAAAGCAGCTTTTACTGAAGTTTCTTCATTCATTTTCATTAATTAAATCATCTAAGGTAAATAATTTTATTTTATATATTCTGATTTAATATTCTTACTCAAATAACTCTTAAATATCTCTAATACTGATATTCTAATTGATAATTCTTGACTTGTCAAAAGATAAAAACAATTTTATAAAATTAATTCTGTTGTTTTTTTATCATTATGAATTATCTTCTAAAATTATAAACATGCTTCTAAACATTTTTCATATTCAATCTCTTCAGTAACATGATTTCTTTAATTCATTGCTTTCAATAATTAAACATCATTTTCATTTAAAGGATATTGTACTTTAAATTTAATAGCCATTGAAATTATTACATCTACTATTAGATTTCTAGTTGTTAAATTTTTAACAAGAATCAAGAGTTATGAATATGATTAGAATAATTCAACTACTAGATCATATTCAACTATTATATCTTTATCTAAAATGCATTTAATGCAATTATTTAATAATTTACCCATCAAATTATGATTATGTATTTAACTATCATATAATTTAGGATTTTTTATTTATTTACTAAATAATATTAAACATTAATTCAGTATAGCATTATTGAATTCTTTTCTATTCATTAAAATTGTATAAATAAGATAAATCATATTTAAATCTTTTATCTATTCACTCTCACATTCAATATTAGAGTTAACATTATTCAATAAACAATTAAGTAATTATTCACCATATTATTATGTAAATAAACAACAAAGTTGATTTGGTTCTATTTCTATTGTGGTAGATGGTTCACTCAATTAATATATTGAATATAAAATACTATTTAATATTTGAATACAATTTCTTTAGGCTGAAATCTTTTATGATATTTAATGTTTTAGCTAATGAGCTAATCTTCCATCTTCATCTTGATTCAAATGTATTTATTTTATATAGGTAAAATCATACAATTAGAAAAATCTACTTAATAACAATTCATGATTTTCACAAATAAATTATTAGTAATCTTTTATTAAACATACACTCTATAACAATTTTAAAATTCCAGAAGGTTATGATTTTGAATCAATAACTATTTTTTCAAATCCTTAAATGAATCCATTATCTTCAAAACAAAATTTTAAATTTTCTTAAATCATTTCTGTAAAAGATTATTCAGAGTGATATTTATTAACAATTTAGCATAATCTTTTAATTCCAACCTTCCATAATTCTTTCGATAATGATGTTACATTCTCATTTTATTTTAATAAAAAAGCATGATTTAATAATTATCTTATTATCTTTATTTACTTTTCTAATTATTATACATTAATTTAATAACCAAATTTTTCTATTAAATTCTTTAAAATTTTTAAATATTATATTTTAATTTGGATTGGTACTTCATTCAAATCATTATGAAAACCATGATTCTCTTATATTAAATTAATTAATTCGTTTTATAAGTTTAAATTGCTTAATTGTTCAAATACTGCATTTCTCCTCACTTAAATAGCAGAATTTTTATGCTTTTTTTTATGAAGTTTTTATTTACTAAATATCTTTGGATATAATACATTTAGAATGTATAATTTAAATTATTCTTATAAATGTTATGGTAAATCTAATTAGAATCTAATTATTTCACCTTTAAATGTATTACCATTAATCATTTATTCCATACTACTAAAAAATTCATTTATGATTCCGTGATATTCTTATAAATTATTTTAAATTTCAATAAATTTTATATTATTTAAAGCTATCATTTATGTTTATTCATCATCTTTTAATAACCAATGTTTAAATAATTATATCTATGAGGATTAATATAACATTTTTAAATGAAATTGAGATGTTTTATCACCATATCTTCTTTTATAATATTATTCTACTTTAATACAATTAATATCTTCCTCATATTATTATTATAAATATTTTGTTGAAATTTAGAAAATTGTTTGTTTGATATTTTGATTTAATTCACAATGTTAAATAGCCTATGCAAATACTTCATCAAAACAAATTTAAGATTCTAATTATTCTTCATCTTATTCTAGATAGCAATGTTTATCTAAATAAGAAAGACTACATTTTTAATATTCTTAGGGTGTAATCAAAAATATTCTCAATATACTTTAAATATCACATTTTGATAAAACTGAGGTTAATAGCTCTCTTATTGTTTATCTAACAAGAAAAAATTTAGTGAATGCAAGTCCAAAAGCATATCTTTCAATTTATTTTACATTTATGCTTTTATTTAATAAATTCTTAAGATTAATTATTGAGTTTTTAATTCTTCTTTCATTATCAATATTAATCTTCTCACTATCAATATCTATCATTAGCTATAATTATTCAGAATTCTCTAATTCAAATAATTTTTATGCACAAATTAATCTAATTTATCTCTTTCTACTCATTAATCCAATCTCTAACAAATTTTTTGGAATATTTGTTAACAAAGTAAAAAATTCTTTTGTTTATAAATTTAATCTACTGAATAAATTATAAATTGTTCTATTTAATTCTAATTATTTAATTTCTGGATTCTACAATATTTTTATAATTATCCCATCTTCTAATGATTTATTATCTTAATTTTATTCTGCATATAGTAATTCAACTTCTTCACTTATTTCCAATTTTATTGAACTTAACTTTTCAATATTGTTAATTATTAGAGTATAATCTATTTTTTGTTCATTAGATTATATATTATTATTTAATATATGTAGGGTAGCTTACAATTTGTTTATTATTTATTATTTAATCTCTGTTGGAAATTCTACCATTTGGATTAATTTACATAAAGAGAGAACATAGAAATTATTGTCTGTGCATAAAAGTTTACTAAATAATTCAGAAGTATATAATTTATCTAATTAATCAGGTGTTAATTTATCAATACAATGAATTTCATCTAATTTCAATAATAAGATTAATGCTTCCTCTTTTTATTAGAATAATTATTAAAATGTTGATGCAATTAATAGTTTATAAATATTAGAACTCTGATGAATTGGTTATTATAAGATTATTTCAACAATATTTGAAAATTCTTCAATTGTTATCTAATTTAACATTTTATTGACAAACAATTTATTTGAAATGATTATCTCTTCGATCTATAAATTATGAAGTCTCAATAAATATCCAATTGATTCAGGATTATTAACAAATGTTATAACTTCATTTATAATTTATGGTGTAGCTTTTTTTCTATTATTTTTAAATAGTTCAATTAAAATTGCTTAATCCAGAGATTAAGTTCTTAATTTTAAATCTTTGAATACTTCTAATAAACTAATCATGATTTTAGGAGATTAATGAGAAACCTCTGTAGCATTTTGAATTAAAACTATATAAAATTATTAAATAAGATCGTTATTTTATGTTTTCCAAATTTCATCAATTACTTTGAATGTATTTTAAGCTAAGTATCCTTTGATGGATTGAATAGATATAAAGATAGAATAACTAAGTTATTTAGGATTAACAATATTCAAAGCTCTATGAATAAGTGATCGATTTTTTCTAAATAAATAACCAACAGATTCAGATGCTAATTTTTTAATAATGTTAAATTTTGAAGAGAAACACACTTCTTACATAAGATTAATAAAAGGTTCAAATTAATCTATCAATACTTTTTCTAAATATTTAATTGCATATGCAATAAACAAGAAACTCTTTTCTAAGTGTTCTACTTATTCAATATCAATTTAAGATAGAATTTCTCTAATAGTTTTTTCTAAATATGGATAAAATTCTTCTCTGGTATCTTTAATTAAATAAGGTAAGGTGTCTAATACTAAATTTTTGCTACTCTATTATGGTTAGAATAAGTACTTTTTCTTTCAAATAAATGTAAGCAATATCAAGTAATTATCTTAAATTAACTAAAATTTAAGGCAAGGATTATGCATAATTATATGATTCATTCATAAACTTTTTTTCCATTAATGTAGCTTTGTATATAGAATAAATGTATACATAATGTGCTTCGTTTTAATTCAATGATATCTCTAAAATAACAACCAGAAATATCAGATTTAGTTTCAATATGAATATCTTCAATTCTACGTTAAAGATTAATATCAATTTCTTCTCTCTATTATTTAGTTGTTTTGAATCTATGTCTTTTATCAACTTTCTCTTCTAAGTGGTAGTGTCGGATAACTCTGGCTGCTTACTTTGGTTCCTGTAGTGTTTCTTTTTTTGATTGACGCTTTGTAGGAATATATTTAACCATAAATTAATAATTTAAGAGTGAATGATCATAATGCAATATTTTAATAAACTTTTTATAATTTAATTTAATTCAATATATTATGTATAATCATATAGATATTAGATTGTAAATCTAAATAGATTTAAGTATCACTGATATTATTTAAAATGTTAATAAACAATTGTTTACTATTTTATGAAATTTAAATAAAAATTGTATTGAATCATGAGTAATATTTATTTAGGATCCAAATGAATTGGTTTATTAATAAAAAATAAAGAATTATTAATAGATTTTTAAAAAATAAATAATAATAAAAATAATCATATCGATATAAAATATAGATGAAAAAAGAGAAATAAAGAAGAAAGTTGAAATTTAAATAAAGAACATTTAAAGATGAATAATCTGAAGCTTTATAACGCAAGATTAATGCGGGTAAAAAATATAATTAATAATTAAAAAGAGGCGGGTAATGCAATAAGAAGAATAGCTAAAGAAGAAATCAAAGTTAGTTATAGATAATGTAAGTTGATATTAGAATGTAGTCTGATGATGAGGAGATCTGTAAAAAAGTGAAATTAGAAGATCCTTCTTATTCAGAAGAAGAAGAGGAAGTTGTAGATGTTGAGGAATTAGAGGAATCAGAGGAAGAAGAAAAAGGAAAGAAAATTAAGAAATAAGAGTATATTGAGGTAATTTTAGAAATTTTAAGTAACAGGATGAAGATTATATATATGTTGACAAATTGCCAAATTCAGAAGCAATGTTAAAAGATTTGAAAAAATAAGTAGAGTAAAAAATAAAACACTATAAAATGAAATATATATAAGAATATCATGAGAATCATACAAAATCGAGTTTTGTTAATAATGATGCAATTCCAATTTGCACTGATGTTAGACTAATGGATTTTTAAGTATTTTTAATTAGTGATAATTTAAGAAATTAAGAGATGAGTAATTTAAAATAGCAGGATAATTATTTGATGTAATAATGATGGATCCACCATGGTAATTGTCAAGTTCATAACCATCAAGAGGAGTTGCTATTGCATATTCTTCATTGGCTGATGAAAATATTAGTAAAATGCCTATTGAAACATTATAAGACAATGGTATTATATTAATATGGTAAAATTATAAATTTATTATTATTTAGGACTATTAATGCTAAATATAAGGTAACTTGTAAGTTAATTGAATAATGGGGTTATAAGTTAATTGATGAAATTATATGGTGTAAGAAGACAGTCAATGGTAAAATTGCTAAAGGACATGGATTTTATTTATAACATGCAAAAGAAAATTGTTTAATTGGTGTTAAAGTAGATTTTTAACTTTTTAATTTTAGGGTGATATCAATTTCTAAACTAACAGATTTAAATAAGGTGTGGCTAGTGATGTTATTTTTAGTGAAAGAAGAGGTTAAAGTTAAAAACCAGAGGAAATATATTAATATGTTGAATAATTAGTTCCAAATGGTATTTTTATATATAAATATGTTTAGGATATTATTTGGAGATATTTGGAAGAAGAAATAATGTAAGAAAGAATTGGGTAACCATTGGAAATGAATTATGATATATTCTGTCTATGGTCATTTTCATTTAATATGTCTCTATTCTTTTACTTCTAAATTATTAATATATTATCTAATTAGTATGGGCTCTATTTGTATTTGTCAATCAAAAGCAAATTAAAATTCAATCAAAACTAAAATTGTTATTGTGGGTTTAGAATCTAGTGGAAAAACAGCTTTATTTGAATATATTAGAATAGGAAATTTTGTATAAACTGAACCAACAGAAGGTAACCATTATAATTATATGTTGAGGCTATAATGTGAATTTTAATAATAAAGACTTTTTGATATTTGATCTAGCAGGTAAAACACCTAATTTGTGGTAACATTATTATCAAAATACGGATGGAATAATATTTATGATAGATTCTACAAATAAAGGCAAACTATAAGAAGTAAAATAATAACTTATCAAATTAAATCGAGACATAGAATTTCTGAATGTAAGAATAATATTTAATTAGATAGGAGTTTTGATTTTGTTTAATAAGTAAGACCTTGAACATTTAGATTTTTAAGTTTTATTAGAAGAATGTGGAGTTGAAAAGAATTTACAATTTCAGAAAGCTTGGTAAATGTGTAGTTGTAAAACTGGAGAAGGTATTGAAGAAGGAATTAAAAAGCTTGTATTTTTAATTAAGAAATAGTAGACAACGGTTCAAAATTAGTAATAGATCACATGAATTATGATTAATTAATAACATATGTTAAACTATAAAATCTAACAATTAATTAAATGACAAATAAGAGAAAATAAATTCATTATTGGTACCAATAACATTTGTATTTTCATTGAATAATTTAGTCTATAAATTTTTACATACTAGAATAATTGATTGTATAAGATTTATGCATTTTAACTGTAAGTATTTACATAAAACTGAGGCTTTTCATATGATTGTAGGGGACGCAAGTTATTTCATATTTTACTTTGTTTTGAAGAGGAAAGCTGAATAAAACAAGGGGGATAAAAGATATTTTCAATTTCAGCATTGTTTGATGGAATAATATCATATAGTAACATATAGCCTTATTTCATTCCATCATCTATATTATTTTAAATGTTGCATGAATTAAAAATCTAGACAGTAACAGCTTTATTTTAAAAATTTGTACTCAAGAAATAATTCTCAAAATAAAATTATGGTGAATAAATAACAAAATTTATCTTTTGTAAATCATCTTAATGCCTGCAAAACATCAAAATATTGTTATCTAGTGTCTGAAAATATTTTGCAATCATTACTTTTTTTATAAAAATAAAGTCAATTTCAGAAACCTCATTTTTTACTTAAAAATTTTGTTATTTATTCACCATAATTTTATTAAAAATTTGGAATTCTTAGAGAGAGATTAGGTATACCCATAGTTGGATTTTCAAACTTTTTATTTAGAAGATCAAAGAATGATATTTTAGTTAAGAAATAAAATTAATAGCAATAGTTTTAATTATAGTATCCCATTTTACTTTAGCAGATCAATATATATTAAAAGATAGATTATTTCAAAAACTAAATTTTTAAGTATTTTATGTAGAAGATTATGAAGGAATGTGGGGTTTATTATACTTTGGTGTTGTAATGGCAATTCTTAATTTTAAACCAAGTAATTTTAAAGTAGGATATGTTTTTTATAATGATTAAGAAAATTTGGAATGTAGAGACGTATTATTTTAACAATTAAGAGATGATGCATGTTCATCAGCAGGGTATACCTAGTTTTGCATTATTTAATATATTTGATGAAAATGATAGAAATATATTTCTGTATTAACTCTAAATTATTAGAACATTTTTAAAATAAGGTATAGGATTAATAGTAAAAGCTATACTTCTTAATTGTGTTTATCAATAACAAAAAATTTTGATATAAAGCTTAAAGAGTATGGGGAAAAACATCAAAATAGACTAATTTGATCGAATTAATTAGATTTGTTTTATTAGTGTTAAGTAACTTAATATTAAGAAAGGTTGAAAATTTAATCTGTTAAAGATAGAGAAAGAGTATTGTTAGAGGAATCATGCTTAATAATAATTATTTTTTAGATATATCTAATTTTATGATTGATATCAAATTTATCCTGTTTATCTAACACTAGATGTACCTGTTCTAATTGTTGATCTTGTAACTGTGGTAGTTGCAACCTATAAATAATAATATAATATATGTACTTTAGCTTGTTATTTCTTTAATGCTTCTAATTCAATTTCTACATTCATCAACTTCTCTTATGCTTCACTATAATCATGATTAACCTCTTAGAACTTTCTTTTCCATATTTCAGCTTCATTATTATTTTATGTCACTCTTTCAGTTATTAATGTACTCTCTTATGCTTATTATAATTCTAATTGTAGATGCTAGTTTTCTTCTTCTAATTCTTTTATCTAATTATAATGATTATTATTATTTTATACTCTTGCATAATCTATTTCCTTTACTACTTTTATTTCCTTCTTCTTTTCCAATTCTTTTATTACTGATTATAAATATAAGCATTCCTCTCTCCAAGGTTACTCTATTTCCTCTCTTGATACTATTACAACAGATACAACCATCTATTATTTTGTACAACATTAAAATTCATTATTATTGACAACCTATGATTAACTTACTCCACTTCCAAGATTATTTATTTAGAAACTTTGTCCTGGATTTATTACAGAACATGATCTGTAATTTGTATTTAATACCCTGCTTGCATATGAATTATATTTCTCCTTTTTATGCCAAAATTAGTAAGCTTCTGGTCTCTCTATTTTCTTAACTGCATAATCTTCCCTTAACAATGTTGGTTCTGTCGTGTATGATGTATACTACTAATTACTAACAAACTTACTTATTTTACAGTCTCAGGTTGCTATGTTGTTATTTGCCTCTCTATAAAAGATTCTTATTTCGTTGAGATAAATGTGCTCATATCTTCAAAAAAACAAAAATTAATTAATTTACTAATTATTTATATATCAATCAATCTCTTCATAAATCCTCTTCATTCTATTTCATACAATCTAAATTTTATTATTAATACAATCTCTCTTCTCTCCTATTTAGTATTTTCTAATATTTTAGCATATGCTACTATTTCATCATTTAATCTTAACAAAATCTAATAATTTTGCTGTCAACTCAATTCTTAAGGTTTACAATGTTTTCATAAATAATTATCCTTGATTTAATTTTATATTATCTTTGGAAAAATCATTTACAAACCGTATTAGTTTATCTTAATTTCAATTAACGTTTTAAATACAAATAATAATCCTGTTCGTTTTAATATTTAATAAGAATTTCATTCTTTAGAAAATGATTAATCTTCAAGAATTAAATCACTTTTATCAAATGCCAGTTTAAAGATTTTAAGACCAATTTATTATTTTTTATTGAATAATTTTAGCTATCCAATACTTTGGGTTTCTTATCATGAATATTTAAAATATAAAAATTCTAACTTGTCATAAATTAAATATTGTTAGAAAACTGATAGAGAGACAAAATAATAATTTATTTTTGATATGTATGCGTTAGATCTTAAACTCCATCAATTTTATAAAAAAAATACATGAATAAATCAATAAATAATCTTCTATCTATTAAAATTTAATTACTAGTATATTGATTTGTATTATTTTAGGTGTAAACAATTAATTGTTAGAAATTTTATTTTGATTATAAACAAGTTCAAGTTGCAATCTCTTTAATAATAACTAAATTTATTTTAATTAAGATGTTTTAATAGTTTTTCATATCAAACGATTGTTACATAAATAAAGTTAGGAGATAAGAAATATTGAAATTGAATAGGTTTTAGTTTTATAATAATTAAAAAATTTCTTGCTTAATAGAAAGTTATGGTGTTAATTTATTTTTCATTAATAGTAATAGCAAGAATTAAATTAAGAAATAGTGAAATGATGAACTCAGCATTCTATAACAATTAAATTAATGATTCTACAGAAAACCACCACCACAGCGTGTTAGAAGTTCTGAAATAAAAGGGAAGAAATAAAATGAAAATACTTAAAAGAAGACTATTTTTCATTTTAATAGTGGAAATTCTTGGGATGAGTGGTAAATTTTAATATAAATAAGATTCATATAGTCTAAATATTAGCATTATCATTAAAAAATTGGTATTTGTTTTAACTTGAAGAAGATGAAGAAATATGGATTTAACTAATTTATATTTAACGATATATAGGATATTCACAGTTTTGCGAAAAAATGAATGTCACAAATAACTTGTTATGCAAAGATTTGAAACTTGTTGGATTAATTTGTTTTTGTATTATTATGTTTGCTATCTTTGTTCAGGTAAAGATTGAGAATATTCTGATAGATATTAGAGGTATTTCGTTTGATTATTTACTTAAAAAAAGGGAGTCCTCGTATTTTATGGAAATTGAAAGGCAAACTACTTCAAGTAGTATTTATTTTATTACTTTTATGTGGATACGCTGGGTATTTATTAACAATCCTGTTTTTATTTTAATATAATCAATGTAAAAAATATGATTTAATCATATTTAGAAATAAAGTATTTTGGATTTTCATATTGGATGGGTGCTGGATCAATTTTAGCATAGATTTTAATTTCATTTTATTATAGAATAACTAAAGGATCTTTAAGAAGAAATAATTCAGTACATAAATATTTGCTTTATGATAATGTTAAGCTAGAGTGCTCTAACACCACCAAATGAATTAAATTTTAAATATAATTTGTAATGAATATATCTCTCTATATAAGTATAGGTTATTTTTTAATTTTATTAATTTTATATGCAAAAAAAAAATAATTAATTAATACTGTCACCCAGTGGTTTGGGAAGTAATATAAAACCTGGATTGTTTTCAAAACATTGCGAATTGAATAAATTAAATAAATAAAAAAGTTTTAAAATTGAGGAAACTCTAACCCCAAAATTGTTTGAAACAAGAGAATCAAGTTTTGCTCCTTAACCAAAATTATAAAAAAGTTAAAGGTATTGTTAAATATGATTAATGATAGTGCTTCTAGATTGCTTATTCCTAAAGAATAAAGATAGGAAAGAGTTGAAAGATAAGAAATACAAAAAATGCCATCTATTAAACAAGATCAGATCACTGAACTATCATAAAAATTATATAGAGAACTTATAGAATTCAATGAATAGGCGGATTTTGGAGGTTAAAATGAAATTTAATAATGGAGTGAGGAGATGATCAAAAAATTACTCATCATTAAAAATAGTTTAGAATGTAAATATTTGAATTAAATTAAAGAATCCGAAGTTTTTGACAATTAAGATAATGTGAGCGAAAATTAACAGTATTTATGTTTATATTTTAAGAAATGATATTATATAGAATTTATAGAAGGAATTAAATGATGAAAGGAAGGAAAGATACAAAATTGAAGAGGAGGCAACCAATTTAATTACTGAATAAGAGTTAGAAATTGATAGATTAGAAAAGCAGTTAAAAATGTTAGAAGAAAAGCATTCTTCATGATAATTTCAATTAATTATGTCATTTATATATATTTAAAATAAAACAAACACTCACTTATTAATCAGTATAAACATCAAAGAAGCATAGCAGATTCATTAATATTTAAAGCTGTTTCTGTCTTTTTAAGCAAATTAGTATATATTTCAATTTAATTTTGTTCTTAGCTTAAGTCTTTTATTATTGCATCTTTTTTGGATAAGATTTTCTTATCAGATAATTCATCAAAATGTTCCTATTGTAAATAAGTTGGCCTGATAGACATAAATCTAAAAAAATAAATATAATTATTACTTATAGAATGATGTAACAACAGCTAAAGAGGAAGTTAATAAAGTTAAAATAATATTCCATTTCAAATTACCATTTTTTATTGCTTATTTTATTAGAAAAATAATTAAGATAATAATTTGAGGTAAATCTTCAAAAAGAAACTAAATTAAGTATCCTTTAATTGAGGAATTAATCGCTTTTCCTGCTTAATTAGGCATAAAAAATCTCATAATAAAATTATTAGGAATCACATCAACATTAAATGGAGCTACTTAATCTAGAATTAAAGCAACAGCTTAATTCTTGCCTGCTAAACTTATACGATAAAAGTCATTTATATATTGAGTGGATAATTATTTAATTTAAATGTTTCTATTGAAAATAGTTCTAAAAATTTGAATGAAAAACCCAATAACATTTAATCCTTAATTAAATATTTATAATGCCAAAACAAGGTAAAAAAGGATATATTCATCACAATAATAACAAGTTAAAATAAAGCAAATATCATTGAATTAATCATATTTAGCAAGTTAACTAATAATAATATTCTTCATAAAAATCATCCAATAGGCTTCATTTGAATTAGCAAATTTATCAAATTATGTTTATGCTGATTTCAAAACAGATCCTTATTTTTAATATGTGCTTTTTGGTTGATCTTCATTTTCTTTTTGCTATTAAATTTAGCTATCCTCATTTGGATATATTTAAATAGCTAGTTTTTCAATGAAAGTTGGAACATGTTAAATAATGTTTTTGTATATATAGGCTTCTAAAATTAAAGAAACTACAGCAAAAGAATAATATAAATAAAATGCAATCTTATTAGGTCCATTTATACAATAATCAAATCTTATAGTTGCAGATTCATCACTTTAATAATAATGACTAAAAAAATAAGGACTAATTAAACAAATTGCTAAAAACAGTAAATTATTTATGACAAGGAAAAAAAAGTAAATTTGTTTAGTAGATAAAAATTTGTTCAAATTAGTAACTTCCTTATTAAATTTGTATTAATTTGTTTATTAAACAAATGAATTACAAATTTTATATAAAATCCTCTTGAAAAATTTGGTACAACCAACAGATTTCATGTTATAAGCTAATTCTCTTAAAGCATATCCTATACCAATATTTAAAAAGTTATCAAAATCATATTATATTGATGAATATTCAAAATTAGATGTTTCATAAAAAATAGAATAAATTGCCTTAATAGCTTGTAAAGTCAAAGTATTTTAAACTCTAATTTTAGAAGGAGGAATCAATCTAATTAATTAAACAATATCTGCTTCTGTATAACCTTATTTAAACATTTCATCAATTAAATCATCATCTAAATAATAATCCATAATGATTTGATCAATAGAGGATTAATTTGATTTAATATTTTCCCAAATGTATAAAATGAATTAATGTGTAACTTTTTCTAATCCTGGAGCTTAGGCATTAATAATAATAATTTTTGAAATGATACTATTTGATTATTTTAAAGCTAAAAAGGTATCATTTTAAAAGAGTAATGTATAAGGGTAAGGGCATCCAGGTTCTTTTGTTGTATATTTAAAATAACTACAAAATTAATCTAAAGTATTCAAATTTAAATAAATAGTAGCAGCTTAATATCTGTTTTCTATAAAATATTCATTAAGTATTGCTATATAATGATCAGCTAAACTTAAATGATATTATGAAACTTTAATTAATGATTATTCGGTCCATGTAGCTGTTATAAAGTTTTATTGATTATACATAATGTTATTTTATAATTGATTGAAATAACCAAATTCTTCTGGCGTTCCTCCAAATCTACCAACATCACCCATTTCATAATCTATAAATATTGGTTAATCATTAGGAGAAGAATAACCTTCAGGTTATTCAGAAAGATAAGGTTATAATTTCTATTTTAAAACAGTGTTATGGGTTAATAAAGTATGAATAGATAATTTTTGATTGGATGAATTATTAGCTTTATTTATAGCTGAATTAATAATGTTTTACAATTTTAAATCGTTATCTAAATTAGTATCTGAAATGTTTAATTCTACTAATTAAACTTTAGGATGAAAAAATAAATTAGAAGAGATATCAAGCCAACCTTTATGTGTTAATGAACCATTATGAGAAAAACTTAATTTTTTGACTTAATATTCATAATTACTGGGTTTAGAATCAAAATATCTTCTTGCCTATTTTGTAATGATTTCTGTAGATGCATCTGTTAAAGCCATAAAATGAATAAAAACACTTTCTAATAGAGGTGTTAAATTTGAAAATAGAATTGTTGAACATGTTAAATTCCATGCTTCTTCAGTTTAAACAAATTCATTCCTTCCAATATCAAAATATTTTAAAGGTAAATAATTAATATATGTTCGTTTAAATTATTTTTAAAACCTTAACCAATTTTATGTTGATTTACATAAATTTATTTACATTTCACTACTCCAATTTGTAACTTCTAATTCTATTCGTTCTATTGATATATATTCAAAAAATAAAATTTCTTTGTTTATTAATTCAGCACCTTCTAATTCAATATACAAACTATAATATATATTAAATCTTTTTAATTTTAGTTAAGTTGAACTTTATTTATTTTTATTTTCAATCTCTTTTCTAAATTAAGATGCACCTGATGTTAAAGCTTTAATTCCAGGTGGTTTTAAATGACATTAATGAAAAACTAATTCTTCAAGTTAACTTTATTCATTGTATATAAATTTTTCACCTATTATTCTTAATGAATCTTCACTTAACTATTCTTAATTATTATAGTAAAGTTCAAAACTTAATTATAAATATTTCAATTTTTCATATCCATTACCTACATTTAATTGTTCATTAAATGAATTTAAATGACAATATGTTAAACTAGTAAATTTAAAGTTTTTATTAAAACAAAACTTCTCTTATAAAATGGAAACATCTTCTCCACTTAAAGATTTTATTTGTAAATTACATTCTTTACTTAATGATAAATTCAATTATTCATTCAATAAACTTTCTGTTTCAGCATATGATGTAATACTTTATAGCTCTAAATTTACTAGGAAATTTCTTGATTTATTCAACAAAGATAAAAAGTTTTCATCAATCAACACAGAATTTTATATAACTAATTTTTTTATATTTAATTATCTTATCTCTTTCAATCCCTTTTCATAAAATTAATCAAAAGATCTGCATTCTACATCGCTACCTGTAATAGTTAATACATCTAATTATGTTGTTGGATTTTATAGTATTTCATTTATTATATTACTGATAGTCTCTACTTTATCAATATCATATCCTCCTGAATGAAGATTGATTTTCTTTAATAATATTTCTTTATCGTATTTATTTTATCCATACCAATCATTAGTAGTTATTATTCCCTCAAAATTCAAAAACTCTCCAATTTCAATGCATTCAATCGGAAATAATTCACCAAATATAAAATATTTGATAAATTTTAAACTATTTTCTTTATTTAAAGTTTCCGATATTCCTATTATTTTAAACTCTTTAATAAAGTATTTATCTTTTTATAATGATTATTAAATTATTTGATTAATTACACCACAATTAAACCCAGATAAATCTAATTTCTTCAAATTTATATATTTTGAACAAATAAAATAATTAACAAATAATTTGGTTACATCATCACTATCAGAAGTAATGCCTTCCATTGTTAATTCTTCTAGTTCATAATGAAATTATTCATTTGCATTTATTTATCTTGATAATTATTATCCATATTTCTAAAATTCTTCTACATTTTTCATGAACATTTCAATATTAAAATTTGATAATTTTAACTTTTTCAATTTATTTTAAGGATGACAAATAATACCACAAACTAAAGCTTCGTATATTTGTTAAGTTTATTATTCAGAAGAATAACTTAAATTTAAATCTAATTCCAAATATCTTAATTGTTAAGGAGGTTAAAATTAAAATTTTTGATAATGAAATAAAATCTTTTCTTGTAAGTTTAAGTGGGATGACTTTATATTTGATATTATTTCTTAAATTTTATTTTCTACTTCTTAAAATTCTTCATTATTATTTTCAGCTTCTTGTTATTATTCTTTTATATCAGATAACATTAAATTATTTTTGTTGACATTCAATAGAGTAGTAAAAAGTTTATTCCATTATTTTGTAGAAATATCAGGATTTAAACTGAGATCAATTTCTCTCAGTTTAAAATACCTCTTCAATTTGTTATTTTTTTCTTTATTTTATAATTTAATAAATATTTTACAAAGTGCTTGTATGTGTTATTTCTGACATTTACAATTTTTTAATACAAGTTTAGTTAAGTTTTATTTAGTATCATTAAATATTATATCTTCAAAAAACCATTCGAAAGCTTCATTTATTTCTGTATTAATTGCAACAAATGAAGTTAAACTTAATGTTTAATCTTTTTTTAAATCACCTTCTTAAATTAATTATTTAGATAACATTAATGTTTTGTCAAAACCATGACAATCGATAATAGATAATTCTTTGATTTTACACAATGCATTAAATGCAAACACAATCAAAAATTCAGATTAAATATCACAATGTTCTAAAATTAAAGTATTTAACTTTGGTTAGAAAGTTAAAGTATTTGACTCTGGTTATAAAGTTAAAGTATTTGACTCTGGTTATAAAGTTAAAATATTTCTTAAAGCATTTTAAAAAGTATTTAAATTTGATTAAATTTTTATCTTTTTTAATTAAATTTTACTAATTAGATCTTCAAACACATTTAAAATTGCTTATTAGAAAACATCAGAGAATTCTATCTTCTTTAAATATAGAGTAGCTAAATTTGAATTTAAATTAAATATAAAAATTTAGACAAATAATTGCCATTAATTTACATTTTATAATTCTATTGATGATAAATTTAAAAAATTTAATTGAGATAATTAATTATCAGGATCTTCAATGTTAATATTTTTAGATATAATAGATTCTAAAAAATTAGATATAGGAACTTCAATTAAAGAAAGTTTATTCAATCTTATAAAAGGATTCAATATAATCCATTCAAAAATATTTTCATAAACTTAATCTCCAGTAAGATTTCCAATATATAATTTTTTTAATGATTTAATTTTATGTTATTCATTTTTTAAAGTAGCTTATAGAATTTCTTTATTTTTATCTTTTAGGTTGATTGTAATTCCTATTAATTCTAATTCTTCTAAATTTGAGCATTTGTGAAAAATTAGATAATTAATAAAAGAATACAATTCAATAGAGGCTCCATAAGCATTTTTTAAAGTAAAGGATTTAAGAGCGAAGAATTAATTATTAACAGAAAGTTCATTTATAAATGTAGTTAAGTTTTCTTCAAACTATTCTGAATCACATTCAAAAGAAGTATCTTCTAAATAAAATTTTTCTAGAGATAAATTATTATTAAAAACTAATTGATTGAAATGAATTTATTCAAAATAAAATCTCATTCTAATTCCTTGAAAAGATTTAAGAGTATATTTTTTATTATTATCTGAATTAGAGATAATTTTTAGTGCTTAATTGAAAGCCTCATTTCTTTGATAAACATTAAATGCTTCTATAAAAGTTACACTTTCCATTTATAAATAATCTTCTGTAGTAGTAAATACTAAAGATAATAAAAATTCTAAATTGATTGGAATTTCCATAGAGTATCTCTATTCTGGTATTATAATTTCAACTAATGGAATTCTGTAGTTTTGATAACAAAAATGATCAGAATTAGTTTTAATTTCTTCAACAAAATCTTTATAAGCTTTATAATAAGCTTCCATTCTTCCTGCATCACAATTAGATATAGTTAATTTTTTGAGATTAGAATGAATATTAAAACATGTATTTTTAATAAGTTTATACATCAAATCATGTCTATTATAATTTTCAACAGTAGATAAATCTAATTATTCAAGATTTAATTTTTGTAAAATCTTCTATTACTATGTTAATTATTTTAGATGGATTAATTATTTATCGTAAGATTCTATAAAATAAAAGATTTTTAATAAGGTTGGTAAATCAGCTGGTAAAGAATTATCTAGCTTAATTTCTTTTAAATCATTCAAAATATTGTAACTAATTAATTCAAATACCTTTGGAGACATTTTATCATTTTATGAAATATTAAACATTGATAATCTTAATTAATCATAACGATTTCCACAAAGACTTTCAACAGCTACTGAATTATGCAATAATGGTTAATTACCTATTCATTATTATTATCATTTTACTTATTTATAATTTTAATAATCCTTTAGAAGTTGAAAATTATTAACAAGCTTTTGAAAACTCACCTAATTCTCCTAAATAATTGTGATTCATGTTTAAACCTACCAATTATTCTAAATGATCTTCATGATATAATAATTATATTAAATTATAAAATGCTTTATAATTATTTTTAGTAAAACATCCTTCTACATTCAAATCATAAAAACTTGTTTAATTAATTTCTGTTTAAGCATTTTAAATCTTTTCTTAGAATGATGGTTAATCTATTTCATTATAAAATATTTTAATTAAACCCATTGAATAAGTTTCATAATTAAAAATTATTTTATAAAAATAATTTCTCTTCTAACTTTCTTATTAATTTTTAAGAAACTTCTCTAATAAAATTAAAAAGTTACCTTTATATATTCCAGGGTTACTTTTAATATAAATCTAGTAATAAGAGTAAATAATTTACTTATTAAAAATTATTTTAGTTTATTAACAAATCATATAAAAAATCTTTAATATCTAAATCATCTAACTCATTTTATTTCAAGATTATTGTAAAATCTATTGGATTAATCCAATTTATAAGTCTACCTAAAATATTAAGATGTTCTTTATCTAATTGAGTATTGATAAATTAAAGTAATTTAAAAGATGTTAGTGATCGTAATTCTTATTCTATATAAATCCAATGCTCAATTTTAAATGTCCCTTTATAATCTTTAATACTAATCTCTCCATTCCATTCTCCCTTTTTAACAGATAACTAATTTAAAAGAGAATGTATTACATTAAATTAATATAATTAATTGGTAACTTAATTACCTGGTTTAAAAGTACACCTCTTTTTCTAGGTCTAAACCTCCTATGAAGTAAAGTACATTTGATCCTGTTGATATCCTACACTTGATCTCAACATCTTTACTGATTTCACAAACGCATTTTCTAACATGTTTTATATAATAATTATTATGAATGTTAATTAAAATTAAATAAATTATAATACTCTTTCATCTTTCCTTATATAATTAAGAATTTCATATTTATTTTATTTTAAATGTTAAGAATTATTTTAAACATTATAAATAATTTAGTCATTCTTCTTCCTTAAACTTATTGATATCATCCTAATTTATACCTGGTGGTAATTCTTCATCTCTATTAATTATGAATATTTTATTAGCATTTTAATCGATTTTATTATTTAATGGTTTTAGTTCTTCTTCATTCTCTACTTTAATCTAAATTTCACTATTCTAATCTTATTATTCCCCTTAATTTTATTCTATTTATTATTATTATTAAATTAATTGTTTTTATTCAATATAATCACTATTTGTATTTTTAATCTTTTCAATCTCTGATATATCTATTTAAAATGATTTATTTATGTCTAATCCTTCTGGTGGTTTTATCAATTTTTATGCCTTTTATAATATCAATTAAAAAAATACTTCTAAATTAATTGGAGGTAAATCTTCTTCAAATAAATTGTATAATTATTAAAGTTAGTCTCTTGATTTAATTTGAATTAAAGATTCATAAAAAAATGAAATTTTAACAATTGAAATATTATGTAACTTAGTATATATATTTTTAATAAGTTATTCCATTTAAGGAATAATTTAATTTTCAGGATCACTTTTAATAATTTAGATATATATTTTGAATAATAATGAATCTATATCAGACAATGAAGATTCATAACAATTCAATATATTCAACTATTCCAAAAATTTAATTATGTTTGTTAATGCTTCTAATTTTAATAATTTGACTGATTCACCAACTATCATAATTAATGATTTAAATATTATTTCTCTATGATTTAAAGAATATTTCAATTAAGTATGTCTCTTAACAATATTCAAAGTAGGTCCTTACAATGAATCAGATTATGTTGCATATGTCTAAAGTATTTAATTGCACAATTAATCTGAATACACTTTTAATCCAGGAACTCTAGTCAATAATTCAAATAATAATTCTTTGAATCTAATAGCATTGTCTATAGAATCTATTTTCTATGCTATTATTGGAATGTAAACAAGTAATAGTTTTTCAGGATCATCTACATTTATAAATTTATCCTTAGTTATTATGAATACTAAAAATATAATATATCATATACTTAATGATTCTATTATTTTATCATTACTTTCCATATCCGAATATTTCAAAAAGAATTCAATCACTGTTTAGAAATTATTTTAATTTGTAAAATCTTTAAACAATTGTAATATTTAAAGTTTTGAAAAATAATCACTTTTTTTAAAACTTTCTAGAATTTATTCTTGAAACTCCATTAAACCAACAGATGTAGATATGTGAGTTAAACATTCCAATCCTAAACATCTCACTAAATATTAATATTAAAAATTACAATTAGGATCTTAATGATTTAAAAATTATTTTAATATATCACCAGCACTTTCATAAAGTTAAGAATGATTTTTAAAATGCCTCATTATAGAATAAATTAATTCATATTATAATGATTTTGAATTAGTCTAATTTAATAATCTTGTATAATGTTCTATTAACTTTCCTTAAAATCTAGGTTCTAAAGATATCAATTTATTTGATATTCTAACTAATTTAATTAGTAACCAATTTGATTTTTATTTAGATATTTAATCATAAACAATTGATAAAAATAAAGGATAAAGTTTAGGTGCCACTTTCATAATTGAACAAAATAAACTAATACCACATGCTAATACAGAAATATTTGTCTCTTTTTATAATTATTATATGACCATTTCTAAATTTCCAGGAATATTTAAAGGATTAATTGTGAAAATTTTAGATAAAACTGCAATTGCCTTTTTTCTTATTAATGGTTTTGTATTAGTAGTAAGTTTTAAAACATGTGATAACAAAGAATCTGATAAATCTTTATTTGCAATAGTGCCTAAACAACTCAATGTAGAAGAGCATTCAATATGACTACTTTTAAATTCTTTTATAAAAACATTAGTAACCATAATTAAACCTTAACTTTAATTATCAATTACTAAATGGGCAGCTAATTAAGCACCTAATTTTAATTAAAAATCTCCACTTCCCATTAAATTTATTATTTGAAATTCTGCCCATCTTATGTTATTCCCTTCCATAGCTAACTAATTCTTAGAATTATTTAATTACAAAAAATAATTTTAATAAGGCCTAATATCTGACTGATTCCTATCTACTTTATAATTCATTTTTTATATCTGCTATTGTTTATGTGGTAAATGTTAATTTATCATATTGAGAAGTAGTCCTAGATGTTCTAACAACATCTGCTAAAGATTTTAAAAATATTTAATCCATTTATGACAAGTGGAACATTAATTATAAATAATATCATATTATATTTAAAATATTATTATCTCTCATTGCTCTAATTAATCATAAAGTTAAACTATTAAATTTATAATAATATTCTTAAAAGTAAATAAAGTAAACTGATCAATTAATTAAGCAGCTAAAGTTAATCTTACTTTATATTATCCAAAAATAAAAATATAGATTTCATAAAAAAATTAAACTATTAATTATTACTTCTTTCAATTATTATAAAGTGATAATATTATTCCCAATTTATTTATTTAAAATTATTCTTCTTTCTAAAAAAATTAAAGTTTAAAATATTCTAGAAGAATTGTAAAATTGTTGCTTATTACTTTTATGTATAAAAATAAAGCTTGAATAATAACTAGAATAAGAATATAGTAATTATAAACAGTTGAATATAAAGTTGATAATTTAATAATTTCTAGATCTAGATGATTTGTCTAAACAAATTAATAAGTAAACTTAATAACAAATCTCTATGGAATACCTTTTTTCTATAAAAAATAGAAATATACAACTTCATTTTAAGAATGTAGAATGAAATTTCTATAGTTAGTTTAAGAGAAAAATGCAATGGAGATGAAGAATAAAAGAATTTTGAAAGTAAGAGTTAAAGAAATAGGAGAAATGAAGATAATAAAATGAATAAAAATGAGATGTAATATAAGATAAATAAAATCTATATGGAATTGATACAAAAAAATTGATTACATCAATAGAATTGGGTATTTAAAATAAGAATTTTAAGAATTCCGATATTAATATTATAATTAAAAGGTAAGGTTTGATGCCTAGTGTTATTCTATAAATTCGAGCACTTTTAGTGAAGAATTTCACATAATCGTTTAGAAACAAGGAATATATATCAGATTTAGCTTTGCCTTTAGTGACAGCAATAATAGTTTCTTTAAAAGAGTAATTAGAGTTTTTAGGATTTTTCGCTCCTTTATTTTTATCAATAGCAGTAAGTACACCACCTAGATCTTTACTAATTAATTTGGTTGAAGAGAAGAGTGAAAGATTTAAAGAATCATAAAAGATAATGGGAATGAAATAAAGATCTTATTTAATAGGATGGATTATGTATGGTTATATAAAAACAATGATAGTAATAAAATTAATTATATTAATTAGAGTACAATATTTTTAATTTTCTTTTGGTGGTTATTGACATAAATAATAAATGATGGAGATTATGGATTTAAGACAGATTCATATAAAATATTCTTAACTTACTTTTTATATAGTAGTACAGTACTAAATTTTTCATTGGCTATGTCTACAGTATTTTCAAGTCCAAAATTGGCTAATGAAGTATCAACATTTGTGACAATATTATCAATTCTTCTAACATTTTTAGTATTTTTAGCTAGCATATAAAGGTATTAATATTATGTAATGAAAATAGTTCATCTTTATTTTATTATTGTATGTCTATATTTCCATAATCATCAATAAGTTTTATTTATATGGGTGCATTAAGGAAAGGGTTTTTTAATTCAAAAGTAATAAGTGAAGCTTATCCATTATCAGATGCAGCATTATAATTAGGAATAGAATCATTTTTTTATTTTATTTTATTTTTTTATTTAGATTAAGTATTTCCAAATGAATATGGAGTAGCAAAACATCCATTATTTTTTTTAAAAGGATTATTTGGAGGATAAAAGAAAAATCATATAAATGATTCATTATTAGATGAAGATCATCAACATAATTTAAATGAAGATTAAAGTAGTGCAATATATCATTAAAAATTAAATATATAAAAAAAATGTACAGTTTAGATTAGAAATTTAACTAAGAAATTTGGGGAATTTAAAGCAGTTGATAATTTATCAATAAAATTATATGAATAAGAGATTTTATGTTTATTAGGACATAATGGTGCTGGTAAGACTACGACAATAAGTATGTTAACAGGAATGATTTAAAAAAGTAAAGGAACAATAGAAATAAATGGAATAGATTTAGAAGAGAATATAGATGCAATAAGAGAAAATGTAGGTATATGTACATAAAGAGATGTTTTATATGTTTCTTTAAAGGTTATAGAAATGTTAATTTTTATGGGTAGAGTTAAAGGATTAGAAGGATTAGATTTATAATAAGAAATAAATGAAATTATTGAAGTAACAGAATTAGAAGAAGATAGAAATAAATTAATTAAAGAATTAAGTGGAGGAAGCAAAAGAAAACTATCATTAGCAATAGCGTTAATTGGTGGATCATCAGTGATATTTTTAGATGAACCTACAAGTGGAATGGATGCATAATCTAGAAGAGTTATATGGGAAATTCTATAAAAAGTCAGATAATAAAATAGAACAATGATATTAACAACACATCATTTAGATGAAGCTGAAGTATTAGCTGATAGAATTACTATTATGGCAGCTGGAAAATTACTAGCTTGTGGAAAATGTGATTATATTAAAACTAATTTTGGAGAAGGTTATCATTTATCTATCACTAGTCAAAATTAATAAATATTATAACAATGTTCAGATTAAACTTTAACCATTATATAAGAAGCTTAACTTGATCCATAATCTTAATCTGATACTAGAATATTCTTAATACCTTTTAAATGCAAACCTAAACTTGATTAATTAATTGAAACTATTACTAAATAATACTAAAATAATATTGTTATTAATTTAAAACTTAATTCTTTAGAAGATGCTTTTATTAATATTGGAATGGATGAAGAAAAATTCATCAAAAAAGCTAAAGGTAGTAAAGCAAGTGTAAATGATAGTCAAATTGCCATGGAATAAGAAGTTGAATAATAAAGAGATATTAAAATACCTAAATGTTTAAATAATCCACCTATATATTCATTCTAATCATAATTCACTGCTATATTTTTGAGGAAATTCTACACAACATCAAGAACTTTTAGTAATTATATTTCTATTATTATTCCATTCACTTTAATAGTTATTGGAACTTTAATCATTGATGAAATCAACCTTGATTTTCTTAAAAATAATAAAAATCTTGAATAATATTTTAAATTGGTGCTTATTTCACTCTTCGTTATTCTAGCATTTTGTTTCAATTCTTCTTTATTTATTACCTTACCAGTACTAGAAAGAGAATTTAATCTTAAATATGCATTAACTGTTATGGGATGTAGAGTACTACCTTATTGGATAGGTACATATGCATTTGACTTTTTGCTTTACTCCTTTTTTGTGATAACATTTGTAATATTTAGTTACATAATGAATTTGGCTTTTGTAACAGATCATATGGGATATGTTGTATTATCATTTGTTACATTTGGTTTTGCCTATATATCATTCTCATACTTTGCTGGTATTTTAATGTATAAGAAAACTTCAACAGCAATGAAGACATTCCCATTTTTGAACTTTTTCATTGTATATTGCATGCCTTAGAATTTTTGGGGAATATGCGCATTATTATGGTAAAAGGGAATAGGAAATAAAGATGTGATAGAATTTATGATAAAAGCAGTAGAATGTATATTTTCATTTTTAAGTCCATTTTTTTCATTTTAAAGAGCTTTTTAGAATATTATAAAGATAGATATAAATCCTAATAGTCAACAACCACCTCCTTTAACAATAGAATCGTTATATTATTCAATTGCAATGTTTTATTAAGGAGTATTCTTCTTTTTCCTTACACTTTATTTAGAAGAGAAATAATTTAAGATAATAGGGAATAATTTAGAGAATGATAATGTTAAAAGAAGTGTTAGAGTAGATCAATAAGTAATAGATTAAGAATAATTAATATTAAAATAAAATGATCCTGTAAAAATGTATAAGTTATAGAAAGTATATGAAAATGGATGTGTAGCTCTTTAAAATGTAAGTATTTCAATATAGAAACAGAAAATTCTAGGTCTTTTGGGTCCAAATGGATCAGGTAAATCAACAACTTTTAATATTTTAACATCATTAATAAATAAAAGTGGTGGTTTTGTTAAAATAAAGAATAAAGAAGTTCATAGAGGAAAACATGAAATATTTTAAGACGTAGGTATTTGTCCATAATTTGATTGTATTTGGGAGAATCTAACACCAAAAGAACATTTATATTTATTTGGTAGAATGAAAGGATTATCTGGAGAAGATTTAACAGAGTCAGTTACATACTTTTTATAAACAATGCAATTAGAAGAATATATTAATAGATAAAGTGGAAGATTATCAGGTGGAAATAAAAGGAAATTATGTGTTAGTAATGCTTTAATAGGAGGACCCTGTATTTAATTTTTTGATGAACCAAGTACAGGAGTAGATCCAATAGCAAGAAGATTTTTATGGAGAACTTTAAAATTAGGTGTTTAACTTAGATAAAGTAGTGTTATGTTAACTACTCATACTATGGATGAAGCTGAAAATTTATGTGATAAAATTGCAATCTTAGTAGCAGGATAAGTTTATTGTTTGGGTAGTCCTTAAGAATTAAGAATTAAATATGGAGATGGTTATGATATATAATTAAGAGAGTATAAAAATAGATAAGAAATTAATTAATTCTTAAAAAGACAATTCTAGGATATCACTGAAATAGAACATAAAGATTAAGATAATTTATAATTTCATGTAATCTAATTTTATTTATTCTTTTTTAGATTCCAAGTTAAACATTTGATTTTCATAAAGCCTATTTCTCTTTGACAGAACTAGTCTAAAAGAAATTGATCAATGATTTCTCAATCAATTAATCATCTTTAGAATCAGTATTTCTTCAATTTTCTAAAACGCAAAAAGAATAATTAAGTTGAATAATTTAATTCCATGTATCTTATAACATATGTTTATATCAATTTTTTATAAAATAATTTATTATTTATTATCTATTATTTACTTTTAAAAATTATTGCTTTTAAAATAGTAAAAATATCAGAAATAATTATTTTGTGAATTACAAAATTCATTTATAAAATAGTGATGGATTAAACTATATTATTACTAAATAAATAATCATGCTTAGATTAATTAACCAAATTAGGAATAAACTATATTTTACATAATTATGAACCTACCCCAGTATTTGAACATCATATCAAAATTTAAATGTCAGATGATACTACTTACATTAAGAATCTATTATATGTTGATAATAAAGTAAGTAATTTATTATTAACTTATAGTCAAATTATTATTTAATCTTAGCTAATCATACAACTAAAATTGGTAAATTGTTTTTGAAAAACCTTGGATTATAATTAGGAAATATTAAATTAAGTGAGGAAGAACAAATTACAGAAGAATTAAAGTCTAGCAAAGATAATTTTAGCCTATTTGCTCTATTTAATGATTCAAATAATTTAGTATTTACATTTAAATTAATAAAAACTAGATTAAAAACATTATTATAGATGAAGAATTAACTAAATTTAAGAGAGTGTTATTGCATCTAATAGAAAATACAAATATTGTTGTAATAACATTTGATGATTTATAAAATAAATTCTTGAAAACATTAAATAAGAATTATTCAATATTATAATTAAGAGATATTACAGATTAATAAACATTAGAATAATAAAATAAATAAACTTTAGCAATAACAGTAAAAAAATCTGATTTTACAGAATGGTATTAATAAGTGATAAGAAAAGGAGAATTGATAGAATATTATGATGTTAGTGGTTGTTATATTTTGAGACCTTGGGCATATTTTATTTGGGAATAAATTTAAAGATATTTTGATGATTTAATAAGAACAGAAGATGTAGAGAATGCATATTTTCCAATGTTGTTACCATCTAAATATTTAATAAAGAAATAAGATCATGTATAGGTATAGAAAGCAGAAATAGCTTGGGTTACAAAATAAGGATAAAATATTTTGAATGAGCCATTGGCTATTAGACCTACATCTGAAATAATTATGTATCCAGCATTTGCAAAATGGATATAGAGTTATAGAGATTTGCCACTAAAAGTGAATTAATGGACAAATATTATAAGATGGGAATTGTAATAACCAACTCCATTTATAAAAACAAGAGAATTCTTATGGTAAGAAGGACATACAGCTCACTAAAGAAGAGAAGAAGCTATTAAATAAGTCTATACAATCTTAGATTTCTATGAATAAGTATATAATGAATTATTAGCAGTCCCTGTAATTAAAGGAGTAAAATTATTAATTAAATATAAATAGATTAAAACAGAATCAGAGAAATTTTTAGGAGCAGATTTTACTACAACAATTGAAACCATTATACCATAAAATGGAAGAGGATTATAATGTGCTACATCTCATCATTTGGGATAAAATTTTAGCAGAATGTTTGATATCAATTTTGAAGATGATAAGAAATAAAAAATATATGTATGGCAAACTAGTTGGGGTTTAACTACAAGATCTATTGGTGCAATGATTATGTTTCATAGTGATAATAAAGGATTAATATTACCACCAAGAATTGCAAAATATTAAATTATTATCATTCCAATTATTTAAAAAGATATTGATCAAATATTATTAATTAATAGATGTGAATAAATTAAATAAATGTAATCTAATTTATTATATATATAGATTGATTAAATTAAAATTAAGAGTTTATATTGATTCAAGAGATAATTATTCTATAGGTTGGAAATTTAATAAATGGGAATAAAAGGGAGTTCCAATAAGATTAGAAATTGGACCAGAAGAATTTAAAAATAATTAAGTCACAGTTATATCAAGATTTAATAATAAGAAATATTAAATAACTATTCAAGAATTAAATTAATTAAATCAAATACTTGACAATATACATAATTCTATGCTTAAAAAAGCTGAAATTGAATTAAATTAAAAAATTAAAAACGCTGATAATTGGAATGAATTTATGTTACAATTCAATTAAAGAAATACAATATTAACTAAATGGTATTTTAATTTGTTCATATTATAAGGTGTGAACGTACTTAATGTGAATAATAAATCAAAACAAAATCAGGATAAGAATCTAAAGAAAAAGATTTAAAATTTGATGGCCTAATTTAACCTTCAAAAGGTGCTTCAGCTTTATGCATGCCTTTAAAATAAGATTAAATCATAGAAGGATAAAAATGTTTCCATTGTAATTAATAAGCTAAAAAATATGTTTTATGGGGAAGATCTTATTGATCTCTATAACATCTATATTTTGAATATAATTACTAATTATTTTTTTTATTTTAAAATAATTTTATAAAAAAGATGAGTTGGAAAGTAAGTGTGTTTATGTATATAAGATTAAAGAATCTATACCTAGAGTAAAATTAACACATTTATCTAAAACTAATATAATTGATGTATGGGCTTATAATTTCATGGCTGAAATCACAGAAATAGCATCTCTTATTGAAGAATTTAATGTCATATCATTAGTAATGATGCCAATCATTTTAGGATACAGAATTCCCAGGAACAGAGTATGATCAACCAGAAAATGATGATAAGGTTATTTGAATATCTTTATAATAGGATTATGAATATTAATAATTAGTAAGAAATGTTTAAAAATACAAACTAATTCAACTAGGAATTAGCATTGCAAATGAAGCTGGTGAAGTACCTTTGGTTAAAAATACTTGGCAATTTCATTTTAAATTTAATGCATAGTAATTTAAAAATTTAATTTAGACATGATTAATTAATGAATCCTGTTAAAATTATGTTAGAATAAGCAGGAATTAGATTTGATGATTTAGCATCTAAAGGTATTGATTATACAGAATTTTGTGAAGTAATAACTGGAAGTGGTATCATCATTATTAAAAATAAGGAATCATTTTAAATGATGAAATTAAATATGTTGTGTTTCATGGAGAATTTGATTTTGGATATTTATTACATTTATTTCATCATTCAGGAATTCCTGATACTTAAGAAGAATTCTATAAAATGATGAAACTTTATTTTCCATCCATATATGATTTGAAATATATTCTCAAAGATAATTAAAAATACAAAGATGCTGGATTAAGTCGATTAGCAACTAAAGTTGAAGTAAATCGTATTGGTCCTGAACATTAAGCAGGATCAGATGCTTTACTTACATTATAATGTTATTATCAATTAAAATTTTGCTTCCCAGATTTATAAAGTGATTTTGATAAAAGCATGAACATCATTTATGGTATTGGAAAAGGTTATATACCAAATAAGTATTCTATTATTCAATTTTTAGTCGTCGTAAAACTTATTAAACAACTTCATAAACTCCAGATCCAAATTTGCAAGTAACATCTATGGATTAATAATATTACTACAATTAAAACTTTCAATATGATGAACTTCAAAATTCTTATTATCAATATGGATAACAATTTTTGAATTACAATTATTTTCCATATTAAATGCATGAACCTGATCAATCCAAAAGGAAAGGTTATTGAATATTAAATAATTATCAATTAATATTATTAATTAGTATATCAGAATCAAATAACTAAAAAAAATATTTCTTCAGTTTTGCTCTTTTCAAAGTCTTTTAATACTTAAAGAAATTGTTTTATAATCATTATTAATTATTTTTTTTCTCAATAAAATGGAATAAGATTCAAAATTGAGTTAGTTCATATCTCCTAAATAAGCAGCTTAACAAATTTTAGATTTGAGTGAAACTCAAAAAGTGAACGAATCTTAATAAAAAATGATCCAAAAGAGTAGAATACAAAAATTTAGAACTGAAGACTTTTCATTAAGAAGAAAACTGTAAAACCAAAGTTTTTTTGGAAAAATGAAAGTAATCTGTAAAGGGATTCAATAATATATTTATATATTACTAGAAGATCCTAATTCTTCTTTAATGGCTTATTGTTTGCAATTTCTTTTACTCACAAGTATATTGTTATCTTGCACAGCAATAATAGTAGATTCATTAATGGAAAACAGTATGATTATTGTTTTTAAATTAGAAAGTAATGCTGAATATGATGAAATATCATTTTATTTAGAATATTATCTATTCCTTTTTTTTGGATTAGAATACTTATTAAGAATGCTTAGTTCAACAGCATTTGATTAAAAATTAATGAAGTTTGTTTTATCTCCTTTAAATTTGATAGATTTGCTTGCAATAATGCCTTTCTTATTTAATCTAATTTTTGAAGGGACAAGTCTGTCTGGATTAAGAGTAATTAGAATTGTACGGTTTATGAGAGTTTTTCGATTGTTTAAACTTTCTAGATTTATGAAAGATATGCTAATGATTGTAAATATATGAATCACTTAAAAAGGTAGATACAGTAAAGCATTCAGCAAAGGACATAATAATCTTAATCACAATGTTTTTCTTTTTGGTCTTATTTTTCTCTATTATAATGTATTATTTGGAATACGATGAAAACGAGATTGTAGAAGATGAATAAAAGATTCATTCAATAACAGAAGCAATTTGGTGGTGTATTGCAACAATGACAACAGTAGGATATGGTGATAAAGTGCCTTTGAGTGTTTTTGGGAAATTTATTGCTTGCATAGCTGCCTTTCTTGGGATTACATCAATATCATTGTATATAAGTATAAATAATAGACCTGTTGCAGTTATGGGAATGAATTTGACTTAAACATTGAAAGATCATGAAGAAAATATTGAGATATAAAAATTGAAGGATTAATTTGTAATGGAAAATGATACATAATTAGTTGATAATAAAAATAAATAGGAATAAATTTAATTAAATCTTAAAGAATTAAAATTTATGGAAAGACGATTAGAATAACTATTGGAAAATAATTAAAAGGTTATGGATTATGTAGAATAATCTTAATAACTATTTGATGAAGTTACATAAGATTTAATGAGTTTGTATTCAGCTTTAACTGAGTAATTAGATCTTCATATTGAAACAAAAATGAAGAATTTAAAAGCTAGACATCGTGTAATTATACATTTTTTATTTATTAGATTATGAAAATGGAAAAGAATCTTAATCAAAAGAAATCTATTGAATTGAGTCAAATTGTATAAGCTTTTAAAGAAAAATAAAAGTTAATATCATAAGGTTCAATTTTAGTATGTGAAGAAAGTTAAGCTGATGTTTTTAGCATTGCAAGTAGATAAAGTAAATAATACACAGCTAGAAAGAGTCAAAAATTAAGAAGTAAAAATACAAGAGGATCTTATATGTGTGTTATTAATAATAGTAATCACAATCCTTTCAAAACCTAAACAGATTATAATGATCCAGATCCTCATTAAAATAGTATTATCTATGCTTAGGTAAGTTCAAGAAATTCAGGATTTAATCAAGATATGCTCTAAAATATTGGAGGAAATGCTGAATTTAAATTCAATCTAGAAGAATCAAGTGGCAACATTGATGAAGATGATGATAATGGACTTGATCTAAGCAGTAAAATGCAAAGTATCTCAAATATATAAGATTTTAAATTGAAAAATAGTATTAAAAATAATAATATATGAACTGCTATGATTAATAATTTCTTGAGTACCAATCAAATGAACTAACATTAGTTTATCAAAAATATTCTTAATTCAATGACATTAAATATATTTAAAAAAGTAATGAATAGTTCAAATTATTTTGTTTATATTTTAGATTATTATTATTATGCAACCAAAGGTGATTTTATAATTCAAATTGTCTATAATATATACTTTTAATTTATAATAGTAGAAGTAAAGTATTGTAATATAAATCAAAATATTTTTGGAGGATGTTATTTTTTTATAGTTAAAAGATAAAGTTTATGTTTGAATGTTTTAGTACATTTTATTAGGATCCTAGTAAATATTTAATTGATAGAGAATAAAATATATTAAATGTGATGTGTATATTGAATTTCATTACTAAAATTGGGATGCAAATTTATTAATCAAATTTAATTATTATTCTAATTGTAAAGAAGCACATCGTTTCAATAAATTAATAATTAAAACAGCATCAGCTCCTTTAATCCAGATTCTTCCATTTTTACCAACACAAACTTCAAAACTAGAATGTTTGCTTATCTCTTTAAATAATTCAGGTTTAGTTTAAGAACTCAAAAGATTTTATACAAAATTCAAAGGCAATTCTACAATAACTCCTCCTGTTAATTCTCTAAATAGATTTTCTCCTGTAGTCTATAATAAAAATAAACTTTTACCCATTCTTTTTTACTTTAAGGATTAATGCATGACAATTTACCTTTTAAATAGTGATTTAATTCAATGACTCTGGCATATAAAAATTATCCAACTTAAATATTAGGTTTATTCTTTTTTGTTGCTCCTTCAAAATCCATTTAATTAAGATTATATACAAGCCCATTACCAAGTTCACAAAAATAATATTCACTATTCTTTCCAGTGACTTATACAATTACATAGTCTTCTATTTCTGGTTAATAGTATATAGGATTATGACAGATTGCAATTTTTTATTAATCAACCCAAAACCATCCTATATGTTTTGTTTCTATTTCTAGAGATTTAGTTATATTAAGATCTTGCTTATTTGTTTTGATTGAATTTCCACTAACTAAACTTGAAAGCGGAATTTTTTCTCCAGGCAGTGTTATATATACAAGAGCACTTTACATTAAATAATTTAATTTATGGCTGCAGAATTTTAAATTATAGTTGACAAAGCTATTTAAAAATATCAACCATAAATAGATTCTCTATTAAATAAATAATAATAATGTCAAGCTTAAGTAGAGAATCTATATAAAAATGATGAAAAAATAAAAAGTACTTTATTAATTGAATGCAATAAGGATGTTTAGAATTTTCAAAAGTACTTATAATATTATAGAAAATAATAAATTAATTCAATGACAGAAATTTGTTATCAAGAATTAGAAAAATTTAATGATATAAATTCTTTAGAATATTAATAGGCCAAAAGAAACTGTTTAAGAGCTTAGTTACAGAATATCATTGTTTTTGAGTAGAATATTTAGCAAAAATTAAATGGATTATAAATATGAAATATAATAATATAAAAGATAATAACAAAAATTATGAATAAGGGTAATTCAAATATCAATGTAAATTAAATAGATTTTTTCTAACATTCTACACTTTATTCACGTTATATGGTTTTTTAGCTGCTTAAATTAATTCTTACTAAGCTTCATGTAGAATATCGCAAATGCGATTTACAGCATTTTTCTTACTATGAATAATAACTGTATTAGGACAAGTAGTATTAGACTATTATAATAATAAGTTGTATTACATCACTTTGAATTGGAGTAGTTAGAGATGAATTTTCAATCTCTTTAGTCAGCATTTAACTGAATTCATTTATTTCCTGTTCATTTTAAAAATCTTCTTCTTTAAAGAATTACTAAAATTGTTATTGTGTTATTATGTTTTCTTACAGAAGTGTTTCTAAAACAACTTATCTACTTGATAATCTTGATTAATGTTTAGGTTTTATACTAGGAGATAACATTGGTGAATCATCAAATTGTTAGGAAGAAAAATTAAATTTTTTAATTGATAGAACATCTTCCTATTCATCAGATGAATCCATAATACTTGATCTAATTGTATTGAAAGTTTCTAATAAATTTAATTTAGAATTTTAAGATAAATAATTTTATCTTTAATATGGTTGTGAGTTAAGTAATCTATAAAATTCACTCTCTCCAAAGTAATTAATGAAAATTTAATTAAACAAGAGTTCTTAGACTGATTATACATTATTATTTATCATGTCTTATACAATATCCTTTTCTTGAGGAAATCTAGAAGTTTTATTTTAATATACTTTGTAATTAAGTAATTCTTTATTAATTGAACATCTTAATATATTTCCTTAGAATACTCATAGGTCATTCTTTCAATCATGCAATCATCTAATATTTCCATATTGCAATTGTCATCCAACAAAATTATGTTAGAAACCTATTTAAAAATTAAAACGAATTTTACTAAAAAGTGATTTAGAATGAACCCTTCATTATGATATTTGTAAAACATTTTTAATAAACCAAAAAACTATTATTCGAAAGACAACTCATGAATCTACTTTCCATTCAAATATGAAATGACAATATAAAGATGTTGTTCATCTTCATATAGATATTCATGTTTTTAATTTCTTATTATCCATTTTAAATAATCCTTTCCTTCTAATTTCGAATACTTCTTTAGAGATTTTAACATCCCACTCATTTTATCCCTTGCCTACAACACCTATTAAATTACAACAAATTTTACTTAGAATTTCTCTAATTAGAACAACACTTTTTCTATATCATAATACATTTCTATATCCAAATGCATACATTTTTTATTTATCACAGAGTAAAACTACTATAAATTAGGCCCATTGACATTTATTTAACCAAATTTATTTTAAAGAGTTACTCCTCTCTCATCTAAATTAACATAAGTTTCCACTAAATTTATATATTAACTATTGGCTATCAATTGACCTGATATCACTCTAAATCTCTATAACCTCTTTTCATAGTATAACTCAAATGTTTATTCCTTCAAATTTATGTTAATTATTTACTTCTTCATCATCCAAATTCATTTACCATTTATCTTTAACTGCATTCCAAAACGATTCAGCAAATAAAGAATCTTAGAACATTTATCTAATTATTTTTTTTAATAATAATCATTTTATAGCTTATTATAAATACTTATATAGCCTCTCATATCATTTTCGAATTTTATATATAATTTATACAATTCATTTTCTAATCAATTTAATTCATCAATTATTACACATCTATAAGATTTAGATCATATTTAATAATTATTATATAATTTATTCTCAATTCATCTTATTAATATATTCTTTTTAACTTTCATACCTTCAAAAAATTCTACATTTTTACACTAAATCTAATAAAACCTGTTTATGCCTTTTTAGTTTTCTTTTCAAATGAATCAAAGAATCCTTCCTAACATTTTTCATTTAATTTTTCTACTATCTTTTAAATCTATTTTATAACAGTTATAATTTTTAATCTTATTGCTAAGCATGATTAAAATTCTGGCAGCAATTATTAGATTTATTCTTTATATATTTTTGATTTAAAACTATACAAATAACTGATTTGAATTTTTTAATTAAAAAAAAATAACAAATAAAACAAATAAACTAAATAATGTGATATTATTAAAAATTCACATATATATGTGTAAGCTGTTAAATTCAATCAATTATTTTTCAGAATTAATCTATTGAATAATTTTGATTCAAACATAAATTTTTTAAGTATACAAAAAATTGCAAAAATGAGTAATTAAAAATTAAGATCAAAAAATTTAGATTTTAACTAAGGTATCCTATTTTTCAATGTTTATGATTAATGATCTATTTATTTTGCTCAATGATTAATTAATAAAAAATTAATTGACTTTTAATAAAATTCATAATAGTAATATTAATATTTTTTCAATTCGACTAATATTAATTATTATAATTCTAATTTTCAGACTATTAATATGATTTTATAATTGATTGACGATATTATTCTACTTTTCTTCTTGTTTTAGATAGAGCTTCAGGTGGATTTGGATCCTGTCTAACTTTATTTGATTTTTACTTTAAGCAGTAAATTGTTTCTTTAACTTAATAATAGAATAACACTAAAAATCTTAGGAAAGAAATTAATAATAAAATAACTGTAAATGTTAATATTAAACCTTGAAAGAGTAATTCGATTTTCATGTAAAACATTCCAAAAATAATAGTTATTAATAAAGAATTCAAACAAATCCATTTAGCTACAAATTTATATTTAGATAGGCTATAAGAATTATTTACTTTAGAATTATCACCAATTAATCCTTTTGTTCCCCAAGATAAATCATCAATTCTACAAAATGCATAAATTTAAAATAAGTGTGTATAAGCATTCATAAAATAAATGTAATGAAGTGAATATTTAATTAAATCAAGAAACGTTTAAAAATCTAAAAACATCTAAATAAAAAAAGGTAAAAGAGAAAATAGTAGTGTAAATATAATAAATAAGTACAGGTATGATGTTAAAATTTCTGGATGTTCTAATAACTCTTTAAGTGATAACTCTGTTAAAATCTTATTGTAGATTAAGGAAATAGTATATATTAATGTTAGTATACTATATATTCCAAAAATAGTAGAAATTAAATAAAACTTGGAATAGAATGCTAAATTAATTTTGATTTTCCAAGTTTCTTTTGTTCTTTCATCTTTAATTTAATTTGTTATACTTGGATTGTATGACATGACTAAAAAGATTAAGTAGAATACTAAAAATATGTATAAAAATAGTCCCAATGACTTGAGTGTAAATTATATTGATGGGTCTAATTCAGAAGTTATTGAATACAAGACCATATACAACCATATAAGTTAAAAAGTGATTGCAAAATATTATAAAACTTAAAATTATAATTAAAATTATTACTTTAAGATAAACTTGCTAAAACTAAACAAAATATGAACTTTACTTTATCACAAGTTGAATGTTTGCTATTTTATAATTTGATTTTAAATTAACTTAAAACATGATTAAGAGCAAACCAAGATCCATTAATCCATCTTTTTCTCTAAAATAATAATTATATAAGAGTTGGACAAGCATCAACTTCAACACATGCAGTTCTCACATACTTTAAATATTAATTATTACAAAATAATAATAAACACAATATACGATCTTCTGCTAAAAACATATTCGCCTCTTCTAAAGTTAATTATGAATTTTATGTTGATAGCATAGATCTTAAATATTCATCTAAGATAGTTTAATTATTATTAGTATTTCCTTCTAAATCATTATTTTAAATTTTAAAAGCTTTATATCTATAAGCTGAAAAAGCTCCAGGTAATACTTAAACATAATTAAATGTTGTTTCTAATTATTTTTCAAAAATATTTCCTAAATCATATTCAAATTTTTAACATCTTTCAATACTAAAAACTCTATTAAAGAATCTACTTAATGGATCCATAAATTCAGCATCATTTTCTTTTTCTTATTCACGATTTAATTAAATTGTCATTTTACCACAAACTCCACCTATTTTTTTGTTATTTTTCATTTCATTTATTAATTCAAAAAGAGCATTCTTTTTAGGAACAGCTCCACAATCCATTAAAACGCAATATTTTGGATTAAACTCATGACAAAATCCTTTAAAAAACCACAAATGAGAAGATAATTTCGTACCATTTGAATATTTAAATACATAAAAAATAGGCATCTCATTTTTCTAAGTTTTGATTGAATTATTTTCCTGGGTATTAATCAATTTTTTAAATGTATTCTAATATACCCAAGCATTATTCTATTTATCTTTAACATAATCTTAAGCCTTTTTATATTAATTATTCAAATATTCCTTTTTTTAAAAATATGATAAATTTTTAACATCAACTCTCAATAATTCTTTATCTTATTCTATTTTTTTATCAAGCATATTTTATTATTCATATTACTTAATTTATTCAACAGAATAAGAGGATTTAATTTTTGTTTTACGCTTATAAATTTAATATTACATCTCTAAGGTTTATTCTCCTTTAATTTCATAAGCAGTATCAAATGTCTCTTTAAAATAAGCTTTAAATAAATAAATAAAAAATTTTACGAATGATATCTTCTTCTGAGAAGAATCCATTTTCATCTTTCTATGCTCTGATTTTTTCGATACCATCAAAAATAACAAAAACTGCTATTTGATGTGGGGCATAATTTATAGAATAAAAGGATTGCAAACTATCTTCAATTCCTTTAAGAGTTTTCTTTAATTCACTAATTGGTTCTGAATACATGGTAATACAAATCATTACTTTAACCTTATTTTCTTTACATTTTTAATTATATTCCTATTGTTAACTTTGCTATATATTCTTTTCTTCATAATAGGTTTTTCTTCTATTTTCATTTTAAATAAATAAATATTCACTAAATAGACCTTGATGTCTAATATATATGATATATTTATTACTATTCCTAAACATAAGAATCCTATTCATAAATATTCTTCACAATAAGTGGAGGTTGTAGACTTGGACTTTTAAGTCCACCTTCTTTATTTAATTGTAATTCAAATGGTTGAAATCTTTCTTTGATTTTTGAGAAATTGTTATCGAATTCTTCCTCAAAATTAAAAGTTATTTCTTCATTGATGAGAATAGCCATAATAGTTCAATTTATTAAATTAATATAATAAGATTAAACAAAAAATATTCTACTATAAAAGTATATTAGAAATAATAATGATATGTGAGATAATAAATTGATGAGGAAGAAGTAAAATAATAAGTAATCGAAAATGAAAAAAGGAAAAATAATATAAGATAAATATATATTAAATTATAAACTAAGATTAACAATATATATTAACTAGAAGAAAAAGTTCTGAATTAATAGAATTAGAAATGGTTAAAAAGATAAAAGTAAATGAAGAGTAACTTGAAAGTGTATATAAAAAGAAAGGTTTTAGAAGTCAGAATAAAACATAATTAATGAAAGAGTCGAGGGATAAGAAATTTATTTGCAATTTTAGAATAATGTTTTGAAACAATATATAATGAAGATGATAGAATAGGATAGGATAGAACAGGTTCAGGTAAAACACTAGCATATTGTGTTCCAATATTAGAAAGAATACGAGAATTAGGATGTATTAGTATTATTACCAACAAGAGAATTAACAATGCAAGTAACAATGGAACTTAATTCAATATTACATAAAGAGAATGAATACAGAATATATAGTATATATGGTGGAACAGATTTAGGAAATTAAATAGATTAAGTAAGATAAGGATGTGAGATAGTGGTAGGTACTCCTGGAAGAATATAAGATTTGTTATAAGTAGTAGTATTAGATGAAGCAGATTAAATGTTAAATTATGGATTCTAGGAAAATATAGAAAGATTATGCCATATTTTAATGAAAGAAAAATATAAATGTTATTATTCAGTGCAACAATACCTGATTGGGTGAAAGAATTATCATAGAAATATATGAAAAGTAATACTAAACATATAAATTTGATAAAGAGGAGTGAAGTATATATAAATTATATATTAGAGTTAATTAACTGGTTCAATAGTATCAGTTTATGGTGGAACACATCCAAGAACAATTATATTTTGTGAAACTAAAAGAGAATGTAATGAAATTATTTTACATTCAAAATTACCTTCTGAAACATAACCATTAAATGGAGATATTCATTAATAATAAAGAACAGTAGTAACATTAGAAGGATTTAAGAATGGAAAATTTAAATGTTTAGTAGCAACTAATGTAGCAGCTAAAGGTTTAGATTTCCCATAAGTAGATTTAATTATATAATGTAATCCTCCTTAAGATATCATATATACAGAGATCAGGTAGAACAGGTAGAGCTGGAAAAGATCGTATATGTATCACATTCTATTCAAAAAAGGATATTACTTTAATTGAAAGAGTTGAAAGAATAGCTAAAATTAAGTTCATTAAAATATCTGCTCCTTAACATTAAGATATTATTAAGGCTAGTTCTAGAGATTTATAAACAAGTTTATAAGTAGTTAGTAAAGAAATTGTTGATTTATTTTAACCAGTAGCTTAAGAAATTATACAAAGATGTGATCCTGTTGAAGCTTTAGCTAGATAGAGCATTAGCTTGTGTAAGTGGATATAAAGATAAATTATAAAATAGATCAATTATGGGATCATTGAAGGATATATTACATATCTTTTAAATATATCTACTTCATTCTAAGCTTGTGGTTATATTTGGAAATTCTTAAAAAATAATTTCTCAGAATAAATTTGTAATTCTATTAAAGGAATGAAAAAATTAAAAAATTAAAATGGTGTTGCATTTGATATTACTGAAGATGATAAAGAACAATTTGAAAATTAATATTTACAATTAGCTTCAAATGGATATTGTACAGGAATTCAAATTGAATAAGCTACTACACTTCCAGATATTATTGAAGAATAATATTTACAACATTAAAATTATCATTAACAACCTATTGTTTGAGTATCATAAACTGTTAAAAAAGAATAGAAATTTTTATAGGTGGATTAGATTTTTAAATTACAGAAGATGAAGTTAAAAATGAATTTAAAATAGAGGACTTGACTTATTCAATCTTAGAATATTAAGTGGTTAAGATGGATAATCTAAAGGATCTGCTTTTGGAGTATGTAGAACTAAGGATATGGTATTAGTAACTTTAAAATAAAATGGAACTAAATTTAAAGGTAGAAATATTCGTGTTAATATGGCTAATGAAAAGCCAAAATGATAATTTTCTTTATATTTATAATAATGTACATTATAAATATCATTAAAACTTAAGAATCAATTTTAAATATATTTTATCATATACTTTATTACTTTCTTTATAATTATATTTAACCTTCCAAGTTTAGCATCAGTCAATTTTTACATATTTATTTTTGGAGATATTATCTATACTATTGCAATCTCATCTTTATATTCTTTTTAAGTATTTTTTAAAGTCCATTTAGAGATAGTGAATTATTAAGCTTTTTAGATATCTTATTTTTATATTCTTTATATATTGACTTTTATCTTTAATTTAATACTACTATTATTAAGCTAAAATTGTATTTTCAATGAAGCCCAATCTTACTTAAATTAAAAAACATATTTATTTTTTATTCTAATATTTTTTGTTTTTATATTTTGATCAAAATAGAAAAAAGTAAGTTATTTTAATAGGATGATTTAACTGTTTTATAGTATCTAAAATTATATGAATGCATATGTAAATGAATGATATACTAAGAATATATTTAGTTAATTAAAAGAATCAACTTAAAAGTAGAAAAAAACTATATTAAGTAAAACTTTAATGAGAGAATCAAATAGATTATTTTAGATAAAATATTTAAAGAATTGAATACAAAATCAAAAAGGAAAGTTTCTTAAACTATTCATTAACTTATATTAATAATGAAGCTGATATTTTACTTAGAATCTTAATCAATCTAAGATATTCAAACTATTGTCTTAAAATTGGAATTTTCATTAATTAAGTTATTTTTGTTAAGAATCAATAGATGAATTAAAAATAATTTAGAAATCTTGCAATTATTAGTGAAAGTTTTAAATTTACATATAGAGAACAAATTCATAACGCTATTCACATCAATTAAAAATATAGCTAATCATAAATATATGATATTTTATTAAATGGTTTTTTATTTTAAATGATTCCAGCTTCATAATTAAATCATTTAGTCTATTCTCATACTAATTATTAGAAATCAAAAAAAAGTATAAATTAATTACATATTTTTAAATCTTTTAATAAACTTTAGAAGAAATCTTTGAATTCTTTGATCTTAACAGATGATAGATTAAAGTCTCATAGCTATAATCTAAAATTTTATAGATCAGTTATGGGTATGTTCTGGAATTGTTGGTGAATTATAATTATTTAATTCAATTTTAATTATTATACAAATTATAATTATAATTTATATAATGCAAAAATAGAAGTTGTTTATATTACAAAAATAAAGAAAAGAACTTGAAGAACATATTGAATAATTAAATTAACAACTTTAAGTGTATTATGATAAAGGATACAACAAATCATTAATTGATGATGAAGGATTTCCAAGACAAGATTTAGATTTTGGGGAATTATCAACATATAAAAATTTAAGAAGAGAATTCAATGAAAAAAATAATGATTATAAAGATTTAATGAAACTTTTAGAATAAAGTAATGATTAATATTATGAATTAGCAATTGTGGGTTATCATTAAGAATTATAAAATGATCCCAATCTCAATAATGAAATAGAAGAATACACATAAAAATGGAGAGAATAGTAATAAAAGTAATAATAATAGTTATAATAACAGTAATAACAATAATAATAGTAAAAATAATAATCTAATAATTAATTAAATAATAATAATAATGAATATTGTAAATAAAATGAAAATGATCTAATTAAACCCTTTGCTTATTTAGAAGATGTCATAAAAGAGTCACCTGCAGACAAAGCTGGTTTTAAAATAAATGATTTTTTGATTAGATTTGGAATAATAGATCATAGCAATCATAATCGATTATAAAATCTTTATGATTATATCAAAAATTAGTAGAATAAATAAATAAATGTAAAAATAGTTCGTCTGTTAGTACCTTCAATAAATATTAAAAATATTGATTTTTCAACAGAATCTTACATAATAATGGACATGACTATAACACCTTAGGCATGGAATGGAAAAGGTTTATTAGGATGGAAAATGAACATGATTTGAATCATTTATAGTAGTATATATTATAATGTAAATATATAAATAATACCATTCAAACCATGTTATCAAAATCATTTTTCTTTACAAGTAAACTTTGTTCAATATTTCTTTCTTGAGCTTAAAAAGCCTCATATTTTTATAGCATTTTAATTTCATTTTATAAATGAGTAACTTTGTAATCACATATCTAAAAATTGGTTCTTTCTAGTTTATCAAAATCTGTTTAAGAGATGGTTGATGGTCTAATTTTCATAAATCTAAGATTAAATATCTGAATACTTAAAAAAAGAAATAATTATTGTGACTATTGAGGTTCCCAAAGTTATATATATAGACCAACCTAAAGTAATTTACTTTGAGATTGTCATTCTATATATGAATGTTAATTAGAGTGTCAATTAAGGGACATCTTCAAATATAAATTTGATAAGGTAATTCTATTTAATTATTAATATATTTACCTTTATTGATTTATTTAAACTTTTACCAGCAGCATTTGGTATCAATTTCCTAATTATCCATCTATTAGGAAATACACTAACATTATATGGTGCCACATTATCTAAAATTTATGCTAAAGCAGCATTTCTTCCTACAGTACAAAGATCAAAAAAATCATTAATAGTTTAAGTAGATAAATATTTTGTTTATAGTTTAATTCTTTAGATTCTTCTAATAAGAACTTCAATAAAATATATCAAATATATTGCTAAATTAATAATTGTAATAATTAATGCAGCATAATATAAGTTATCTTATTTACAATTAAAACAATTTATGATGAATACAACATCATTATATAGATCATATTTTGATAATTGAGATAAAGTAAGAGTGATTAAAAATTGAATATTCTAGGCATAACTAGAATTAACAAATTCTTTAAAATTACTACCAAACCTTGTTAAATAATTTTTATTGTTTTCTTCATTATCTTTTAATTAATGTAACTCATCTAATGGAGCAACTTTATTTTATTATATGAATCCTAAAATAGATGGTCTATTTGCCTCTTAATTTTCTTCAGTGTAATTATCAATATCTATTAATTTAGAAACATGAGATGGAATTAAAGACACTATTTATTTGTACAGAAATGATTCAAAAATCAAAGTTATTATTGCAAATCCATAATACGAATATGTTGCTATTTAATTTACTCCTTTTTTACATAAGTCTTCTTAACTGTCTAAATCTTTGATAGTTAATAAAATAGGGCATCCAATACACATGAATAAATAAATCAATGTTAAAACAATTAAAAAATCAAAATATAAAAGTGAACTTTAGAGTTTCTAATTTAATTATTTAATTTCTAAAGAATATGAATATTTATTTGCATCTGAAACAAATATTGATACTAAGAAATATAAGATTTTCTTAAAGAAAATAAGTATTTTAGATTAAAAATTGATTCCATATACTAATGCTCTTATTGAATAACCAATTCCATTATTTAACACTCTTCGATGATCATATGATATATGCGAATATTAAAAGTAATTACTCTCATATAACACTGAGTATATTCCTTTAATTGCTTATAAAGTTAAACTATTCTATATTATTATATGAGATGGTGGTATTACTCTTATTAATTTTACAATATCTCTTTCTGTATAATTATTATCTAATAAATATTCTATTAAATCATCATCTAATGTATATTCAATCTCAACTAAATCTATATTATTCTTCTTAGCAATTACATCTACATAGAATCTCCATATATCTTATTATTTAGGTTTCTCTAATGTTGGAAAAAATGTTTCTACCAAAGTTATTTTTGATATCTATGAATTACTAAAAAATTCTAAACATTTTTAATTAAATAATCCAGCTATTGGATAAGGATTACCATTTCCATTATCTGGATATTAGAACAAATTAAATAATTAATCTAAACAATAATAAGAAAATGAGTATTCCTTATCTTCACTTAATTATGGCAAAATCTATAAAAAGTGATCTATAAAATTCAAATGATAAGCACCAAATTTTACTTCATTAAGACTTTTCCAACAATCACTTAAATTTACTCTCCTTTATAATTTCAATGTTTTTACTATATTTTTTTATAATATTCCAAATGATTATATTTTACCTTCTACTTTCCCCCAACCTGTATATTTATTTCTTTTAAATGGTAAATCATTTATTACTTTAAACTTATCCTTTCTTGGTATTGTATTCACCTTATATAATTAATTTTTCAAATTAATATTATCACTTCGAAATTTTATTATTCCTAAATTTCCATATTATTTAATCCTTTCATAAATTGGAGCCATAAATTATTTTATTTTATCTTCTTCATTCAATTCACAATCTGTAACATCAATATCTTTTAAATCTACATAATTATGAAAAAAAAAGTATTTGCTTAAAAAATACCATCCCATTTAATTTAAAGATCTATTTTATGAAAAATTTATCTCCTTTAAAGGATATTGATAATTTGGACTTTATCTCTTAAAAAATTAAAATGCACAATTAGCTATCAATTTTGCAATATGATTTTTTATATCCATTCCATTCAAAAAAAGATGAGTTAACATTGGTGTTTTTTCACTAAACAAAAATATCTTACATAAAAATTCCCAAGTTTCAACTGATCCAAAGGTATCATTATAAGAAAAATTTAAACATTTAAAATTAAATATTTTCTCATCTTGATACTGCAACCATTATTTTCCAAATTCAATAAAAGTTTATACCATTTTATTTGATAAATTAAGTTAGACTAATTCAAGTCTCTCTAATTTAATATACTAAAAGAATATCAAATAATGACATAATTCTTCAAAAGCTTCTTCATCAATGTTTTAAGATTTACTCAAAGTAAAACGTTTTAAACTTAAAGGTTTCTTAACATTATCAGTATATTCTTCTGCATATCTTATTAATTTAAAAATCTAAGTTACTGTAATATTACATTGTACTAATATTAATTCCTTTAATTTAGACTCTTCATTATATATTAATTTTTTTGAAATATACAAAAGAAAGTCATTCGATATTTTCTTTTTAGAATTCTATTCAAATTATGCATTAATTTCAAGTCTTGTCAAATTCTTAAAGCTATCACTAACTAATGTATTATTAAATTTTTATAATCCTTTAAATGATTTATATTTAAGTTATTGCCATTAAAATATTTTATTTCCTAGAAAATATTTAATAATTAAATCTTATTCATCTTCAGCTATTTCATCTATTTTTGTTATTAACTTACAATTCAAATAAATATTTTCTGCATTATTAAACCAGGCTATTGTTTCTTGTTTGTTTAATATTCTTACACTTTAAAACTTTACTTCTTATAAAGTTGTTTAAGTTTAAGATATAAATTCTAATAATTTTGGAGTTAAATCTACAACAGTTTTTAATTTTAAAATGTTCAGCTTTGGTATACTATTCATTAAATCAATATTTTCAAATAATAAATTTCCACTCTAAGGACATTAAACTTCAAAAAACTATAAATTTTAACTCTCTAAAAGATATTTGGAAAAAGATTGAAGAAACTAAAATGAATCTTTATTCTCAATCTTAAATATTAATTTTTAAATTTAAGGTGTCAAACTACTTATATATTGTTTTACAAATTTATCATCATCTTTAAATTGTATAGATTCTGAAATTTTTAATTATTTTATTGGAACTTTTTATCCAAAAATTATATCTTTTATAAATTGATTAGATTAAGCTTAATTTAAATATTCATTTACTCTTATTAGATGCAATTTAGTAATTTTTAATTTACCTTAAAATTTATCTAAAAAGTTAAGTAATCCTTCTATGAATCCACTTTATGTATCTGAAATTTTCAAAGATATTAAATTATTTATAAATAAAGAATAAAAGGATTATGTATTTAAAGAATCATTAAATTTAATTGAAGTAAGTGTAATTTTTTTAATATTTGTAACAGTTGAATTTTTTTGTTTATTATTTTTTTAAAGATCAGATTATATAAGAATTTTTTCAATTGTATTTACAAACAAATCTAGATCAACATCACTTATTTTTAAATTAGAGATTTTACTTTTTGGATAAAAAATTAAACCAGCTAACATTCTATAGTAATAATAAGTCTTTTCTCTATCATTTGAAAAATCAGTTAAAAATTTTAATGAAATATCTTAAATCCTTTATGGAGGTTATTAAGTAAATCTCTCAGGAGCCATTAAAATCTTATCATATAAATTTAGATGATTTTGTTCTATTAAATTATTTAATTATTATTCCTATTATTAAAAATCTATTTGTTAAACCAATATTTTTGTTTTCTTTTATTTTTTCTTCTCTTTTGACATCACAAGTTGATAAAACTAAATTCATATAAAAATGATACCTTTTTCCATAACGAACTTTTGATTTAATTATTATCAGAAAAGTCAATAATTTAAAAAAACTTTTTTGATAATTAATCTTATTCAACACAATTTTAAATTAAATCTATAAAACCTTAAAAAAATTCATCATTTAAAGAACAATTCGATAACACTAATTATTCTAATTAACACTTTAAATCTTTCTCCTCTATTAATTCAGCATTAAAGCAAATATATTCTAAAAATTTGAGAAATACTTTAAAATTTTATGATAACTTTAAATTTTTCATTATTAAAATTGATAACTATGATTTAATTAACTATTGAGAATCTTTTAGCTCATTAACTAATTTATCTAAAGTTTTCTCAAAACCTTTACATGATATGACTGATAAGTTTTCTAAATCACAATGTGGATCAAGAAAAAAGAATGATAATATTTCACTAGAAAAAATACACTCTTCAAAGGATAATTTTTTTATATAATAAAATATTTAGGTACCTTTTACCTTTAATTATTAACGTTCTAAAAAATATTTATTTATTGACTATGCTAAATCTTCATTTATATCTACTTTCTTAAAAATTATTTCTTCAAGTTTTGGTGAAGCTAGTATTACTTTTAGAGCCAAATCAAATTTCTTAAATTTATGATAAAGACATAGTTTTCTAAGTGAATCAAATTAAAAAATTTAATCTAAATTGTATTCAAAATAACTAATTTACAGATATTGCAAATCCAAAAATTAATTAAAAATACAATACTCAGAAAAAATTTTAATTGCTTTGTTATTTACATCTGTATTATCTCTAAATTTTACTGTTTATAAATCTAAGTTATCATCTTTTACTTGTGATACATAATTTTCATGTGATAATTAATCAAAAGTCAAATTCAAATTAGCTAAGCTTATATGATTTAATTTCACTTAACTATTAGTAATAAAGCATTTGAGAAATAAAGATATATTCATTTGTAGTCCTACAATTTCAAGATTCAACTTTTTTAAAGCAAATAACTTTATATCATTTTATTTTTCAAAAAATTTACTTTACAACAAAACTTAATCAATATAAATTGTATCATTGAAGTTATCTTCTTTAAATAGAAATGTTTCTAAATCAAATGTTTTTTATGCTAAAAACACTTAAATAATTTTCTCTGTTAATTTATCAGTTACAAAAGAATTTTTAATAATAAGATTTTTTAAACTAAAAGTTCTATAAACATCTATAGTGTTTAAATATTATTAAAAAATAAAGCAATTTGAGTCTAATTCAAAACTACGAGAGCTAAAACATAAAGTTTAAATAGATATAGAATCATCTTATTAAGTAAAAAACAATTCATTCATTAATTATTTTAGGATTTCTTCTCCCAATTGTTGATTCTATTTTTTTATAGTAATTGATTGTAAATTTAAATTTTTTGTTCTGTTTTACTTTTTAAAATTTAATATTGCATTAATATAACTTTAACAAATTCCATCAGTTAAAGGATTAATAGTTAAACTTTTTAGATTACTAAAGGGATTAAAGATAACGAATTTTAATAAATCCTCTAGTAAATCATATTATTAAATATTTTCAATTGTACTTAAATCAATTGATTCTAAATTTAACCTTTCTCCTTATTTTATTCTATTTCTAAATGCTTAAGCAAAATGGTACATTTTAGCCAATAATGATTCACTATTTTAAAATGTATTTTCAAAGGCAAAATACTTGCAAGATTTTGAAATAATTTCATCTAAGAGTATTTATAAAGCAGATTCATCCATAGATGAATTGTTAGATAAATCCAGTTCCAATAGTCTTAGATAAGAATAACGATTACCAATTAATGCTTTACAAGTAGATTGAGTTAATTAATTTAAATTATTTAAACCTAACTTTAAAAGTCCCTTAGCTTTTGCTAAACTAGCAAATAAAGATTCAATAAGAGTGTTAGGACCAAGATAATTATTTGATATATTCAGTTCTTAAATAGTTTCTAATGCTGAATCACTATAACAAGTTTAGATTAAGTATTCAAATCCTTGATAATTTGATTCAGTGAAGCAGTTACTTAAATTAAAAGAGTGATATTTCATTCTTTTCAACTTTTTTTAGATGTATGAATAACTTTTATCATCGAACAATCTTTTGTTATATAAAATAATTGATTTATATTATTGATTGATGCTTAAATTCAAAGTAAATTATTTTTCTAAAAAAGCTGATAAATTTTACAAATATTTTCCTCTAAAAATACCAGGATTATTAGAGATTAGTAACTAACTTTATAATTAAATATTACATATTTTAGATTAAGTTTGCTTTTAATTAACTAAATGGTGAAATCATTTAAGCTATAATCATCAAGTTCATTATGATTAAATTCAATTTCTATTCCTTGAGGTTGTAACCAAATAAGCAATTTTAATAGAAGTTGAAGATGTTCTAAACCTAATTTTGATTTGGTAAATTTCATTTTTTTCAATTAGTTACAAAATCTTAATTATTTTTCAATATAAATCCAATATTCAATTTTAAAAATGCCCTAAAAATTACAAAATCGTAAATTTCCATTCCACTAATTATTTTCTAATAAAGTCTAAAAAATAAATGTAATATACATCAAACTATTTCATTTACTTTTAAAGTTAAGTATCTGGATCAAATTTAAACATTCTTTTAATTTCTAATTAAGTAATCTATTGGATATGTCTTTTGGAAGATCTTTCCTAATTAATATTTTTTTTGAGAGTATTAATATATTCTTCCATTAAATAATTATAAATTATATTTTAATATTGTATATAAAAAGAATAGTTTATGATGTTAATGTATAGTAATAGTTATTTATTTTATAAAAGATATATAAAGATTAAATGAAGTGTTAATAATACTTTCTAGAGATTGTAATTTATTTATTTAATAATATAAATAAATTACTGTTTTAATAATGTAAAGAGATGATTTAGCTATATTTCCAAATACACCGTAAATATAATGTCTTTTTAATCCAAGTGGACTACATCCTATGACTGCTTTTGTAGCAAGGTCATGTTATAAGTATAATTAACTCTAAAGAAATAAATAATAAAGAATCGTTATATAACATATACCTTAAAAACAAAGATAAAATGAATAAAGGTAGATTTCTTTACCAAAGGCTATGTAAGCTATAAAAAAATAATAATTGGAATGTAAAAATTATAATTGACTAGAAGCATTGAGAAGAGCATCTCAATAAAAAGATGGGACTTTAAGTTTGGTTTTCTCAGATGTTAAGTAAGAAGAGTTAATTCTATAGAAAATAGATAAATATTAATATTTGTAGTATAAATTGTAAACAAGTAATGATGATTTAGTTGAGGAAAAGAGAGTAAATGTAAATGAATAAAAAAAGTCAAATACAAAAATGAAGAATGTGATTGAAATTGATAAGACAAAAACTATTCTATAAAATATATTAGGTGGAATGTAATAAAAAGTTGATGAAGTTGCACATGAAAATCATATGAGAATAATGGGAATGCAAATAAAGTCATTTAAATTATAAGAGTAATAATCAATTAGAAGTAAAGCTATGTCTCAAGAAAAAGATAGAGAGACATCAAAATCATTTGCAGAAAAAAGAGATTTATATAGTCGTTCAGTTCAAAAAAAGAGACATCAATCACCTTAGAATAAAATGAAGAATATATCTTAATAAAATATGAAGATAAATAATAATTTTAGATTTTCATTGACAGATTACTCATAATTAAGTAGAGAATAATTATTTTAATTGAAATTACTAAATTATCACTATATGATATTTATAGTTTCTTCATAAAGTAATTTTTATGTTTAACCATCTGAAACTATTACTGAGTTTAAATTTAAAGTAGGAAAAGGAAATAATAGTTTATTAATTAAAGAATTATTTAAATCTAGATGGTGGTGGAATCTAAATTAAGAAGCTGATAATAAAGAACTAAATTTTATATGGACATAGATTAAAGTTCCATAATTTATGAATCTCCAAGAATGGAGTAAAGATCCATTTATAACAAGATAAAAATCTTTATCTTAGACATCTGCAGATTTAAAAAAAACAAAAGGATAGAAATCTCCAAAGAGTATTAAAAGAGATCAAAAGTTTGGATAATATGAGGATCCATTATAAAAATTAATTGTAGAACAAGATTTAATTTAATTAAAATCAATCGAAAAATCTATTTAAAGTTTTTTAAAATATGCAGAAAAGAAAGATTTAAGATTAATTGATAATGTAAATAAAGTAAATAATCATTATTATTATTATTATATTAGATTCATAATCATATAGAAAGAAATTATCATTTGGGTAATAAAAAAGCTATGTTTCATAATATGAAGAAATATTATGAGTTAATAAAATAAGAACTGTTTCGACATTTACCTATGACATTTCATGTATCAGGAGTTAAAGACAAATCATATTAATAGTTTATGGAATATTATAAATAAAAGTATTCTAGATATATTTATAAGGAAGGGAAATAATATTTGGATTATAAAGCCAGGAGAATTTACAAATAGAGGAAATGGAATCATTGTATGTTAAACATTGGCTGATATTCATAAAATTGTAAGCAAAAAACAAATGCATTCTAATGGCAAACCTTTCACATATTTGATACAAAAATACATTGAAAAACCATTTCTATATAATAAAAGAAAGTTTGACATAAGATGTTACTTTTTAATAACATAATTGAATAATATTATTAGAGCATATTGGTATGAAGAAGGCTATATAAGAACATCAAGTGAAGAATTTGATATTAAGGATGTGAGTAATTAATATGTTCATTTAACTAATGATGCAATCTAAAAATATAGTGAAGCTTATGGAAAATATGAAAATGGGAATAAATTATCATTCGCAGAATTTTAGAGATACTTAGATAAATGGCATACTAATGAACATTTGAATTTTTATAAGGATTTATACCCATAATTGAAAATGATAACTTTGAATGCAATAAAATCTGTTTATCATAAAATAGAACCATATAAAAGAAATTACAATTTTGAAATATTTGGATTAGATTTCATGATAGATGAAAAGTTTTAACCATATTTAATTGAAATTAATACTAATCCATGTTTAGAATTGAGTTCTCCTTTATTAGGTAGAATAATTCCTGCAATGGTTGAGAATGCATTTAGGTAATATATTAAAAATATAATTTAATTTAGATTATCTATAGATACATTGATACCTCCTCCAGAATAATCTATATGGCCACCAAACAAAAAACATTTATTATTTTATGATAATATGTTAGAAAACAATAGATTCTAATTGATTTTTGATGAAAGAGAAGATGCTTATGAATTAAAATTGTTATATAGCAATTAAATAAATGATGATCAAATAGATGAAATGGATGAAGAAGAAGAAGAATATCAATCAGATGATGATTGATTCAAATAATCTTAAATTTATACTCAATCATATCCTACACAATATTTTATAATAATTTATTAATTTTTAAATAAAACATCTCCTCTGTTTAATTTTTTTTCAAATTATAATAGAATTACAAATAGCTCAGATTATGAGTTAAAAATAGTTTATATATATTTTTTAAATTTGATCATTATTTATTAGGATCTTTATCTTTTATCAAGACAAAAACACTATAGAATTTATACTTGATTTTATCATTGTTATTGTTAATGCAGGTGTCAATGTTCAGCTACAATATCTTTTATCAAATATTTTAATTACCACACAGCTTCTCTTCTTTTTATCACAAATAATTTTATAGTTTTTAATGGTTTTTTTTCTTTCTCTCAAAGATACTCTCAAATGCTCTCTAATCACAAAAAGAACGCTCTTCCATTAATATTTTACTCACATTCCAATAAATATAATAATGGATCTTATCTAAGTTTCTCTTCTTTCAAATTTAATGAAACTAATGGTTTATCTTTATTTTTATTTATCAAAATATTAAAACTAAAAACAAGTCATATATCTTAAGAAAAATTAGTTTAACTTCCTAAGAATCCTCATTATTCTCTTTCATTTATGATGTATGAAAAAAATAAAGGATTACAAAATGCTCTTAATTATTTGCATAAATATCATATTAATTTCCTATATTATTAATTGTTAGACATGAATCCTCCACAGTTTTATTAATATTAGGTGATATATAAAGTCATTAATATCGATAGTATCACTGATTTTGTTTAATTTTCACATTGTATATAAAATATTCGTTATAACTAAAAGAGAATACTAAGAGGATATATATATAAATGTGATAGAATAAAAATCTTAAATATATTTTAAGGAGCTGATTTTATTTAAATTTAAAATGTAAACCTAAATCATGCATGAACTTAGAAAGAAAGATGTAATTAATTTAAAAAAAAAAATAATTAAGATCAATTTAATTTATTGGATAAAATTTTACTAAATCAGTATTCATTATTTTTATTCTTACTAGTTTTACTATTTAATCATTTCATTTCTTATTGCATATTTATGCAAAGGATTTTAATTTAAACTAAAATTCTTGGAATTAACTTATGAAGAGCTACCTTTGGAATTGGGTTCATTTGATTAATTATAACCATCATTATTACTAAATCTTGAAGGTTTCTATTATTATTATTATTCATTTCTATTTAATTATCTACCTTAAGCAGATGGACTATTGAATCCATTATTTAATGGTGAATCTAATATAAATATTATTAAAAACCTATTTAATCAGTTCTTCCATTTAATAGAGGACTTTATTATTAGAAACTATCATTTGAAAAATCTTTTCTTAATTTAGAAGATGCAGTTATTAGAGGTGAATGAAGTGGAGAATTACTTAATTATTTTAATCTTTATTTATCAAACTTTAATTATTCTTCTTAATTTTTCAATGCAATATCTTCATTTTCGTCTATTTATTTTAATCTTCTACCAAAATAACCATGATTAAGAGCTGATTATGCAGATATTCTTGTATTAGGATTTTTATCAAGCATTTTTTTAAGTAAATCATAAGCTTATTAAGGAACACTTTCAAAAAGTTAAGCATCAAATTAAATTTCACATTTTCTGTTTTTTCCCAAAACATCATTATAACTTTTACCAGGGAAAGCTGGTTTTCCTGTAAGTCTAAATTTGAATTAAAATCATCTTACAATATATAGAAAATCAATCCTAAACTAAAAACATCACAAATAGGATCATATCTTCCTCCATCTTTACAATTTATAACTTCTGGAGCAACAAATCCTGGTGTGCCACATCTATTANTATCACTGATTTTGTTTAATTTTCACATTGTATATAAAATATTCGTTATAACTAAAAGAGAATACTAAGAGGATATATATATAAATGTGATAGAATAAAAATCTTAAATATATTTTAAGGAGCTGATTTTATTTAAATTTAAAATGTAAACCTAAATCATGCATGAACTTAGAAAGAAAGATGTAATTAATTTAAAAAAAAAAATAATTAAGATCAATTTAATTTATTGGATAAAATTTTACTAAATCAGTATTCATTATTTTTATTCTTACTAGTTTTACTATTTAATCATTTCATTTCTTATTGCATATTTATGCAAAGGATTTTAATTTAAACTAAAATTCTTGGAATTAACTTATGAAGAGCTACCTTTGGAATTGGGTTCATTTGATTAATTATAACCATCATTATTACTAAATCTTGAAGGTTTCTATTATTATTATTATTCATTTCTATTTAATTATCTACCTTAAGCAGATGGACTATTGAATCCATTATTTAATGGTGAATCTAATATAAATATTATTAAAAACCTATTTAATCAGTTCTTCCATTTAATAGAGGACTTTATTATTAGAAACTATCATTTGAAAAATCTTTTCTTAATTTAGAAGATGCAGTTATTAGAGGTGAATGAAGTGGAGAATTACTTAATTATTTTAATCTTTATTTATCAAACTTTAATTATTCTTCTTAATTTTTCAATGCAATATCTTCATTTTCGTCTATTTATTTTAATCTTCTACCAAAATAACCATGATTAAGAGCTGATTATGCAGATATTCTTGTATTAGGATTTTTATCAAGCATTTTTTTAAGTAAATCATAAGCTTATTAAGGAACACTTTCAAAAAGTTAAGCATCAAATTAAATTTCACATTTTCTGTTTTTTCCCAAAACATCATTATAACTTTTACCAGGGAAAGCTGGTTTTCCTGTAAGTCTAAATTTGAATTAAAATCATCTTACAATATATAGAAAATCAATCCTAAACTAAAAACATCACAAATAGGATCATATCTTCCTCCATCTTTACAATTTATAACTTCTGGAGCAACAAATCCTGGTGTGCCACATCTATTAAATAAAAATGGAAATTAATCAGATCTTTAAGCTAATCCAAAATCAGCAACACAAACAGATTAAATATTACTTTTTTATTTAATTATAGAAATACTTCTATTTTCTAAATAAAATATTTTCTGGCTTTAAATCTCTATGCATTATATTTTTCGAATGCATATGAAAAAGCCCTTCCAATAAACTATATATAAGCACCTCAATTTCAAATGCATTGAATTAAGGTCTATTTTTTACTTTCTCATACAATGAGCCACCTTCTAATAGATCAAGTACCATATAAAGAGAATTATCTGTCTCATAAACTTCATGTAGTTTTATTAATGCATAACTATCAAGCTATCTCATTATTGCTATTTCATTTAATATTGACATCTTATATTAGTTTTAATATATACCTTCCCCTTATCTTAACCATAAGCTACTTCTTTAGAGAATGCTTTTATAGCAAAACTTCTTTCATCTTCCAAACGATCTGCCAAATATACTGATGCAAAATTCCCTTTTCCTATTTTACGATGAGCTTTAAAACTCTCATGAAACCCTCTTTAATTTATATGTTTAGCTAAATAATTTCTCCAATTTTTTAGCATTTATACATCATCTGAATATAATGTTATTTTATGTTAAATATTTTCTCTTTCGATCTATAAACCTAATGGTTTTCCAACTTTAAATTTCTCATCGACATTCTCTCTCAATAATTAAAATTTTGTCTCAAACGATAATGAAATGAATTTATTCTTATTTGCAACAATTATTTAATTAGAATACCCATGAAGTATTCTCATTTTTCCTTTTTAAGTTTTAAATTCTCCTACTATTTGAGGATGTTACCATTAGCTTTAAAGAGGTTCTGTTAATTTATAATTCATTTAAATAATAAATCAATATTAAACTTACTGATATTTAATTTCATGTTCACTCAAATAAAAAAAATATATATAGAAATATTTAGGTTTTTCTTTTTTATAATTTTGATTTTCAACGTTGATTCTTAAGACAACATAAATTCAAACAAAATTTATTAAAGATTGCTTTATTAATAAGTAAATTTAAGTTTGTTTAGTTATATTTATTATCCTAAATTAAAATTAATACATTCGATTAAAAAATTATTTGAATTATTTACTTGTTAAATTAAATTATTCAACTCTTTCTAGACTCTGTTTCATATTCTTTCTAATTCATTTAAAAAATATTATAACTATTTATTTTTAGTTATTTTTGTAAATATTCAATTTAAAATAATCTAAGAAATTTAATCATAAACATAGATAATCCATTTAAATGAATTATAATAACTCTTTAATAATTTTTTTTTAAAACAAGATATTTTATTTAATTATATTTATTTTAAACAGTTAAGATTTCCTTAATCATAAATTAAAATAATTAAATATTTTAGGGAATCCTTATTCCAATTACTAAAATATATACTTTAATCTTAAAAAATGGTACTTTAACAAGATTTTTATTTTGTAAATTTATTTTTTTTTAATTTATTAAAATATACTGAATATCATTTTCAAGAAAAAAAATAATTTTTTAATTACCAAGATGATGTAAGAATAATAAAGAAAATTTACTTAACATCAAAAAATTATTAACTAAATGAAGTTTAAGCTTGAATTTAAGAAAATGATGGTTTGATATTTAAATTGAATTGAATCTCCTATATTCTAAGAATTGCAGTAATTTTTTAATTTATATATAAGAAGCTTAACTTTGAAATAAAAAAATTGATAACATATTACCATTTTTGATGAAAGATCATCAAATCAATAGAAGATTTAATTATAAAAAATAATAAAAATAATTAAAAAAGCAAATTAATTTTACTATTAAGATATATTTTAAATTTTTTTTGTAAAATTTTAAAGATGAGTTGAAATATTTAATCAAAAAAATGTTCTTTTACTTTAAAGAAATAAAATAGATCTAAAGTAAATGTGAATCATTCAATAAAATAAAAAAATATATAAAAAATTTATTTTCAATGACTCATGCATCTAATTAAGGTTAAATTTATTGATTAACAAAGAAAGCAGATTTTTTCTTGAGATATAATCAATTTTTTTTGAATTTGAAGTGAATAAATTAATATTTATATATAGAATGCTTTAATAAGTATAAACTAAAGATAGAGAAAAAATTGAACTTTTCTTTTCTGCAAGAGGTTTAGCTAATAAAGATGTATTATCTGATAGTGATCCTTAATTATATTTATATTTAAAGGAAGGAAAGTAAGGAGTAGAAAAATTAATTGTGAAAACTGAGGTTAAAAAAAACAATCTTAATCCAGATTGGAAAGTAATTAAATATTTTTATGTTTAGGTATCTGTAGTTTTAGACTTTATTTTTGAAGTAAGTCAATATCTAAGAATTTTAGTTGTGGATAGTGATGGAGAAGATCTAAAGGATGATGATATAATTGGTACATTAAATGTATATATTTTGCTATAATTGATAGACTACAGTAGGAGAGATTATGGGATCGAGAAATTAAATTTATATAGGTTAACTTTCACATAAAAATAAATAAACAGGAAAAGTGTTGGTAAAAGCAGACAAAAGACAAGAGATTGGAGGAACAAATTAATTAATATATTGGTAATGGTATGGAAAAAAAATAAAAAATATGGATGGGTGGTTTGGAGTATCAGATCCTTTTTTAAGATTTTTTAAATGGCATAAAAATTCTGATTGGTTAATGGTACATGAAACAGAATTCATAAAAGATAATGAAAATCCAATTTGGAAAGGATTTGAAATATCTCATGATAAATTACATGATGAAAATCCACAATAACCTATAAAAATAGAACTTTGGGATAATGAAAAAGATGGAAAACATTAATATATTGGATAAGTTGAAGTTACTATTGAAAAAATATTTTTTAAAGAGATACATGAATTTTAAGTGAAGACTCCAAAAGGGGTATTTAATAAAATCTAATATATTTAGGAATTTGGAGGTACTATTGGAATAAAAAGTTTTTAAAAACCATCTTTTATTGACTATTTAAAAGGAGGAGAATAAATTAATTTATAGATAGCAATTGATTTTACAGGATCAAATGGAGATCCACGAAATTCACATTCATTACATTATAATACTCCTAATTAATTAAACTAATATTAAAATGCATTGAGTTAAGTATCTGAAATATTACTAAATTATGACTTTGATAAAAAAGTACCTGTTTATGGTTTTGGTGGTATACCTTCTTTACCTAATTATCATAAAAGTTCAACAGATGATTGGTAATTTTTAATTTTATTATTAAAATAGCTTTCCATTAAATGGAAATAAAAAAGATCCAGAAGTTTATGGATTAGAAGGAATAATGAATATTTATAGATAAGCTTTAAATCATATATCATTAAGTGGTCCAACAGTTTTTGCTCCTGTTATAGAAAATGCTATTGAAATTGCTGATTAGAATAAAAAAAAAGATATTTATAATGTTTTATTAATTATGACTGATGGTTAAATTGATGATATGAATGAATGTATAAAGTTGGTAAAAAAAGCAGCAAAACTTCCATTATCTATTATTATTGTAGGAGTTGGAAATGCTAATTTTAAAATGATGGAAGAATTAGATGGAGATGGTCCATAATATTAGGATTGTTTAAGAGATGTTGTTTAATTTGTTCCATTTTTAAAATACTCTGGACAACCTGGTGCATTAGCTTAAGAATTATTGTCAGAATTACCAGATTAATTAATTTAATATAAATAATTAATTGGTAAGGGTCCTAATCCTGCTTAATAAATTGATTTAAGTAAATTAGCATGATAATTTTATGAGTTTAATATTACAAAATTATTTTATAGAATTATCTTCTCAAATTTTATTCATTTTATAATGTTTATTTTAAGATTTTATCTAATTTAATTTATTAAACAATCAAACTAAATTATTTGTTTTAACTATCATTTATTGATTCACATAAAGATATCAATTTGATTTAATATTGGAAATTCTAATTTTGTTATTAAATTCTATAGTTTTTTAATGTAGTTTTTTTATTTATATATATTTGAAAATTAATATTAATAATAATAATAAATAAAAAATTTTAATGAATGATTTTTAATCATAATAATTATTATATTTAAGCTACATTATGAATGTTTTATTCTATGATATTTTAAGAGAAATAGTTTTTATTATTTATAAATTTATTTATTTACCTAGATATTTAAAAAGTTACTGAATTTCCTTTTTTTGTTTCATCACCCACTGTTTTATAGAATAATATTGGATTTTAAGATATTTGTACTAATAGTTTTTAAACTACAAAGATTCCCAACTTTCCTTATAATACTCCTCTAAATAATAATTAAAAATACTTGAATAATCTAATTTTTCAGAAAATCCCCCTCCATCATCAATCATTTCAAATTAAATTTCTTCATTATTTATTTATTTCAAATTAATTATTATTTCATGAGATTTACTAGTTTTAATACATTTCTTAATTGAATTATGTAAGAGATTTACAATTATTAATCGAAGATATTATGGATATGTAAATATAGTTTTATTTATTAAAAGTTCATCATTGATACTTATACTAATATTTTAGTCGATTAGAAGAAAAGCTGAGGTCAATTTAGATTTAATTTAATTTAGAAAGTCATTTAAATTTATTTGACATTGTTTTTTTTATTAAAAATCATCAGTTAAAAAATATAAGCAATTACTATTACTTAAATTAATCACAAATATTTATGATTAGATTTATTATAATAATTTTTAATCTAAATTAGTAGTTATTAATTAATTAATTAAAACTTTTAAATTTTGCATCATTAATGAAATTCTTTAATATAAATTTTTTGAGACTGCAAGCATATATTAATTTTGAATATCATTTAATTTTTATTTTAATTAATCTATAGATTCTTCTTCAAATTCAAAAATTAGTGATGAATTTTAAAGTGTAAAGGAAATATTTTTGTAATTTTATTAATCTGAATTTAATATGCCAAATGATTTTGTTATTGAAGAAGTTTAAGATTATTAAAATTTATCATTAAAATGTAAATGTAAATCTTTGACTGATCTAGAAATGTATTCATTTTAAATGGAAGTCTAAATATAATTAAAATTTTACTTTATCAATTGTATTATTGCCAAGATCAATAGTAGATTGTTTAAAAGAGTGAGAATCTTGTTAAAATATAATAGATAATTAAGATCTTGATTCATTAGGAGATATTAATTTAGATTATTAATCTTCTTAAAATTAGTTTTATAATTTCCAATTTTTGGATAAAGTTTTTAATTTTTCATTATTTAAGATTTCTTTAATTTATTAATAAAGTGAACATTTAATTTTAATCATTTAATTGAATAAGATGTTTTCATTTTGAAAAGAGATTTAAAAAATTTAAGTATTTTTTAAGAAATCATCAATTTTTAGATTTTTTTCTTTTAAATATTTATCAAAATACACACTGATTTTTTCTACAATAATTTCATTATTGCTTAAAGATAAAAGTAAAATTTTCTTTTCAAAGAATTTATCCGAAAAGATATTTGAATTTATTTATTAAATAGTTGAATTTTAAGTTAGAGAAATCATTTGTTGTGTTTGTTTATGATTTTCTTTTTTTGGTTATAATTAAGCAGCTAAAAAAATAATAAAACAAATAGATGTTAATAATAATAGTATAATATCTTACTTTCCTTATTACTTTGTTATGATAACAAGAGCAATTATAAATAATAAGGAAGCAAATTACAAAAGTGCTTTTATCTTCTTAATTTGGATATAATCCTATTAATTGTTTAGTTTTAACTTTTATAAATTTAGCATCCCACCAATTAGTAAACTTAATAAATTTTCTGATAACCATTAGTAATCTAAGTATAATAAACTACAAAACTAAACCAATAATAAAATAATAAAGAGTGGAGGGGAATGATCTGTTTCTAAGAAAATGAGTATGAAAAGTTACTTATCAATTGTTATTTTGTTTAAAATTGAGCTATAATATTTAATATTACTGCTAAGATTAAAAAAGTTACTTCAAATAGTAAAAAGTACGATTATTAACCTTTTAGTTATAAATATATGATGCACAAGATTGTAAATGAAGAGTTTATAAGTAGCGGTAAGAATAATTTAATGAACTTTAGCATTATATTTATTTAATTAATTCAACAAAATGTCCTAAATAAATTAATAATTGCTAAGGTCATTACTTGTAGACCCTGAAAATATTGATGAACATTTATTATGTGGCATCTGCCATTTATTAGTTTGTAATCCAAAAGAATGTGAATCTTGTTAACAATTATTTTGTTTAGAATGTATTTAAGATTGGATGAAAAGAAAAAGTAAGATTATAAACTAGTTTAGAAACTTGCCCCTACAGATGTTCTGAAAATGAAATTAAACTTAAAGAACCTCATAGATATGTCAAGAATACTATATCACATCTAAATATTAAATGTTCTAATGAAGATTGTGATAAAATTATAGAATTAGGATAAATAGATCATCATGTTAAAGAATGTTTATATACAACACAAAATTGTCAGAATGAAGGATGTGGAGAAAAAATAAAAAATTTTAAATTGGAAGAGCATAGATAAAAATGTTAATTTAGAAAAGTTATTTGTGATCAATGTCTAATAAGTTATCCACTAAATTAAAATCATAATTGTTTTAAAACTTTGAATTAAAAGATTGAAGATTAAAACTTAATTATTAACTAGCTTAAAAAAATGATTGAAGATTAAAATTCAATCATTAACTAGCTTAAATAAACTGTACTTTAATAGTAGATTGATTAATAATAAATTTAATAACTATAAAAATTAGGGCGAGCACTTTAATAATAAAAAGATTAAACATGTGAAAATGGCCATAACTTGATTTGGGTTTAAGCAATATATAGGCAATAATGTAGTTCATGCTAATAATTTAATGAAATTGCAAGATTTAAGTGCTAATAATGCAATAAAATTTATTGTCAAAAATGCAAAAAAGCATGTTTTAAGGATTAAAAATGTCCTGCAAAACATTAACTATAATATAAATCAATTGTAATTATTTTAGTCAAATCAATAAATAGGCCTCGTAGACCATAACTTGTGATTTTTGTAGTTAGAGGCCTTTTTTTAAAGGTGAAGGAGTCTGGAGTGATAGAGAATGTGACTTTGATATTTGCGTTTCCTGTTATAATAAAGAATAATCATGAAATAAATAAAATATGCATAAATATAAATTTAAAAATATCATAATTAATAAAAAGATTCTTTTATCAAATACTAATAATTTTTTATTTGGTTATTATATAATATATTGATTTTATTTGATATAAATATATTTAAAATAGTATTATTTTATTTTGTTTAGATTTATGCAAGAATTATTGATAAAGTTATTCAATATTGTAATAAAATGTGTATAATCTTTTTAGATTTGTGAAGAGGATTAAACAAAATAGAAATTCAATAAATGCAATAATACTTGTGAATAGTTAAAATTAATTACAGATATCATAATTAAAAAGCAATCAGAATTTCTAAGTTTAGAAAAACAATTATAAAAATATGAATCTGAAGTTAGAAAAAACATTAGAGTATTCTATATTTTTAATTATTAGGATTAGTACTTAATGCAATAATAATAAGATGATTTATAACAAAAAATAGAAGAGCTTGAAAAATGCAGAAATGAATTTTTAAGCAATACTAAGAATACAATAATTGTAACAATTCAATTTTAAATGTAGAAATTAAAACGAGAAAACGAAGAATTATATTAAAAATGCAAATCCTTAACTGCTTAATTATAAAAAATTGATAATTAAGTATATTCATAAATAATCAATATTTTAGTCAATCAGCAAATATTCTACCGTTGATAATACGATTACAAATATAACAAATACTCTAGATTAAGCAAAATTGAGACCGAAAACTAACACTACTCCTCAAAAATTAAAAACAGATGTAGATGCATCATAAAAAAGATTAAGCCAATAATTAATTAAGCCTAATTACTTTTAAAAAAAACAATCTACACAGATTTCTATACAAAACAAACGATAATCTTATTAATATATGGAAAATTAACTAAATTTAACTACTAGTATGTGATTATTTGTATTATATAAATCATCATTCGTTTTACTATTAATCAGTTTTAGATTAAAGTGCCTAATTTCTTGTTTGAACACCTTCTGTAGCCTTTTTACCCTTACTAGTTTTTTTTGAATTCTACTTCTTACCACCTTCATCTTCTCCTTAAACTTATACAGATTATTAAAAATCAATTTAATCTTTATTAACATTTTATATTATAGGTGTTGTCTAAGATAATGGATCTTTATTTTTTATTCCTTACTATTTTTATTCCTTTTTTTTTATTTTCTATTATTATTGCAAATCTTCTTGTTTCTCTTTCATTTACAGAATTGGTAAATTACTTAATTTATTCAAAAGATATTCATCCCTTGCTGAAGGTAATTTTAAATCTTAATCTATTTCATTTTTCAATTCTTTTAGTTATTTTAGAAATTCTTAAAGATCCTCTGATGTTTTTAATTTTTTTTAAGCAAATAAATATCCAATCACAAAAGAATCTATCATTAATTCCTACCCTCTTGATCCTGAATTTTTAATAGTTTATATCTACTCATATAATTCGTTCATTGAATTATTATTATTTTAAATATAAATAAAAATCAAATTAAAAGAGCTTATAATCCCAAATAATTCTTTTAGTTCTTATTTTTAAATATGTATCATTTGACACCTAATAATATTAAAAATTAAATAAGTTTTAAATTTCTATAATTAAATGAAGAAATTCAAAACAAAAAAATATACATGAATAACTAAACTTCCTCATCCCATAATAATAAATAATTTAGTTAAATTTTATATAAACTAATTAAACAATAATCATTTGGCATAATGATGATTTATAAGAGTAGTACTATTATTTCATGAGTACATATCTAGGCTATACTCTGACATATACTATTTAAATATATATAATTTTTATAAATTAAATGAACATATTAAATATTTCAATAAAACTAATAACATTAAAATTTAATATCTTTTACTATTTGTCTATCTTAAACTTATTTCTGTTTCTCAGTATTAATAAACTTTTTAATTGAACTTCGGAAGGATGCTCTCTTGTAAACTGTAAATAGAATTTGCACATATTTTGAAAAATCTAAGTACACCAGCTTAATTAAGTAAATCTTCAAAAAATCATTCTTTAAAAATAGAAATGTTAATAAGAAATAACCAATTTTTTGAACATATGGCTTAAATGTGTATTTTCTAGTATAATTATTTATATATGACAATTTAAATTATAGAATTTCAAATCAAAACATTTAATAAAGTATTAAAATTTCGAATATCTTTAAATATTTTTTGATATTTGACTAGATAAGTTATAATTTTCAAATCTTTAAAAATAATCTTACAATATATGTATTTTAAATTAAAATTTCACTTATTTTAAATGACTAACATTTTGATCATGGTAATTTTGAATTATAAAGTTTCACATTTTCCTCTCTATTGTCTTGTATTGATTAATTAAATATTATGTAAATTTAAACTATAATTCTATTAAATTATTTTATAAAATAGAAACTCACACATTAAAAAAGTATGAAAAATGTCCGGAAATTCATATTACGAATATAAATTAGAATAATTTTGAAAAACCAAAAAGATTTCATAGAATAATTTATTTTAAATATTTTAATTTAATTTTGCTTACTATGTAGTTGTTATGTCTTCTATGATATTTTTTGTGTTTTTGTTTAATAGTTATTTAATGAAACAATATAAACATTATGAAATTGAAGATATTAACAATATTGATAGAATATAAAGAACAATTTAAAAAATTTGATAATATTGGTCTAAACTATCTACACTTTTTAGAGCTTGTATTTAAAAAAATAATGAAACCCTTATTTTTTATATTCTAAACTAAAAACTTATTTATGATAAGATGTGTTTATATAAATATTATTTGAAGATTTGAAAAAACAATTAGAATAAATGGATAAAGGAATAAGATATTTTTATTTTAAATAGTAATCGATAATCAAAAATAATAAATACAGTTTGAGAATATTTAGAAAAAAATAAGAGAGGAAATAAAAGATTAGAAAAAAATTTGAATTGATAATGATATATCTTGCTTTAATAAGCTATAAAAATGATATAATATAAATACTAATAATATATATTAGAATAGGGTTAACAACATTGGCTCTAGAATGAAGAAGAATAACTTGATTGTAAAAATGTCTTTGGTTAATGATTGTCAAAATAATAAAATGTCAGTAAATTACTGAAGATCTAGAAAATTATTGCAGAAGGCTAGATTTTTAAAATTTGAATAATAATAATAAAGTTATGAAGTTTAAAACCTTTATTTATGTTAACAGAAATATAATAGAATTTATTATTATATATAGTATTTTGGTGTGGATGATATTTGAAATTTTGGGATAGAAATCTAAAATTTTTTGAATACCTATTGATAAATAAAAAAAAGAAAAAGATAATGGATTGAATAATATTGTAGATAAATTTAATATATATATATATATATGGATTTTCAACATTTGCAGTTGTCAGGATTTTGCTAAATTTCAGGGTTTAAAGAAAGGCCTTGATTAGGGTTATCTTATCCAGGAGTTAAAGATTTAATTTTATACATTTCTAAAGAATAAGAGTATTTAGAACCTTAGAGCAATCTATCAAAGCATTATCCTACATTTTATCCTGTAACAGCACTAGATTCTTCAAATAAAACTTTATGCTATTATGCGAGATTTTTAGCATCTTCTTTTTATACCTTTCTATTTATAAAGAAATATGACAACCTTGCACTTCCATTGTTTTCAACTAAATCAATTTTATTACCTACTAACATAATAACCACATCTGGTTCTGCTTAATATCGCAAATCTTCCATCCACTTAACAACACTTTCAAAAGTCTTTTCTTTTGTTACATCATAAACAACTAAAGCTCCTCCTGCTTTTCGAAAATGACTGAATTAAATTTATTCTAATACGTGCTTGTGATTCCTCTGTACCTTTCTTGTCCAGCTGTATCCCAAATTTATGCCTTAACTTTTTTGCCATTCTATAAAGCGACTGTCTTTCCAGCAAATTCAATCCCTATTGTTGGTACTGCATTTTTCGGTAGGCAACCTTTCACATATCTCTCATTGTATAAATTAATTACCTGGTCATTAAATGTGTTTTACCTACTCCAGCATCACCTACTAACACAACTAATCTAATTTTTACATTTTATTACCTTTAAAGAAGTCAGAGTAATCTTCAACATTCTAATTGTCCATAGCAAATTCAAAATATATTAATATAAAATACCCAATATTTAATTAAGAATTCCTTGCCCTTTTATTTATCAAACTATATTCTATACTTAATCTCTATAATCATACTACTTATAATCTAACCAAAACAACATAAGTTCTATCATTCAAAATATCATATTCTCTTTATAGATAATTATCAATCTATTTGAAAATATATTATATTATTCTCATAATCATGATTATTCATTAAACTTTTATCTATTTAACTATTATTTATACTTTTTATTTTAATTAGATCTTATTTTATTATATCCAAAATAAGCAGTTTTTTATGATTTAACAAAGTGATTATATATTTAACAAATTCTTATCGATTTTATTGCTCATTTTTTAATTTGAACTCTCAATGAACTTTTATAAACTCAAAATACAAAAGTTATTAGCATTTTTTTTGTTTTTTCAAGAATTTTTTGTATTTTTTAAATGTTTACTTTCATCTTTTAGTTTTATTAATTCATCACTTAAGAACTTAAATAAATGTATATATCTTATAATTGAATTGAATCAAAGAATTTTATGTATGAAAACAAGATTAATTATCATATTTATTGGATTGATTCTTGAGAATCTTCTTTTTATGAAAAATATAATAATCATAATAAATAAGAATGAAAGAGTATAAATAGTTAAAAATATAAAATATATTTAACTAATTAAGATGGGATAGATATGTAAATTACCTTAAACACCTGATATACATCCAAATAGTGAAGCTAATCATATAAAATAGATGACTTAATAAGATGAAATTCATTAGGAGGAACAAGAAAATAAACTAAGTGAACAAAATTAATCTTTCTTTCCTGGTCATCAAATATCAATGCAATTATCATGTACACCAGAATTTGGTTTACCTCCACAATAAACAAAATTATTTTCACAACAAGATAGTCAATACACTCCTGAATTTTTAGCAATAAGTTAACCTTTTTAATAATAAATGAATATATATTAATAATAATTTTGAAGCATCTGTCTTGATCGTCAAGGATTTTTGTAAAATTAAATTTATGAACTTTGATGTTGAAAGTAAATCGTATTATGAAATAAGAAAAAGAGTGAATTGAATAAGAATAGGAAGTCAAGAGAGAAGCTTCAAATATAGTTTAGATAGGAAGATTGAGATCTAATATTAGATGATATGGTTATATATTTTAGTAAAATAATTTTATTGATAATTTGTATGATAATATACCTACCCCTGTTTTACACTTCATTCTTATGTGTAATCAGGCTCGACTTTATCATTGGTAATTAATATAAGCTAGAGTGATAACTAAAATATCAATAAATGATATAACAGTTGTTATGATAGCTATTTATCATAATTTAATTATTTAAATATAAATGGGTGCAACATGTAGCAATACTTGCTGTACTAATGATCAAGAAATCAATAGTAAAGGTGCAAATGATAAATAAGAGGTTGTATTATCAAAAAATAAATCATTAAAAGAAAGTCAATAAAAAAATAATAAAGAAACTGAGAGATTTAATGCAGATAATGACTAAGGAAAATCTGATGCTAGTATAAGTAGTATAAAGAAAGAGAATTAATTAATCTAGAGTACTATAGGCAAAATGTATAGAGTTTTATTAGAAGGTATGGATTAAGTTCATATAGAAATTACATTTTCTGATGGAACTATATATAAAGGTGAATGGATGAATGGATTTAAAGATGGATAAGGAGTTCTTAAATGGCCTTCAGGCAGTATATATACAGGATCTTTTGTAGAGGGTAAACTTAATGGGAAAGGCAAACTTGTTTTAGAAGATGAAGATTATTATGATGGAGAATGGAAGGATGATAAATGTAATGGATTTGGTTTATATGTGTGTAAAAATGGAGCACGTTATGAAGGAAACGTATCAATATTTGACATATAAATAAGTGGAAAAATGATAAGTAACATGGAAAAGGTAAAGAAATATGGTTAGATGGAAACTCATATGAAGGATTCTATTATGATGGAAGAAAACATGGTTAAGGAATTTTAAAATTTTCAAATGGCACAACTTATGAGGGAGATTTTTCTAATAATGAATTAGAAGGATAAGGTACTATGGTTTGGGCAGATAAAAGAGTATATAAAGGATAATGGAAAAAGTCTAAAATGAATGGGTATGGTGTATTGACATTTCCAGATGGAAGGGTTTTTAAAGGAGTAATTTAATTAATTTAGTATTTTAATAGCATTTTTAAGATGATAAAAAGAATGGTGTAGGAGAATTTACTTGGAATGATGGTAAAAAGTTATTATCAAGTTGGAATAATGGTAAATTTACATACAAATTAGGCAAGTAAAATGGAATAGGTATTTGTACAAATGGTGATCGGAAAATAGGATATTGGGAAGAAGGAAAAAGAACAAAATGGCTTGATGAATAAGAAAAGAAATTACATTCTGAATCCATTTAATAATTAGAACTAGTAAAATTTTTATGATATCTACTTCATTTCTTTATAAACTAATCAAATTTTTAGGCTGTGGATAATGGTTATTCTATTTTATTTAATGAATTTGATCTTAAAGATTATTAAGTTTTTGGTTTATCAACGCCTTGATTTTAACGATTACCTTCAAAGGCAGTTCGTGGTATATTAGGATTATATATTTCATTTCTTCCTAATAGTTGATATTCAGGAGTCAAAGGATTGGTACCTCTGTGATTGAGTAAACCTTTTCTCAAAGTACCAACTTGAGCTCCAGGTACATCTTTAGTATCATTAATAGCTCTAAATTAAGATCTCTTTTATTTCATAAGGAAATGATCACTAATAGCTCCTACATGACAACCTTCAATGTCAGTAGTTTCTAAATTTTTAGTATTAAAATTCATTTAAGGATGCAAAACTCTGCTCTTACTTCCATTAACAAATCCATATTTTAAATTAGCTGGCTAACCTTCAACATCTTTTAATTAATATTCAGGTTCCAATGGATTAGTAATACGAGATGATTTAAATACTCTGTATTCATTAATATCTTTAACATCCATAATTTCCATGTGATCTCTAGGCATAAATGCAGGTTTTGATTTTGCACCATCTACTTCATCAAAAATATGAACAGTTTTTCTTAATTTTGCAGCAGGAGGATTTGGTTTTGTTCCTGGAATATCCTTTTCATTATTATTTGCTATACATCAATATTTATTTAATCTCTAATGAATTTCGGTTGCAAAGGTTCTACAGGCACAGCTTTTGGTAAAACATATACAGGATCTACTGGATTTGTAGGAGGTCTAGTTGTTTGAAATTTGTTCAATTATGGATATGCACCTTTGATATCACGATTATTTAAAGAGAATCCCTTTGAAATAATCTAATTTTATACATCTCTTCCAATTTAAGGAATCAATACCTTTGAACGAGTGCCTACAATATCATTTGTTGTATTTGTAAAGTCTGGTTTATTTGTAAATTTATATGGCTTCATACATGGTTAAGCACCTACTTTGAAAATTCAGTTACCATCAATGTCTTTTGTTTAGAGATTAAAATCTTATCCTGTTAATTTGTCAGGTCTAACTGTCCCTACATCTCGTTTATCTAATTTATGTATTATAGGTTATACTTATTGATGATAAATACATCAAATCTTTCCTACTTGGGAATGGCCAATCGTAAGGATCACTCATATATAAATATTATTAATTTTTCTCAATGTATAATTTAATTCTAATGAAAATAATTATTCCCAACTGAATTGCACTTTTAATAATAATTACAATCCTTTTTATAAATTCAATAATTTATTTTCGGAAATTTTAAACACTATGGACTTAATTGATGACTTTAATTCTGATGATGATTTTTTATAACAACCTGCTAATCAATTTATTGATGATGATCAAAATGAAGATGCTTCATGTGATGAACCTACATAAACCTTTGTTAATGATAATTTGCATATTAATGAAGAAACCAGAAAAAAAATTAACATTGATTTTAAATTAAAATTAGAAAAATTCATTCCAAAATTATTTTCTTAAGATTAGATAAAAGTAAGAATTGTTCATTATATATAATTAGAATGCAGAAATCAGAGTAATTAAATAAATTCTTTTATCCTTAAAAATTTCTGATAATCTGATATAGGAATAGAGAATAAAAGAAAAATAAGATATTAAAAATCAAAATCTTTAAAACGGATCAAAAAGAAGAATATAAGAAAGAAATACAGAAGAGTTCCTTATTGATAAACTAAAAAAGCATTTAATTGGAGGTTAAAAATTAGATATCACATTCCATGACTAACATTACACTCCACTTTATTTATGTCATAATCCATGTGTAATTTATATTAAATCCTAATATCCATATCAAACACTAGATATAATAAATTAAATGTTAAGAAATCTCAATAATCCATAATTATTTGAATAAGATAAATTTAATGAAATAAAGAAAAAGTTTGGAGATAATTGTTTAAAGTTGATTATACAATAAATGCAATATAATCATCTTATTATTTAGATTCCAGATGGATCTATTAAATTTGAAATAAAAGCAGGAAATTCAAATTAAGATCTTGACACTTATAAAGATTAAATAATGAATGTATATTGTTAAATCAATCCTGAATTTAAAAAAATGTGTTCATTCTTAAATTATTGGGCACATCAAAGAGGTATTTTAGGAGATCATGCTCTACCAGAATTTGCACTTTATTGTATGATTATTGATTTCTTTATAACATAATCATTGATCCCCAATATATTTAGTGATTAATATAGTTTATGGAGTAAGGAGAAATTATAATTAAAATCATAAATAAAAAATATTGATGATTGTAGATTATCAAAATTCAATAGAGATGATTATATTATATAAATCTCTTAAAAAAATGGAAGAAGAGTAGAAAAAATATTTTGGTTAACTTTTCCAAGAACAAAAGATGAAATTAAAGGTGTAATATAATTATGGACTAAAACTTAAGAGTAATAATATAAATAAGTTCCTTAATTCAATCTAGGATATTAAATAAGTGTATTCTTTCATCTTTGGAATCAAGCTGATAAATACAAAGTACCTCTAGCTTTAACTAATGAATTTTAAAAGGAAGGATAAGAAATTGGATTAATTATATATAATCCATTTATTAAAAATCAAATTCTAACTCCATTACTACAAAAAAGATCAAAGAATGAAGAATTTAAATCAATGAATATGTATTAACAAGTTCGATAAGAATTTAAGAGAGCATATGATTTGATTTTATCAGGTAATTAAGTTGAATTATGTGACAAATAATAATTATTATGAAAGCAATATACATTCCTATAATTAAATTAATTATGTTTATTTATTTTAATGAAAGTATTTTATTAAAAATCAACTCAGCCTTAACTATGGGATTTAATGAATTATGAATAGTTCACTTAATATACTCAATAAGCTTTTTAATTATCAAAAGGCACTTATAGTATCAAAGCAAAAAGTAATAATCAACAAATCAGAACAACTAAAGATTTATAATTATATGGATAATAAGCAGGCATTATTATTGAACCGTAACATTTTTATTTCTTATTATAAGTCATCAATAAAGTTTATTTTCTGTATTAGGTGTTCATTTACCTGAGAACAACAATCCATAATCTCATAGAATTATTAAATAAAAGGTTCCAACATTTTAAAAATAACTCAAAACTGAACATGATGGTGTTGAAAGCTTTAAAAAAATACTCCATATTGGAAATAGTAATTTAAGTAATGATTGGAAACAAATAATTACAAGAATCAAAGATCTTTAAGCTGAGTCGTATTACTTTAAAAATCATATGCAAGAAAATTATGGTACATTTTAAGAGGAAATTGAAGCGTACTTATTAATTACATATTTTAGCCTAATTGATGAAGCTAACTAATTATAATTGCAATAATAATAAGTATTTTAATAAAACACTGATTTGTTACAAAAAATAGAATTAACAAAAAAAGAAATTATGGAATAATAATAATAATATGATGCTCTTAAAAATTAATTTAAACAGGAAAACATTGAATACTTCATTTAATCTAAGCAACAATAAAATAGAAACTAAATTAAAATATTTAAGTATATCGATGAATTTGATGCCTTTTTGAATGAGAATAAATTTATTTTAGCATATGGAGCTAATTTAGATATCAGAAAGAAATTACAATATTTTAAAAATAAATATTTATAATTAAGTAAATGAGATTTATTTAATTTTATTTATATATTAATATATACTAATATAAATAATGGGAATAACATAATCGAGTTAAAATGACTATATCGAAAAATATCTGGGATAAGATTTTCCAAATGGAGAAATTTTAATAGGATTTGAAAATGTATAAATTAATCATATATGAGCCAAGTAACATATGTTATTCGAATGTAATATTATAAGCATTATATTATTGCAAAAACTTTAGGAATGGCATTTTATAATATTAAAGCACAATTAATTAAAACAACTTGTTAGATTTAACTAAATTATTATTCCAATCAATATCAAACCATAAATAAAAAACAGGAGTAATTTCAACTAAGAAAATGATGAATTTCATAAAAACAAAAAATAAAATTTTTGATGGTAAATATCATTAAGATTCACATGAATTTTATATGTGGTTTATAAATGAATGTGAAGAATTACTAAAAGATAAATAAAACAATTTGATTCGATAAATATTTTAAGGATAGTAATTAACATAAACTGAATGCTTAAATTGTCATACAAGTAATATATCAATTAAAAATAGTTTCTTAAAGAGAAGAAATGTATTGTGATTTATCCTTAGATTTATTTCCTAATTATAGTTTGAATACTTGCTTATAATAGATGTCAAAAGAAGAATAATTAACTGGTTAAAATAAATTTTTTTGTGATTAGTGTTAATCAAAATAGGATGCATGTAAAAGGTATAAATGTTGAATTTACATAGATTATTATTGAATACATTACCAAATGTATTGGTAATCCATTTAAAACGATTTAAATATGATGAACGATATGGTTAGATGATTAAAGTATCAACTAAAATTCCATTTTCTTAATAATTAAAGATTAAAGCTTAAAAACAAACTAAAACATATGATTTAACTACTATTATAATCCATTTAGGATAAGGCATATTGTATGGACATTATATATGTATTACCAAAATATAAGGAAAATGGTTTAGATTTGATGATGATAAAATATCTGTAATTTAATATTAACTATCTTTAGTTATTCGTTGATTAAGATTTACATTATATATATGGAAGAAGTTATCCAACACAAAGTTAAACATGTGCATATATGTTGTTTTATAATGCATAATGAATTTTATTAGAATACCAGTTTTTTAATTTTTTTTACTTTTCTAGTTGAAATTTACTCCAAAACAAATAAATTCTTTATTGTTCAAGATTGTTTCAAGAAACTTCTTTAGATATATTTGTATTATTATTTTTTTAATATTAATTAAATGAATAAAAATCATAATTTTGAGTAAGTATGCTCAGATATTTGTATTTATCGTGAATCAGTAGAATGTTAGGCAAAATCTATTTTAAAGCCAATTAACAAGACAAATTTAAAAAAAGACAAACTATTGTAGAAATTTGCATCACAAATAATAAGAAGCGAATAAAGAATAAAATCTCCTTTTTAAATTGAAATGTAAATGATTATGTTTATTTAGATTTCAATAATAAAAGTAATTAAATGATAAGTGTGTAGAAAAGATGTCTTCTGAACTTGTTTTATCTTAACCTTAAAAGAACTTATCTATAGATTTAAGCAAAAAGTATTAAAAATATAATATATCAGATGGCATTTGGATTTATCAGACTTAACTGATAAAGGAGTAAGAGATTTAAGTGATGGCTTATCAAAACTTTCATGTTTAGAATAGTTAAATTTAGCACTGTGTGGGTAATAAATGATGTTATAATTATTAGTTGGGGTTATTGGAATTAAAATATTACAGATAAATCATTATCATACATAACTAATGCTTTAATGTTACAAAATTAATTGAATGAGTTTAATCTTGATTTAAATATGTGGGGTTATGAAAATAGTAGTATAACTGATGAAGGAGCCAAAAATTTAATGGATGGAATAAGTTTATTAAGTAATTTAGGAAAATTAGAATTGAATTTAAAAGGATGGGGAGATGGAAATTAAGATATCACTGATAATACTATTTTGGGGCTTTCAAGATGTCTTAAGAAACTTGGCAATTTATCAGAGGTGAAATTAGTATTGTAATTTATTCATTTCTAATTAGATGGTAAAATATTGGAAAATAAGCAATTAAATAATTAAATAAGACTTTAGCCAAAATGGAGAATTTAACTAAAATTGATGTTAAGTTTGAAAGGTATTTTCTATTATTTAATATTGTCCTAGTTGTGCCCAGTAATAACCAGTCTAAAATAATAATATTGATGTCAAACTACAATAAATTAAAGTTAATGCAGTTTAAAAAAGAAGACTACTTTTCTAAGTAGAGGGAGTTATGATCAATCTTGAATCTTAAATAAATAAAAGGACACTTTGGGATATTATTTTAAAATTATGATTACAACAAATAACATATTTTTATTTAATACTGATATAAGTTTCAATTTTTTTAATTCATTACATTTTTCAATCATTGAAAAAAATAATAACCATTCAATTTAAATTCAAACTATGCTAATTTTCAAAAATCTCCATTAACTATCTTTAAATTAGAGCTAACAATGGAGATAAGCAATTTATTATGTCGATGTTTTAATATATAAATATTAATCACTTTTATTTGTACTCATACCCATTTTGTTACAAATCATGGAAAATATATTGATTTTTATGGCTTTTTAATTATGATTAAAAATTATTAAATCGAGTTAATTTATAACAATTTATTGTTTATTAATTATTTCTAAATTGAATTAAAACTTTCCTGCTCATGGAAATAATTACTCAAAAGCCATATTTGGAACAATAGATCCTTTAGTCAGTCGAAATTATACAAGGCATAGAGTTTATCCCATTAAATGACTTAAAAGAATTTTTTGATCATCTAATGAATAAAGTTAAATCTGTTCTCTTTGACCTGAATCTAGACAATCCTTTCTTTAAACGTCTTATAATGCAGTTCGATCTATAATTTTATGAGGAGCAGTTAATCTAGTTTATTTTATGATCTATGAATGAGGCTTATTCATCAAGAGACAAGGACATACAAAAAATAAATTAGCCTTAGAAATTTAATAATAATGTAGACTGATATTATGCTCTTAGGAAAATGAGGTTTCATTTTATTTAGACTCAATGTATTCTTTAATCAGCTACTTGATCACGCGCATATAATTATAAAATTAATTTTAATCAACTTTTATTCATTATATCCTAATTATTATTGAAATAGCTCCATACTTTGATACTAATTAAATTAGATACACATTAATTATTAATTCTAAAGTATTATTTAACACATTATGATTGAGATTTTTTATTTTTGTTTTAGTTATTCATAAATTTTATAATTATTATATTCTAGTATTTGAGATGGATCTCAATTTGCGGTTCATCGGAGAAGTCCTTAATTTGGCCAATCGAATTTCGCTGCTCATTATACCTGGTATTCGAGTAGTTTTTGTAAATATATTATAGTTTTATTTTGTATTTTCTATTTCAACCTACTACTATCTTATTCTATCATTTAGACTTCTTGCTATATCCCATTAAATTTATAACTCCTTTTACAATTTGTCACATTATATTTTATATTATTGAATAGATTATTTTTATTCTTTTGATTCAGTTCTTAATTCCTAATTAATTTTTAACAATTATTAATACTACTAACTTTATTATTCAGCTTAACTTGTTGATTTATTTAGTTAGAGTAGGATATCATTAAATTTTTATGAATGCAATTTTTCTTATTACTCCAAATATTATTATTATGCTATCTAAAGATTTTTAAAATTAGTTTCAGCTTCTGTTTTATCTTTAGATTACTGTTCTTTATTTTACTATAATTATTCTGATAAATAAATTATGATTTATTCCTTTTCTTAAATTGAATTATTCAATAACTCTACTTTTTATAAGAGTTCTTTTTATTCAGTTTTATATTTTTCAGTTTCGAATGATAATTATTACTATAAAAGATTGACTTTATAATTATATTCTGATTGATTTTTTTCTCTCTAATATTCAAATTCCTATTACATTTTATTTATCTACAATTTACATTCATATTATGTCTCTTTTACTTTTTGATCTATTTATTAAGATAAACTTTATTGAAGCTTTTGCAATTTAACTTAAATATCTGCATTTTATTGGCTTTTTTCTAAAATTAAATTTTATTGTTATTTGATTTATTACTCCAAACCTTTAATATATTAAATCTAAACTTCATCATCGTATTAAGAAAAAAAATCTTTTGTAAATTATTATTATTATTCTACTTCCATTATCAAAGGATTACCAAGTAAATTCTCATATTTAATTTTTTGAATCAATATTTATTATACATGATTTTATTATTAATTAGTGATATATATGTCTTTGTATTCTATTTCCCTTTTTAATTATGCAATTTAAGAACTGTATTGACTTATTTCTTAGACATGCTATCGAATGAGATCTTAATTTTAATCTTATATTTATTATAACTGTTCTTTTAATCGTTGTTATCGTTTTTCTTCAATAATAATTTTATTTTACATTTGATTATTTATCTCTTATTGCTCTATTAATTATTTATTATCTTTAGCTTTATTTTTTCTTTCATTAGCTAATTCTTCTATATATTGTCTAATTTTTTGGTTTTATTGTTCCAATTATTTTTCAAGACTATCCTTTTGTTATTTAAATTATTTAATTTATTATATTTACTTTTGAGATTTCTCTTACAATTATTAATTCTCTAAAAAGTATTTTTTATATTTTTATTCAATTAAATTAGTTTAATTATCTAATTCTTCTTTGTAAAATTTTCTATCTTTTTCATGATTATGCAAAATAGCTTAAATTTCAAACTAATGTTATTATTTTATTTAGATTATATCATTATCTAATTATGTTACTCGTTATTTTAATTGTTATTATTACTTTTACATAATCTCTTCTGTTTGAAGAATTTAGTCTTGCAACTTTGACTTATTAATTTCTAACTAACTCTATAAATCATTCACTTATTAATTTAATGTAACTATTACATTTTCTTTTTCAATAATTTTTTATTATTATTGTTCAGACATTTGAAGGATTTCACTCTATATTTGAACTTTCATTTTTTCTTCTTTTTCTTTCAATTTTTCAAATTGTGCTTCAAAAATTTTTATATTATTATTCAAAGTATTGATGAGGTTTTTCCATCTTTCAATGTTTTCTTGAATAATAACAAAGACATTTGACATATCTGTAATCAAAGCTTTTTACTTAAAGTCTTAATCTAGCTCATTTATTAATAAATCTAAATTGTCTTCTACCAAAAATTTTATTTAGTGGACCTTCTCTTTCAAGACTGAATTTTCCTTTACTAAACCAGATCCATCAAAATTTTTTTTCACAAAACTATATGATCTTGTTCTTTAGGTCATAAAAATATTATTAAAATAAAAAATACTTATTTATATTATTTATGATGCGATGACATTCCATATATTCCTCATTCATTTATTTTGAATAAGTTTTGATTCAAAATTCTTGAAACTATTATTTTACTGATGGTTGCAGCTTCATTTTAGAGATTTTTATTATAATGGAATTAATATAATTAAGAATATATAATCTAATATCAAAAAGTACATTTATAACCTAATTAACTTACTTTACTTATCAATGTTTCAATAAAATTAATTAGATAATTCTTTATGGCAATATTATTTGAAGCTATAACTTTACAAACAATTAAAATCAAATTATTACCTTGTTTACAGCATTAAATCTAATTAAATTTTTTTTGTCCATCTTTAATATAAATATGGATGATAACATTCTATCTATTAGAATATCATTATCATTGTTAGAATCAATAAATCTTAGAAACCATCATACAATTAATATTTATTATTGAAATTATTTCATTATTAAAATTGTTACATAATTTAAAATCAAGGATAAGATAAATGGCAAATAATATATCTAAAATCTAAATAATATATTTGATATTATTTTTTTAATAATTTCATATCAATTTTATTTCATTTAAGTCATTTTTACTGCTCTTTAAAAACTGAATCCTTCTTAATAATACTTGTAAGCCTCGATCAAACGATTGCTTAGTTCAAACAAAACATTATCATCCTAACCAACAAAAGAATCTATTAAATGCAAATAATCCTTTTCTGAATCAATAATACTTCTAAAATCATTTTCAATTATTAGAAGAGTGCTCAATTCTTATCCTAACATATAAAGTATTTTTTAATAGAATCCTTTCTCATGAGGTATACAATATTCTCTTGTAAGCAAAAGATCTATATACTAACTAATAAATAATATATTTAATACTGAATTTATTAATCAATCTTCTTTAAAGCCCATTTAGCATATCTAGGTAGAGATGCAGTCCAAATTATTACATAATAGTATTTATGCATTTATTGTAAAAACTATATTGATCCATTTCTAATCATCAATTTATTAGATGTTTAATCAAAATGAACTAAGGTTTCATCTAAATCAATAATTAAGATGGGCTAGGTTAACTTTGCATTAATGAATGGATGAGAAGCTGTAAGTAATTGCTTAGGTAATAATTTTATTATTTCTAAATTTCTAGTTTCATGTAACCATAATGCTAAATGTCTTCTTACTATTTTAAAATTTAGTTTATATTATTATGTCTATTTACATTTTCTTTATATCATCCAAATCGTATTATTACCTGGCTAAAATTTTTCATACATGTCATCTATATCTATATAGTCAATAGTATTATTCATTTAAATTAATTATTAAGCATCTTAGGTTTACTTTTTGCTAAATTTTCCTTTTTAAAATAATTCTTGCAAACATGATTAATAATTCTAAACAAATTAACAAAAAAATTAACTGAATAATTGATCTTGGTGTAACTCAAAACCTAAGGATATTAAGATTTTTTCATAGTAACAAATGTCTGTTATTTATTTTTGTAATTATTAAAATTGAATGAAAAACTATTTTTTGAAAAGTTCTTGATATAAATCGTATATGTCACCATTTTTTTGAATGAATTCCCATATCTATACAAAAAATAAATTCCAGTTAATTGGTTTTGAATTTTATTATTAGTACAATTTAAAATGATTAAGAATCATTTAAATATCTTATCCATCAGAGTTTAAATGGTCTCGTTTTATTTAGGGCAAGAAGCTTTTGTAATTTTTTAAGATATAATTTTAACTGTAATCCTCCATTTAATCCATATACACGCTTTTCCTCCTTTTGGCCTATTCATAATAAGATTTTTCTTGTTTAAATGATGAATTTCTTTTTCTTTGAGTATCAACAGAACTTTAAATTGCTTTTAACTAATTCATAATTAATAATAATCTGTTATAATAAATATATTGACGACAACGAATAATTATAATTACTGTAAAAATTTTTAGAATAAATGTACAAAATTGATATCATATCATAAATTCAAGAAAGGTTATTCAAATATAGCATAGAATAATTAACTTCGAATAGAAATATTTTTTATAATTGAATATAATTAAATTTTCTTTTATCTAATTTGAAGTGTTCGTATTATGCAAGCTAAATTTGAATCAAAAACCACTAATTCAATTAGATTATCATAAATTTCTTTATCTGGAAATAAAATTGAAGATATTGTATAAGTGCGAAGAATAGAGAAAGAAAATGACTTCGCCTCATATTTTGCATTAACAAGAATAACAAAGAAAATTTAGGGTAGAAATTAAAAGAATTTAAGATTCATTTATATAAAGTAATGATCCTTAGGCATAATTTATCAAAAAAACTTATACTAAACTCAAATTGATAAGAAAATTAAGTATTGCAATATTCATGTTGATGACTATTTTTCAGAAACCTGTTTGGTGTAATCGTAGATAATATACTGTAATTTTTGAGTTTTTAATTAGAATGATTGCTAATAAGATTTGGAATCAGGTTATTAGATACCAGCTTTTTTGAAATTTTACATACCTGTATTACCATATTATTTAATTGAAATATTTCTAATTTTATTGATGTTTTCATTCAAGGCTGCAAAATACTATTAATTCCTCAATATATCTTTATAAAGAAAAATTGTGTTATATTGCTTTATAATAATTGGTGTTTTAATAATCATAAATGATATCATTGTAATAATATTAGACAATGATTATTCATTTAACATTTCTACTTTACTTAAACCAATTTTCTTGATCATGTATAGGTACTAATAAAATATCTTATATTTTTAAGTTAATATTTTTTAGGGATCATTTTGGATTATGTATAAATTATTTAGAGAGGAAAAGAGATTTACTTTATGATGATATTTTCTTATGTATTTTTTGTTGGTTTGGGAACAGCAATATTTAGAAATTAGTCAGATATGTCAGATATATTGTAAGATGAAGGTATCTGCGATTCCTCTGGCCTTCCATTTAACTAAAAGACTTATTGTACATTTCTTATTATGTTTTAATTATTAACAACTGTCAATTCACCAGACATTTATTTGCCATATTATGGTAACAAAAGTGTCGCAATAATTTATTTCTTTGCTTACCAATTCATAAACACAATTTTAATGATAAATCTCATCCTTTCATTATTTTATTCATAATATAAGGAATTAGTAGAAGAAAGAACTAAATTACTACTTGAAAAAAATCGAAATAAAATATTATAATTTTCTAATAAGGTATTTAAAAAATAAAAATTAAGTTCAATTATTAGTGCGTTATATTACAAATAATAATAACAAAATAATAAAACAAATTATCGGTTCATGATTTAAAGAATTCTAGATAATTGGATATTTAACTCTATTATGCAAATATTGTGTTTTATTGATTTTTGTTTTATTTTTCAGGATAATACTGATAGAGATATTTAAATTATCAATCTCATTTTAAATGCAGTGATGCTAATTGAATCTATTATAATTGCTATATTAAGAGATTTAAATAAAATATACAAATATCCAGGCGTAATATTTGATTTTACAATATCTTTGATTTTGGTGATTCTAATCATTGCAATTATGTCACTTTTAAAAGACAGTTCTATATAAGATATATTGATTAGAATATGCTGTTCCGTAATGAGTTTAAGACTTTTTAGAGGATGCACTTGGTTATTGAAATCTCAAAATTTTTTAAATATCTTATTTAAAATATTTTCTATATCGACTTATTTATTATAATTATTTGGAACCTTAATCATTACAATAACTATGTTTAATGCTATTGGATAATTAATATTTGGAGGAAAAATTAATTACAACATTTAACATATCAATAATTATTAATGGGTTAATTTTAATGATTTTTTATCTGGATTTTGTACTTGCTGGTTTTTATTAATTGTAAATAATTGGAATGTGATCTCATATGACTTTTCATTAAGTCTGCAAAGTGATATTATTTATTTATTTTTCATCTTTTATTACATAATAGTTGTTTTATTAGTATAAAGTGTTACTATAGCATTGTTAATAGAATACTTAGTTAATCATATAAAAGATTTAGGTTAATTATCAGAAGTTGAAATATAATCTGAAATCTAGCTTAGAGAAGATTCTCAAAATGAGTTATATGTACCAAAATAAAATGATAATCAAAAGGCTTAATGATATATTTATATATTTTATCTTATAATGCTGATGGTTTAATTCTCTATTTATTTTAATTATTTTAAAATATTATATCATAAAAGATTAATTTTCAAGTTAAATTGTTTCAATCCACATTTTCATAAGAATTTTTGGATTTTCAATCTATTTTTTAGAATTTTATAAATAAATAAAAATAATAAAAAACTATCAGAAAAAATAATTCAAAATGGATTATTCTAATAATTCGAATATTTCAGACTCAGGTGACGTAGTTTTAGTAGAGAGTAAATCTAATTATGATGCTTTAAATAAAAGAATAACACAATTAGAAAAAGAAGGAAAAGTAAATAATAATATGAAATAAAAAAGGATAAAGATTAAATAATCTAACAATTAAAGAAGAATTTATCATAAAAAGAAAATAATTATAAATAATTGATTGATGATCTGGAGAAATATAGTAATTATTATTAGTATTGTAGGAAAGAGTGAGGAAGAAAAAATGAGGAAAAGAGAAATCTTTACTTATTTGGAATAATTTAAAAATATGGAAGAGTAGATATAATAATTAAAAGAATAAAATTAGAAACTCTTAGATGAAAATTTAGAATTAAAGAATGTAAATGATCATCTTTAAAATAAAAATTCTGAAATTGTTGAATAATAGGAGACCATTTTTGTAATTTTCATTTAAATTCTAGAAATCTTATGAATCCAAAAAGGTTTAATTAGAAGAATTTAATTTATAAAAAAATAAATATGAAGAGGAATTAAAAAGGTTTAGCGAAAAAATTGAAATTTTGGATGGAAAAATTGAAACACTTTAATAATAAAAATGTATTAAAAACTAAATAAATAAAAATAGTTGAGTAAGAGCAATTAATAGAATAGTAGAAAAGAATTTTAGTTTAGTTTCAAATGGAAGCTAAAAAGAACTAAGAATTGTTAAAGTAAAATAAAATAATTTAAGACTAACAAAATCAAGATGAATTTAATCGAAGAATTGTTCAAAGCATCAAAAGTAAAAAAATTAATTTAACATACAGCAATTCAAGAAGAAATTATAGGCAGACTTTAACATATTGAAAAAGAATTAATTAGTAATGAAAATAAGAAAACCAAAGAGAGATAGGATGTTGTTAAATTTTTAAACAAATAATTTAATTTTGAATTGCGATTACCATTAGAAGATAATTACATCACATTTAAATATGAATTTAGAGATAATTAGATTCCTGAATGAAATCAAATTATTAAATAATATTAAATTAATAATTATTGTTTTTTCTTTTAAAATGTAGAATTTCTTTTCTCTTTTCTAAGAATCCAATAGGTTTGCTCCTACGAATTAATAGGTTTTATAATACAAAAAAACAGTTAAAGTAATACAATTCTTTAAGAATATATAAAGACCTTATAAAATGCACAAAATAAGACTTTAGAATTGTATGTAATTTCAAAAAGGTGGATTCGTTAATGGAAATAATATATGCAATATGATGAAATCTAATATTTGAATTAAAGTTAATAAAAAGTAAATATACACTTTAAATTAAAAGCCTGGACCAATTAATTCAGATTTAAAATCAAATGAAGTTTTTTTATTCAATTATCCAAATAATCATCTCTATAATTAAAAAATAGTGAAATTAGATCCAGAAGACTATGTTTTAGTAAGTTATGGACTTTAATATTAGGTGGAAAGTGATTTGATGGATATGTGGAAGTAAGAATTTGGATTTGACTTAATTATAAATAGATAGATCACTTTTAATGAAAAGTCTTAACCCATTTCAAATATCAATTTAAAAAGAGTATAAATCTATTCAATAAATTTAATAGCAAGAAATATATTTCAAAATTTAAAATTCTATTAGAGGTATTATTTAGGTAGATGAAAGGTGTTAAATAAAATAATGGATTTAATTGATAAATTCAGCATTGAAAAAAGAATATTAATTAAATTTTGAGAATATTAGATTATGGAAACATAAGCATTATGCTGCTGATTAAGCTATTAGGCAATTAGAATAATATAATAATAAATTCAATGGATAAATATTGGATGAATGTTTAAGTGTTGGATAATATGTAGCTGATCTAATAATTATTGATATTTAATAGAATGGAAAATGGTAATATGAATAGTTAGATTTGAAAGTAAAATTAGATTTTATATATTAGATATCCTGTAGAGATGAATTTACTTATTTATTCAATAAGGCTTATAAAGGATGTGGTAGATTTTATTGTGATCGAAATTATTGCCATGATAATCCAATATTTGCTGAATATTAATTTGAAAAGGCTAGTCTACAAGAATTTCTTATTGAGTCTTTTAAGGAAAATAGTATAGATTGGACAGAAGTTTGCTGGAATTCTGATTAAGAATTAAAACCAATTTAAAAAATTACAAAAGATTTTAAAAAATAAATTAACGAACTCTCAAAATAACCAAATAGTTTTGGAGCCTCATTTATTTAAGATTTTAATGGTTCTTATGAATCAATATGCAATAACAATCTGAGATTAAATATTGAAATGGTGAATGAAATAAATAAGTTCATTGATTACAAAACACTAAAAGATTGGATAAACAATCTATACAAATTGAAGAATAAAAGCCCATTAAAATTGCGATCAGTATTTATAATTTTTCATTTTAATTGTTTTGATTAAATTATAACTGAATAATATTCAAATGAGTTATTTGATTTTGTATTCTAATTAGATAAAGAAAGCAAAAACACATTGTCAAAATATTTGACTTAACTTCCAAATTAGCAATTCAATAATATAGTTGAAACTTTAATTAAAAATTTGGCAACATTTGTTTATAAATAGTCGTCTTAATTCATTTAATTATTATAAAAAGAAGATATCAAATATTTAAGGGATTAACTTGAATTGTTATAAATATTTTAATAATCTAATGAGAAACTTAGAAGAATTAATAGCGATAAATTTATTATGAAAGAAGTTACAAAACTTTATCCATAAAAAGGCGATTTAATGGAGTATAGATAATTTGTTAGTTTTATCAATTAATAGTATGAGAACTATTATTTCACATTTTGTCAATATTCATGGATAATTCCAATAGAGTTTAAATAATAAATTTTAACTTTGGATTCAAGAATTAATTAAAGAAATTAAGGCGACTTTTTTTTATAGCAAATAGGATTAGCCCCTTCTATATAATTGTTGATAGATAGAAATGATATAGTGAATAATGCATTAGAATAACTATCAAAGCCAGGATTAAATCTAAAGTCTAAATTATTAATAGTATTTAAAGGAGAAGAAGGGATAGATTAAGGGGGTTTAACAAGAGAGTTTTTCTCATTATTAACTCAAAAGCTTTTTGACATATAATTTACAATGTTCGTAACTAGAAACAATAATACAGTTTTATGGTTTAATAAATATCATTTAGAAATGCCTATAAAATTTGAATTAATAGGAATGCTACTAGGTTTGGCTCTGTATAATTAAGGTAAAAATAATAATTAAAATTATTAGTATTACTGGATATAAGTTTTCCTTAGTTAGTTTTTAAGAAGTTAATGAATGAGGAAGTTTTATTTGAAGATTTGAAAGAATTAGATTTAGAAACATATAAATCATTAATGTATTTAAGTGAATATGATAAAGATGATATTGAAAAAGTTTTTGCATTAAATTTTTCAATTACCGAATATGATATTTGGGGATAAGCATAAAATATTGATTTAATAGTAATAATAATAAAATTAATTTATAGTAAAACGGATCATAAATAGTAGTCACATAAAAAAATAAATACGAATATATAAAAGCATGTACAGATTATTATTTAAATAAATCAATCGAGAAAGAGTTTTAATTTTTTTATAAAGGATTTTGGAAGGTTGTGGATGGATATGGAATAAAATTGTTAAAGGGATCAGAGTTGCAAACGATGATTTTGGGACAAAAACATATAGATATGATAGAATTAGAATAATCTACTAAATATGAAGGTTATGATAAGAATTCTGATTACATCCAAACATTTTGGGCATTTATACATTCATTGGATGAATAATAAAAGAAAAGATTTTTATTTTTTTGTACAGGATCAGATAGAGTTCCAGTTGGAGGATTAAAATCTTTGAAATTCGTTATATAAAAATATGGTGAAGGTATAGATTATATATTTATGTGTAGAAACTGAACAATTGCCATCTGCACATACATGTTTTAATGTATTTTAATTGCCTGAATACGATTCAGTAGAAAAAATGATCGTAAAATTGCAGATCGCTTTTGAAAATAGTGAAGGATTTGGATTAATATGATTGATTAAATATGTTTGTAAATTAATAGTATATGATATATAAGATTCTTGATAATTACCTATTTGGTTATCGTGATTAAATTAAAAAATGAAACCAAGTCTATAAGTATACACAGATGAAGATGAAGTTGTATAAGATGAACCCTGGAAAGAATATATCGTTTAATTTAAAGATATAAAGCAAAAAGGTCATCATAAAACAGACTAAGATTTATAACACATGACAAGACTTGAACAAAACTTATTTAACATTGGTAAAGGTCCTAAACCTCATCCTGACAAGGTCTAGTACATCAGTAAGGCCAAAAGTAGTATACTTAAACTCAAAAGAGATTTGCATTTCTTTTTTGCAGATGAACATGAGTTAAATCTCTAGTGTATTACTATTCTGTTGCTTCAAATATTAGAAGATTATCCATATTTATTCAATGATTGTTAATAATAGATCCTTGAAATGCTTACCTGCCTCACTTTAAAGGATTATACTTAAGTACTTCTAATTAATTCGATAGCTTTGAAGGAATACATTAAAAAATTAACGAAAGAAATATTTTTAGATTCGACACAATATAATCCAACTTGTGAAATTCTCTTTCTATTAATTGTAATGATGATCGCCCATTTAGATTTTATCAAAAATCCAGAATTAGAATTGGTTTAATTAATTGTCAAATGCTTTTAACATTATCAGGATTAAAGGGATAAAACTTTAAGAGAAAGAGAACTCTTTGAACAAAGAAAAAAGTTTGAAAAAAAAATAGTAAAAAAATAAGGTATCGAAGAATTGGAATTACCTCCTGAACTGAAATACTTGCAAGTTCCGCAAGAAACCTGTCGAATATTAAAATTAGGTTTGTCACTTATTCCAAGTAACATTTGTTAGATGCCTTCCTCTTATAAATATTAATAATCTGAAGAAATAATGAAAGAAACATCCTTAAATGTTTTTTTTTGCACATTAAGCTTTAAGATTAAATAAACTCTTGTATAAATAATAAAAGAAAATAAAAGGGATTTCGATGTAGTATAAATGTTAGTAGATATGGCAGGAATGCCAGAGTGTTTTACATAGCAAAGAGAAGCATTGAGAACAGTTAATATGTTCTTAGAGGGATTTGATGATACATTATTGTGGATTAAATTTGATTCTACAAATCTGTTTGATAATAGTAATTTGAACAATGTATTAACATATGGAGATCCAACCAAATTAACAATAGATTAAGGATTGTTTTATGATGGTTGTGGTTGTTTTTTTGATAAAAACTAAGTTCTATAATTAGAAGAACCATTAAAAATTAATAAAAAATAAATAGCAGTATCATTTTGGATGGTTATGTTTAATCCAGAAACCAGTAAGACAAGAGGCGCTTAGAACAACTATTAGATACGTACTTTATTGGGCTCTAGTGATGGAATTACTTCTTTAATTATTTCAGATTGTTATTCATAATTGTTAGGAATTACAAATATTAGTCAAGATGGATATGGTTACAAATTCTTTGAGCCAAAGAATTCAGAAAAAAACTTTTCAGGTTGGAATCATGTTGTAGTCATATTTGATAATGAATAAGAATCCGCTTATCTCTATTTAAATGGGTATTATGAAAGCTAATTAAATAAAGTGAATACATTATTTGATATCTAATTTATTGGAAATAGTGGTAATCTTGATTAGCCTATCGGATATATATGTGATTTAAGAATATATCCTAAGATCTTAAATGATTAGGAAATCAAAAGTTTATCATCCTATGATAAAAAACAAGTGTTGCTTAATAATAAAAATGATTTAGTTGATTAAATTTTAAGTAACAAAATTATTTTGGATTTGAAAAGATTATTAGGATTGTTCACTAGTAAAAATACTGAAGCATTGATATAAACACTTCAAATACTTTCAAAATTATGCTAAGCCACTACCATTTTTAGATTAGAATGTGTTAAATGTGGAATCTTTGATATAGCTATGCAATTCTTACCATCCCCAAATTAGTAATTATCATATTATGCTGGACTTTTAATTAATAATATGAAATGAGAAATAATTATTCACGAAACATATTTAGAAATCTATATTATTATAAGAATATTCTTAAATTATTTTATATAAAAGAAAGAATTAATTACTTTAACGTTAAAAAAGTTAATTTTATTTAATCAGATTAGAGAACAAAAGCTAAAAATGCTCTTGAATTTGCTATCTAAAATGCAAATTAAGTATAAATACCTTTAATATTTTTCTTCGGTGTCATTAACTATCCTGCTTCTGATTATAGACTTTATCATTTTAGGTTATGTTAAAGACATTTGAAGATTTTAAAAATATTAGATTATAATAACTACAAATTAGTCTTACAAATAGAAAATTTGGAGTAGTCAAATAATCTCCAGATGATTTAGCTGCTTCTATAAAATTATAGGGAAAAAGAATAAAACAGATAATTATTGATTGCTAATTTAAATAAGTTGAAAATGATGTTCTGATACATGTTAAATAAAGAAATGAAAAAGAGGAATGGACAAAAAAGCATTAGAACAAAATTTAATCTCGAATTTAATATTTTGTTAACAAATAAAATGAATAACATTTATAAAAAAATCGATAAACTTCTTTCTTAAGAAAAAATTATGCAAATAAAGTTAGAAGCAACCAACTTTTCTTGTAAATTTCTGAATGATTTTTTCTTTATATATAAATATCAGATGAATGGAAGGGCATCAAATCATTATATATGAGTGTCTTATTTTTTAAGAATGAATAGTCTTCGAGAGATTTTCGGAAATAAAAGATATTTGATTGATAAAGGGTTAAATACTTATATTTGATACAATTCCATATTTGAGGAATGTAATTGAGTTAAAAGAAACAATCTTACAATGAATTTATTAATTATATTTTATTAAAATAATGAATGATGATAATATGTAAAATTTGTTGAATAAGAAACAAACTTTTGAATAAAAATATGAAGTATGAATGTTAATTAAAAAGGAAATTGTAGCATTAACATTACGGATCAATTAATTGTAAGACTCGGTATAGAGAAATCTTGATTTGGATGATGAACATATGACCTTAATCTAATTATAGAGAGATCAGTCGTATATATAGATAGCAAGTTATTTAGAAAGAAATTGTTAGAGACAATATAAATTATGATTAATGAGCTTGAGAGAACTGCAATAGGTTTCGAATAAAAAAAATAAGTTAAGAATGCAAAATAATAATTGACAAAATAGAAAGATCGATACTAATAATTATCAAAAGAATTAAATAAACTATCATTTACTTAGATTGAACATGGAAGTAGTAAAATTGAACAACAGCACTAGAGTTTTGAATAGCAGTAGTAATAAGAATATAGTTCAGATGCTTTAGATTTAGAGTAACAAGTGATTAAAGAGAGATAAGATGATATAAATCATATTGAAAAGCAATCATTAACTTTATAAAAACTAATGAATGAATTGGGATTAAAAGTTAATGATTAGGGTAGGTAAAATATGTAATTATAGATTAGTAATTAGATTTGATTGTGCATGATCTTTAATAAACGAAATCAAATGTTTAAAATGCAAATTAAGAGATTAAAGAAGCAGCTTAAAGTTAGAAATAATCAAGATCAAAATATTATATAATGTTATTTATTGCTTCTATGTTGTTGCTTGGAACATTGGGTGCACTTTTAATTTCTTGATTAATAATAATATATAAAATATTTATTAAAATTCAAGGTAATAATTGTTCTTTAATTTTCTGCCTTCTAATTAAATAAAAGACTCCAATTCCTAATATAGTTAGTATAAATAATCCTAATAGAGTCCATAAGAAGATATTTAAAGCCTTATTAACATAATTTTGACGTTCTTAAACACACCAAAAGTAATCAACGACTTCTTTGGTGACTAGATCAATTTATTCGAAATAAATATGAGTAGAATTATGAATAGTCATAATACCAATCCCATCGTTATATCCAGTTTAATAAATAGTGTAAGGTTAAGATTCATCTAAATAAATAATAGAAATATTTTACATGGAACTAATGGTGTATAATATTCTTGTCCAGCAGAACCTTCAACTATGTAGATTGGAGCAGCAGAATTCTTAATTAAATGTTATTATGGTCCATCTGTAATTAATCCAGTATTGACTTAAGATTAATTATTAATAAAAGGAGCATCTCTCTCATAATTATGTTAATGAGCCGACATATAAATAGCCACATTATATTACGAGAATAAATCAGCAAATGGTCTAAGAGCTATAAAATTCTAAGAACATTAATCATCACTAGAATCACTACAATACATTGGAAAATGACTATTAACTATTATCCAAGGAACATTCTCTCTATTCTAATTAGCTTAATCTAAATCATTCTTCATTATTTAAACCATTTCATCTATTTCTTATTAATTACTGTCATTATATACCACATTTGTTGGATTGTAAAATATATAATGAACCAAACCCAAATCAACACTGTAAAAATTATAATAGTTTTTCCTTGTATTATATTAAGATTTCTCGGGAGATAAAAAAGACATTCTATAAAAATCAAATTCATGATTAGCTCCTGAGTCATGATTCCCAGGAGTAGATAATAAAGGATAGTATGAACTAAATGTAGTCATATTCCTCAACCACCAATCACCTTATTAACAATCTAAAGACTCTAAATCATATGCCATATCTCCTTCAAATATCAATACATCATAATCACTTTAATTGTATTGTATTGATTCAAACCAATCAAAAGTTTCTCTTGATTTATTACCTGTCCAATTTGAATCCATGTCTCCAAAAAATATTATTTTGTGGATTTTTTAATCATCTTATTTTAAAGGTACCTTAAATTGATACTTACTACTTTTTATATCGATAGCCCCATATATTTCATAGTAATAGATCTAACCCATTCTTTGAATTGTGTATGAATTCAAAGATACTATGTTTATGTAAGTTACATAGCTGAATTAATGTGAAGAATTTTCATAAACTTTACTCATATTCAAAATCCTAGTCTCTCTAATTTTAATCCATTAATCGATCCCATTCTCATCAAAAATATGCAAGAACCCTTGTGGACAATAAGACTATATATTGCCATTAAATTACTTAAGTATTATAGGTGATATCTATTATATCATCAGATTGGTCATAATTTGTATAATAATATCCTAAACTTATTCTTTAACCAAAAGGGATACAATTATCGCTTGTTTAAACCAAAACAGATTTCATTATGGTTTCCTGAAATATCAATTCATCATCCTTATATGATTTGAATTATAGAAAACTTGAATTATGAATTTGAAACTCAATTCTAGATTTGCTTTTAATAAATTAGTTTCCCTTTAAAAATGTTATTTCCTTACTTTCTAGTTAGGATATAAAATAGTCATATTACAAATGAGTTAGTTACATTTAACAATTAACATCTCCAATCATTACTAACCAAAAGTCAAGATTATCTGATAAATGTTTAACAATTTTGTTAATATTACATTTATGTATCAAAATTAATTTTATTGATTCAATTTTGAAGCTTGTTACTTAAGACTCTTCCATCATTAAATTTATAATTGACTATTAATTCAATATATAAGAATTTCCAAATTAATTCAATAATGAAAATGGTTATTGACCCTTTTTATCAGGTAATCTCAAAATTAATTATTTCTTTCCCAATGTTATATTATAATCTTTATTAATTTAAAGTGATTAATTCAGATAAATCTAAGTTTAGTATAAACAATAAAGATTATCTACTAATCCTGATTCAAATTTTAATTAAATATTATCAATCTTATAGTTTGAAAGGCATTCTTCCTAAATTGATCAATCAATAATACATACGATTTATATTGTAGCTTTACCATTGTCTAACCTTCAACTTTATAATAATAATCTCCCAAAATCATTTCTTCATCAAATGAATTACAATTCTATGTTTTAATGAAGTGAATATTTGCAATCACAAAAATTAAAAACATTTATTATTTTTATTATTATATTTTTAAAATATTAACACTAAAAACATTAGAATACAATCATTTATTTAAATATTTTTTAGCTGTCTCGAATGCATAAAATCCAATAGCATTAGCGTAAAAGGCTCTAAAAATACATACAGAATATCCTTTAAATAAACATCTCCATCCATTCTTGCTTACTTATTCAACCAAACAACTATAAAACCCTCCATCAAAAACATGTGGTTTATATTTTCTACTGTTACCAATACCTGTGTCACACTATAAAATTGTCTTAATAATCTTTAATTATAGACTTATCACTTACATCTTAAGGATATCCAATAGTCCAACAAGCAATACCTCCTAAACCTCCAGAGATTAACATATCTAAATTGGTAGCTTCCTTTTTTTATTTTAAAGACATTAGAGTATCTTTCACTATATCATATATAACAAATAAGGCTGCGTATCCTAATATCTCTCTTTAACATGTAACATTCATTCCTCTATACAAATAGTTGATACCTTCTTTTCTTGCAATCTAAAAATCACTAAAAATCAACCTAAATCATGCAATCCATTGGATTCTTATATACTTTATTAATATTTTGAGTTTGCATCTATAATCTACATTTAGCTAATTCAACAGGACATGAGATAAAAGAAGCTGCTAATCCAGAAAGACCACCTGCTATCATGCTTATTTAAATATTCTATTTACTTTTAATAGCAACTTAATTATTATTTACTATCACCTACAAAGAACCTTTTCCAAAATTCATGAGTTGAAAATACTGTGGCCTATAATATTGGTACAGAAATGAAAGGAAAAAGCATTCCTTTATAAAATGAAAATATTCCTTCATTTTTCACCATAGAGCCTATCGTTTTTATTATTCCATCATGTGACATTTACATTCGAACTTTTATTGTATCCATAGGATGACTTGAAATTATATTACACATCCCACTAAATGATCCTGCTAATATGTCTAAGGCAAATTATTTTCTATTATCATAAGCCCATCTAAAAAAATCACTCATAAATTAAAGAAATATTTTAAATAATTATTTTATTTTATTTTTATTCAAATCCACTCTCTCTTATTTATTATTCACATCTAATATTTTATTAGAATATAATTATTTTTTATGTAACAACCTTATTTAATAACATCAATTAATTGAATTTGAAATAATATTCATGTTCAAATCCTTTATTTATTTAAAGAACAAAAAGCATCTTGAAAAGGATTTTGATAAAAATTAATTATCAATCCTATTTTAAATGATATATTTTTAAATTATTAAATTATTAATTATTACTTTTAGATCAATAACTAAATTAGAAAAAATGAATATAGAAAATTTAATAAAAAATGCTTAAGATTTTGTAATAAATAGAATTCATCTTAAGAAAAAGTTAAAGACTGAATTTTATTATTAATGTTATTTTATATCAATATCTTAAATTTTGTAATTATACATGCCTCCATTAATAGCTAAAATAGATCTTATTTTTTAATAATAAATTAAAGAAGATATTATTTAGTAAGTTAAAGATATAATAAAAAATTATTGAGCCCAAATGATTTGATAGTTAAAATATTATACATTATCCAATCTCGACTTAGCAACAAGAATTCAAAATAAAGAGGACAAAATTTTTTTTTATAAAAAAGGAGATAGAAGAAAGAGGATACGTTATTTAAAGTATAATAGTGATGAAATTTATTAAATCTATTATTTTAATAATAGTAAAAGTTTTAATTATGTAAATTTTAATGTCATTTCTAAAATATGTTCCTTATTTTTTTTTAATTTCGATTTTTAAGATTTATACTACTTTTTTATAAATAAATGCTCTAAATTAAATCAGCTTGTGATCCTAATTTAGTTGATTATAAAGTCTTGGTAGGCATTAACATTTACATGCTCTATTACATACTCAGTTTTTTATAATTATGTATGCTAATTTAAGTATTCAAATGAACATTCGAATGAGATTTAGATTGTACCTTTTTATATTAATTGTTTTATTTCTTTATTAAAGGAGAACGAACATTTTCATTTAAGATTGCTTTTAATTTTCTACTCACTTACTCACTTTATTTAATCAGTGGTTAATAATTTAACTTAGTAGTTGATAAACTGGATTATTAGGTATATACTTTTGCTTATTTAGGCTATGATAATTTATATTGTGTTGGCTTAATTTTATTCAATAATGATATTAAAGACTTTGATACAGAATCTTCTTATTTAGTTTCACCTAACTTCAGCATTTTTATAAATGGTATTTCATTCTAATTAGTTTTAGTATGTACTAACATTCCTAATTTATACTTGATTTGAGTGTAATGATATTCTCTAAATATTATTAGTTCAGGACCTTTGATAAGGGAAGCATATACAAATGAGGAGAGTCTAATCGATATTTATAATATTCAGTTAAATCTACTAATTTAGGACCTATTTCATTAGATTAAAAGTATTTTTTAATAAACTCTTCATCTTTGATTTCTTAAGCTTTCTCAAAAAAATCAATAACCCATTTTTTATGAGAATGTTTTATAATATCATCAATTGGCTGATCATCATTTTAATTATATTTCAAATAAAGTGCCTGATTTATCTATTAAATAATTACAGTATTAAGAAGGGTAGGAAAATGGATTTTCCCATCAGTTTTTTGTTTATCGCAAAACAAACAATTTATTTACATTATATTTTAATTATTATTTAATGAGACCTATTCCGTGGTTTGTTAGATTGGGCATAGATGTGACCATATTTACAGTGCCAATAATATTTTTAGCAAGTAAATTAAAATTAAAAATAATAAAAAGGTTATCCAAGATTGGGCACACATTTTCTTAATAATAGAAGAAGGAAGTATAGAAGAAGAAGTATAAATTAAATTTGATAGAAAAGATTTCGATGAAATATAATACAGAAATGATAGCAATTTTTCAAGTGAAGAAGTTATCAGCTTCAGAAAGAAACTTGGATTTCAAGACCTTATTTGAAAAGATCAATACATATTAAATCAATATAATACCTTTTGAATATAAGTTTTAAAATGGAAAAGATTTTGTGAACATAGTATTAATATAATTCTCAGTGTAAGAAAATCAAGCAAAAATAAAAATAATCATATTTACATTTTATGTCTCCAAACATAAATAGTTAATCTTTAGATTTATGCATTTAATAGTGCACTAATATTATTCTTGTTATATAAATCTTCATTATTTTAAATTGATAAAGACTTTAAAAATAAGAATAAGTAGACATATAAATATTTCTTAAATAATTAAAAAATTTCATTCCAACTTTTTCTTTTTTGTCATAATTTTAAATATATGTGAACTTTAAAATTAATTAATTAATTTTTGAACACAAATATAATATAAGAAAGATGGCTGCTCAAGTTGAATAAATGAAAATGCTTATAAGTTTAGGATCAGCAGGATTATTTGGTCTTATTTTGGTTAAGAATTGTTTCTTTACAGTGGAACCAGGACATTGTGCAATAAAGTTTAGCAAATTCTTTGGACTTTAAGAAGAGAAATATAAAGAAGGATGGCATTTTAGAATTCCATATTTTGAAACTCCAATTGATTACAATATTTAAACTAGACCTAGATAAATCAAAGCTAGTACAGCTAATAGAGGTAAGAATTTAATAGAAATTTAAAAGATATGCAAAATGTACTTCTAACTCTTAGAGTACTTCATAGACCATATAGTGATGAATTGCCAACCATTTATAGAACATTAGGAATTGATTATGATGAAAAGGTTTTACCATCAATTGTTAATGAAACAATGAGATCTGTTGTTGCTTAATATACAGCATCTTAATTAATGAGTTAAAGAGATTAAGTCTCATTTAAAATTAGATAAGCATTAGATTAAAGAGCTGCTTAATTCAAAATTGCTATTGATGATGTTTCAATAACAGAACTTACATTTGGAAAAGAATATTTAGAAGCTATTGAAGCTAAATAAGTTGCTTAATAAGAAGCTGAAAGAGCTAAATTTGTTGTAGAATAAGCAAGAGAAGCAAAAAAAAGTATTGTTATTAAAGCTTTGGGAGAAGCTAAATCTATTGAATTGGTAGGAAAATCTGCTTTAACTAATCCAGGTATAAATTAATATTATTACAATTTAGCATTTTTGGATGTTAGAAGAATTGAATATGCAAGAGAAATTTCAGCTATTTTAGCAGAATCTAGAAATCATATTATGTTACCATCAGATATTCTTAAAATGGATGCTACTGCATATAAATGAATGTCAATCAAAATATTTAATAGTAAATTTTTATGTTCTTCTTTTTTATTTTATAGATTAAAATTAAAATAATTGAACATCTATATTTATATTATTTATTTTGGTATAAAATCATCCATATAACCATTCTTTTCTTTTTTAGATTTATTCATCTCCATTTAAAACTGCTTTTAATTTTTATTTTTCGATAATATCATTTTATTCCAAATATGCTTTTAATGCATTATCAGCTTCTCTTGTCCAAAGTAAACTTTCTTGATTGTTAAAAAAAACATTTTGCAAAGTATTTAAATCTCCTGAACATTAATACATTCTTAAAACAAGTTCTTTATAAGAAACTTTTAACAAATTTGATAATAATTGTAAAGTATATTTTAATTCTTCTGCTTTCTATTTTTATTCTATATTTAATATAGTTTTTTAAGGCTCAAAAAAATATTATTTCTAGCCTGATATATCATATTTGGAACTAAAATTTAGTTAAATAATATACTTAGCTGATAATTAAAACTTGATATTTAACTTTACTTTCTTCTAACAACTAGGTTCAAGTGAGTCTTCTTCATTTTTACTTTGCCTTTTTATTTAAGAATTTAATTTTTTAGGTTAATAATTTTCTTATATTTCTTTAATTGGTGTACCAAGTAAATAATAAACTGGAGATTCAAAGATAGCAGAAATATCTTTTAATTTATACCAATTATCATTTACAAGTTAAAAATTAAGTTATCCATATATACCTGACTTTTGTACAAATTAATAGATTATCAAAAAGTCTTAGCTTGTCAAATTTTATAAAAATTATTCATATCTTACTTCAATTAAATTAATACCTATTCTTTATACTTATATTAGATCTTTTTAATATTTAACTTAGATTTTATATACACTTCTAAGAAATTTTTGAAAGCCCATGAAGCTTCAAAATAATTGATAAATCGTCAAATAAAGTATACTCTTCATTGATGTTCTGATCATCTCTTTTAAGGTTCTCAATTTATTATCCTGAAATTGCTTTTGAAAATTCATCAAAGTAGATTTTTTCAAAATTATCATTTTTTTTTTAATTCAATTTTTAAATTTTCATATTTATTAATTTGAAGGTTTTCTTCTATTGATTTTATTTCCCTAATTTGAGATCTAAAATTCTAGGTGGGGGCAAATAACGTGAAAATGAAAAAACTCAATATTTTTCTGAATTTTAACATTTAATTTCCATTATCACTTAATTAAATATCTCAGTTCAAAAATATCAATAAAATTATTATATGCGAAAACTAAATGATTTATTTAGATGTTTTATAAATTATATTA